TCACTATTTTGCCTTGTTGCATATTCAAGCTCTATACTTGCACCCCTGTGAAGATCTATCAATGCAAAATATGATTTTCGTTGCCATATTTCACCACTAGAGAATAATATTGTAAAAGTCAGCTGAGAGATTAGACATTTCGGCCCGTCTGGGTTTGGCTGTTATCAACACCCACCACACTCGCACAAAGGACTGTGACTCGACACATTCTTCAGCAACAGAAAAGTAAAACATTTGGACAAACGAACTAGCCCTTACTTTTAGACGAGTTGAGCAAGATATTTGGAGAAGTATAAATGAGGATTGAGGTGGAAAGATTCTCTAAACATTGATAATATTGGAAATGTGATAGGGTTAAATATTGAGTTTGGATAGTATTGTACTTCAGGCCAAGTCAAATGTTTAAGATAACTCAAAAGCAGCTTGCCACTTTCACAGGTTATACATATTTACAGATCATCTCACAAAGAAATACCTCACTGGAACCTACACTATGCCACACAACAAGCTCAAGGGCCAATAATTCACAAAATAATCACCAAATTCATGCTATGTATTGCCAAATACAGTGTGTGATTTTAATAATTTCCTATTGTTTACTGTTGGGTTTAGTTCTACTTAACTTGAACCTTGCATCATTACCGAATGACACCAAATATTACCATGTATTGATATTGATATTTTCAATAAATATAACAGTAAATGGCCTGGTGACTACAAAAATGTTTTGGTCTCTTCAAAATGCAACACAATTGTCAAATGGCTTTAGATTTTGTAATTTTAGAATACACGGTCAGGAAGAACGTTTCTGCAGAAGAACCAATTCCAACACCGCTCTGGTTCTTCTGAGATCTCCAGGACCCAGTGCTGATGCCGATGTCAGTATGGCCTTAATGCACTTGCCTGTGATGGACCAACACCACACACAGCAGCTTAAACAAACCCAGTCCATGGCAAGCGCACCAGAAACCATACACATGCCACTCTATCCTTCCATTACTTTTATCTCATACAGCTTGTGAATATAGAGACCAAAACACTACTATAGTATGGTGACTGACAAGTAAAAATGGAACATCATACTGTGATCATACAGTTTTGTACCCTGAGATTTTAACTTATATAGCGCATTTCACACAAATTGGGGTCATATCCGTTCGCCCAAAACTGAAGACAGAACCAAGGCACCAAAAACCTGCCACAAAGTCAGGTCTAACCTGTCGTACACAAGTACATAAGTGCCGCGTTTTTCTCCTTTTGATGTGAGACACAGACAGAATTTAAACAATTTAAATCAATAATTATTATTGTCATTAGGTGTGACTCCCATACTTCAGTTACATCATAGCTACAGGAAACTAGTGTGTCTAGTTTCATGATCCATTTTTAAATCACAGTGCATTTTTTAACGTGTTATAAGTTTTGATAAAGAAAACCACAGTAGCAGGGCTGGCCATGCATCAATGTTTTTCTAAATCAGGGCTGCAGTCACATTTGCATATGTGATTGGACTGGCTTCTCTCTAAATGCGCGTCAGGCGCAGCCCGAACGTAACCGATCAAGTCTCATCCCTATATTGAACTGTAAAACATGGCCTTTTATTTAAAACATTCCTAGTGGTGATTTATTTAATACATAAATCACAACTTCTATTGCAATTTCCACAACTTTCTCACAATAAATAGTTAGGGTGTGGGCTAACTGATGGGGGGGTCCCGGCCCTCTGCCAACTGGCCACTTCACACCCTTGCTTTTTAATGCATCTCACTAAATAAGGCAAACAACAAAAATAATTCTACAGTCAAAACCAATATTTTATAGTGAATTGGGAATGAGGGGACAAAAAATAATGTGTAGTGTTGAATAAAATTATGATATGATTCTAAAATGGGAATGACGGTAAGGGGACTTATAATCATGATAATGTATTGTTGAGTATGAAAATTATGATAAATGTAATGCAAATAATATCGAAAACATGATCAGTCAATAGAATGGTGATCAGTGTTAGGTAATGATGGTATATGGTTTTCATGAGAATGAAAAGTTAAATAATAATCTTACCTGGAAGTCTTGTAAAACATGAATGCTTTTCTAATCAATGCTGACATTTGTTAGGATAATGCGGACAATTGTAATCGAGAAATAGTTGTAATCATAGATGGGCACACCCACAGAACTTTGTGTGAATGAAAGGAAAATACCATTCACTAATTGCCTATAAGTGACCAGGCCCATGCACCTTCTGATGTGCGTGTGTCTGGGTAACTCAGTGTTTAATGTATGTAAACTGTATTTGCCTGTATTCACCGTTATTGACTGCAGCTGAAAGTGATCACTCGGAACAGGGTGTAGGCACTAATAAGCTTTCTTTACTTCAGCCTACTCCTTTTGAGCTACTTTATAACAGTGTAATCTTGTAATAATGCCATTATTACAAGATTACAACTATGTATGTAAAAAATGCTTAAATAAATAATAATCAATTTTTGTAAGAATATTGCTAAAATTATCCCAAATGGCGGCACCATTTAGGGCCCAAAGTAAATATGACAAGGCATTACAACAGAGTATTTCTGTTCACAGCTAATATTAGAAAGCCCAGCATCAGTTCCTTGCTGGAGAGATTACGGTCATAAAGCTTTGAGCCACTGCGAGCACTAACACAATGTGCAAATATTTCAAACATCCTCAAACATATTTCTTCATTAGATCGTGACCTTTCTTATCTCTCTCATCCTTCTGCCAATGTAACGAACACAGTCACTGTGTAATTCAAGCCTCAAAGACTCCTGTCTCACCAAAGATAGAGATCGTCTCTCAACAACAATTTACATGACAATAAAATGCAAAAAAGCAATGCACACAATGCCGTGAGTCATTTGGTTCTAGGGCTGCAACTAACTATTAATTTTATTAATTGAGTATTCAATTGTTCATTGTCAATTTACGGTATATAATAAAATTCTCTATATATAAAACAAATACATATTTTATATTTAGTTGACCTATGAACTGAGCATATAAACTAGTAGTTCTCAAATTGGGGGTGGAGATACTAATCTGGGAAATAAGTTAATGAAAAAATCGTACATAATAAAAATAATTATTTCACATTTACAGGTGTGATTGTAAGTTTACACCCCTGTGTGAAATGTAGCCTGGTCGTACCACACCATAGTACTAAGGTGTGGAGGTGCTCCATTGAGCTCCGTTTACAGATAGGAGGGGTTAACTCCTTTTGCAGATTGAAACAATTGGATCCGAGTTTACCGTGACGTAATGCGCCCTAGTCTGTTGTTAGCATTTAGCATTTAGCCTAACCATCTCCTTTGCTGCTAACGGAGCCCGTGGGGAGAAGCGCCACAATTTCTTTTAGCGATTACATTTGCTAAACATTCCTATTGCTCCGGCTTCAATTTCTTGATAGAACCAGACCGGATTACTTTACTATCACATTTTCGCCATTGCCAAAGAACAACCTTCCCGTTCGACGCAAACTCTTGACGTCACCCACAAATAAATACAGCACTCTCCTTCCGCACTCGCTGGTTGGTCGGTCGAAATTCAACCGATTGTAATCGCTAACCCAGGGACCAGACCCAGACGTTACATGCAGTGAAATGATGATTGAGCGGAGTGTACGGATGGCTAAGTCCAGGCTATGTGAGATGTAGTGGTTTTGGAAATCTTTAATACACTTTTTTTCATAACTTTTATTCCGTAATCGTTTGTGGTTGTGTGTGATTTTCAAATTATAATATCATTGATCCAATCTGTAAATACAAACCACTAATAAATCATTGAAAATATACCCGAAAAAACTCGTCTTCTTTGGTCGAAAAACACACTAAAATAAACAACACAACAATGGATTTAGCGTGCTTTGGCACTTATGGCACTTGGCACACCATTGTCTTCCACTTTGTTCGTTGTGGGGAAGCCATTTTAACAGAGACACCAAGACTGCCCTTGTCCCGCACACTTCCACCAGATCTTTCTCTGTAATCTCAAGGCATTCCCAGGCCATCTGAGAGAAAAAGTCCCTCTAGTTTGTAATAAACCCAGATTAAATGATTGGCTGTTTAACACATGTTAAAGTAATTGACAAAACAACTAGAGGTCAATGGCCTGAGCATAGACCTTTGACTATGACAACTGGATGGGTAAATAAAATGGACTATCTGCTTTGATATTTACAAACAATAACAAACAAGGGTTTATCTGGTAATCTAATCTAGTGGCCCTGTAGTCTAGTCTACAGGGCCACTAGTTTGACTGGAATAACTGGTCAGATATAGTCTAGGTGCCCTTACCCATGATACTATTTGTAAAAATACTTCATGCATTCATGCATCAATATGACAGATTACAGCAAGAATAAATATAGACCATGAATATTTAAAGTATTTTTGGCCTTAACAAAAAAAGAAAATCAATTTTTAATATTGGGCTGAGAAAAGTCCGTTTACTGTGAGCGAGCTTACAACAAGTCCTGGAGGGAAGCCTCCTCCAGCCGTTATGGTTTACCTTCTATTTCTGTGAAATTGTGAATGTGATGTGCCACCTCAAGAAACACAGCATTATTGTGCCACTAGCACAGTTTTATCACAATTGTGTAGATCATTTGTATTTATGAGCATGCATTAAAACAAGAATAATTATCTTAATTGAGTGTTCTCATTCTGGCTACCCATATCAATAAATTAAGATAAGTAAATATGTTAAAAAGAAGGAATCTTACAATACCAATACAACTTTGGAGAGCCAATTGGCATACAAGGAAATCCACCATTATACATGTTTGTGTGTGAAAAAACTGCTCTTTGCAAGGTCAACTTGTCAAATTAAAGGTAATATCCCGATATCTGAAACAATACTGAATGACAATAGAACTGACCAAATCAACTGATTTCTGATTTTATTAGATTGGTATCAATATTCAATCGGTGCATCCCTAAACAAAACATGACATGAGGAAGAGCATACAGAAAGCTTACCTTTCAGTTTCTCAACAGCAATCTGGCCAGCTCTTTCTGCCACCTGTCCATCCTCTCTGATGTAGCGATCATCCAAAAACTTTGCAGTGGCTTCGGACAGGTGTACTTTCCCAGCCACACCCAGTTGCTCCATCAAGTTGGCTTGATTGACATCATTCGACCACACATCAAACTTGAAACGCTTCATTCCCAGAATCCCGCACAGAACAGTTCCAGTATGCACGCCCACACGCATGTTGACTGTCTCACATGTCTCTTGGCAGAACTGTTCAATGGCTTGGATCATCCCCAGTCCCATCTCCACGCAGCAGTATGCATGGTCTGGCTTGGGTTCAGGACATCCTGCCACACAGTAGTAGCAGTCTCCCAAAGTGCTGATCTTCTCACAGCCTGTGAGCTCACAGAGGCGATCAAAACGGCCAAACAAATCATTGAGGAGACCAACTAAGGCTGGGGCAGATTTGTTAGCGGACATTTTAGTGAAGCCAACAATATCTGCAAAAAGGATGCTGACTGACTCCATCCGCTTCATGTTGAAAGGTCTGAATATGATTTGACCTCGTGGTATGGAGGTCTTCTTTCTCTTATGATTGATATGGTTTTTGGGGTTTGTGGCATTTTGTGATTGTAATCCCCCACCGCCCCCAGCTACGCCGACTGATATGGCAGAGCAGGCTCCAGAGGAATAACGCTTGCCTGAGTTTTCTCCACTCCCTCCTTCATCATCTCCCTGTTTCATCAGCTCATCAGCCACTCGTCGTGGCATCACGGAGTGGATCATGCGTTCCTTCAGCGCTTTCTCCACTTCCAAGTCCTTCCCGTGCATTATGGCTTGTCCTACTTTGAGGAAGGTGCTGCGAGAACGAGCCTCCGACATTATGAAGAGATGGATGCCAATGACATGAGCACACAGATGGAGCAAGGCTTTCCCCGGGCCCAACCACGGAAGAGTGTGTTCGTCAGTGTTACCATATCCCCTCTGAAGGTAAGGTAACCACCCAAAAGTTTCAAAGAGGACAGAGAAGAGGAGCCCCAGAAGAACAGAGGCATAGAGACGCACATGAAGGACACTGTAGAGCAGCAGCAAAACTTCCATGCAGAGAGAGAACGTGCCAACAGGAGAAATACAAGGTGTGTCTAAAGGTTTTCCTGACAGGATGGATGCATTCTCACCACCTGCAGGCTCCCGTGGGATAAACGTCTGTGTTTGAGGAGCGAGAGTCATTGCAAATGTGACCGCAATAAGAAGCAGAGAAGTTTGGTTATAAAGTCGTGTATAAGGCTGAGTGAAAGTGAACCCAAACAGAAGCACAAGAAGGATCAGAAAACAGGCAGTTGGAATGAGAAAGGCCATTGGGTTACATCTGTCATTATTGACCCCAAAATATATGCCCCACAGGACAGAGGACACTGCCAAGTAAAAGAGGACATAACGAAAGCGCCGCTGTGTCTGGGGAAAGCACCTCTCCTGGCATGCCTCTTCCAAGATGGGAGAATCAAACTTAGGGTCCCAGCACTGGGCAGCTGATCTTTCAAAAAGAGGGGGTGCCTCTCTGTACCCTCTGGAGGATGAGGTGACTGCATGTCTGGAGTCTGCAGAGCTGCAGCTGGAGGAAATGCTGTTTTTATGAAAGTTAGAGTTGGTTTTGCTCACAGCCTCATTCCCCCCTTTGTTGGCATCCGTCACTGAGTCCTGGCCATGCACGTGTGGCGCACTGTTGTTAATTCTGACAGTAACAGCACCAGCCCCACTCGGGTCGCAGCTCACTTCCGTGCCGTGCTTGAGAAGCTGCCGGTGTTGATGCAGAGTGGCCATATTGACGGTGTGACGCGCTGAAGGGGAGGCAGACGATGCGCTGAGTACTAATATATTATGACGGCCCTCCAGCACCCTATGTGTGGAGGCAGGAGACAGGTTAATTGGTTAGTTAGTTAATCACAGTGCATGATAAGCACGGCACAGACGTCTTTGCTTCTCTCACAGCAGCCTAACCACTCACTCACATGAGACGCACCTTTCCAGTATCTTGAGCAGTTCATTATCTGGCCCCAGGTTTACGTCACTTACATTTCACGTACCCTTCTATAAATGAACCCTGGTCTGAGCACGGAGCCTCTCCAGCAGCTTATACATATATATACTGGCATAACTCTCAATGCCTCCTAAACTCAACATCTTTCTCGAGAAGCGTGATGCAATTTACGGCAGTAGTACAGTCAGGACGGCTGAGAACTGGGAAAAACCCCCAGTGTGCTGCATGCGACGTCAGAAAATGTGCAGATGTGTGTGTTTCCAAGAAAGGCTTGAGTGCATGGAAAGACAGCACACGCATCCACTACCTCTTTCAATGAGCAGCTGTAGATGACTGTCAACAGTTGGAGGTGCGCAGCGAGTGACATTAAACTTCTGTACGTGAGCTCTTGTTTAAGCGACGCAAAAATAACAGAATTGTCATATCAGCCCAAGTCAGGTTTGAACCACAGTCTTGAATGCAGCATCACAAAACACTCACGTGTAGATATGCCTAAACTATTTTGTTACGAGGCAATTCGCAGAAAGGTTGGCAAAGGTGATTTCTTAAAATAACAGTGATGGCAATGGGATAAACTGACTGATATTATGTATCTTTGTAGATGGTTGCTGCTAAAACTTGGGTCGAATACTTCTCTGCAGTATTTCACGTGCGTAAATCCTCACACCAAGAGATCCAGCATAAAAGTATGAGGTGATCCCGAGTCCAGTCCGAAATCCAGATCATAAAAGGCCTGACAGACAGGCCTATCCCGCAGATCCAGCCCCGTCCTTTCCTCAACTCCCTCTCCGGATCTGTGCACTGTATTCCCTCTGCTTTTCAAAGTGGGGGTCGGGAGAGGAATGTGCTATTCAGGGACCCGCAAGCCAAAAAGAGAAGCACAAAAATACCACCCACTGGCCCAAATTAGAGTAGGTTTGCCTCTGCTGGGAGTGTCTGCAACTTGTTGCGCGCAGTTGGCAAAACATAGAGCTATGAGGAACAGCCTTGGTCGGAGCAGGCTGGTCTATAAATAGTGATAATCAAAACTGTGGCAATAACAACACAAAGAGAACATTCATCCGATTTCACACACGTCCCGAAACTGCATCAAAAATCAAAACAAAAAAATGCACCATTTGTTTGAACTCGTTTCTTGAATAGCGATGTGCTAAACGTCACTGCCCCCTCCTCTGCGTTTCCAAAATCTTCCGAACTTTTTTTTCCCAGGCCGTATTTCCTGCGTTCAGAGTAGACTGGTTGGGAGGCTCTGGTTATTTGCAAGTCAGGCTAGATTTCCTTTCGTCTCATTCCCCAAGGAGCCAATTAAAGTCCCCAGAGATGACAAGTTAAGTCCACTTGAACGTACCTCTAGGACTGTCGCGACTGTATCAAAAGTTATCCCCAACACTTTGGCATTTCTTTTGGTGTTGGCAGCATTACTTTTCTAAGGCATGTACGAGTCCCACAAACACAGCGCTGCGGTGCGTCCTCTTCCGTCCGCGGTGGTCGACTCCCCTCCGTCTCAACAACTCAGAGGAGTTTGCTGAGACACATGAAGGAGCAGCTGCTGGACTTTTATCTCCGTGTTATTCGCGTAATACCTCCAGGACTGTGTCTGTATCATCGCGGTGCTCGGTCGGAAATCCTCCCCCAGCTGTTGTAGCTCTGGACCCGAGTCACAAGTGCGCGTCTCACAACCACATGACTTCCGGTTTGGGATTTCACAAAATTACCCAAGAATATCATCATTTTATTTACCTAAAGCTGGGATAACGAACTTTCAAACCACACATAGTTAACTGTGATAGAATCCATAGTTTGTAGCTGTCAGGATACAGTTTTGATCTATCACTAGTTTTCTCATTTTTCAGACAAAAAAGTGAAAAATGGAAATCCCTCTCATTCCAAAGCACCAAAGATTTTCTCCCAGGGATCTTTTACAGAGGGAAAAATAATTAATAATACATTTTGTCCACATTGGCAAATACTGTTGGCAAAGTATTATCTTCTTCTTCTACTTCTTCTTCTTCTCATTATTATTATTATTATTATTATTATCATTGTCATCATTATTAAAGTGTTATTAAACATCTGTTTCGTGCATACCTCAAATCATTGTATGTTTTATTGCTTTCGGTTTTATAGTTAATTGGGTCAGGTTATTTGTTAGTATTTTAATTTATCTTTGTTTGTATTTTTGTCTTTCTTTATTGTTACAGCCTGCATCAAACTTCAATCAATAGGATGTGATGAATTGTATCTTAAAATGTTCAAATATCATAGGCTACTCAAAAAAGAAGGCTGTTCACAATAAGGAATCTCTAGGTGCAGCCAATATTTAACACAGCTATATATCTCATTTAGGCTACAAATATATTGTATTTTTAGTTAAAAAGACTCGTTTGGATCGGTCCTCACCTTTGACTATTTTACATTTGAAACCAGACATGTATTGTTCAACAACAAAAAAACAAGAATTATCATTTAACACGAATTGTTCTAATATAACTGCCTTAAACCCTCTTATTGTTCTAAATGCAGTTTAAACGTGTCCTTTGATGATACACCACTGCATTCTCTGTGATAAACTGTATTTATTATCCTGTTAGAATGAATAAAAAGATTGGAAAGGCATTTTGTTCGAGAGAACCCTGAGGGGTGAACAATCTCCCACAAACAATGAGATCTATAAATATACTTATTAATCCATTACAGATTGAATACTTAAGGCCTAAAAGAAGAATATCTTTCATTTGTGGCATTTGAGACATCCTGATGTTTTACGAATGAATGAATGTTTGATTGGTTGAATATTGGATGTGTGCAAATGGTCTTGTCTCTTTGGCGTCTTTAGTTATTTTGTGTACATAATAACAACAAACGTTTGTTTTGCCTATGGTTTTCTTAAGTAAAAGGCTGGAAAGAAATCCCCTCAAAACAGTGGAGGATTCATGTCAAGGGGAAATCCAAAATATATCTATTACTGTGCCATTTAATAGTGGCTATTTCCAATTTTTGATCTTGATTGATAATCATCATCCCTAAATTTATCATCATCATTGACTTGGTAAAAGTGAACAGGCCTATGTGTTTGTTAGAAGTATAAACTTTACTTTGAAAGAGGACTTCCCTCCAGCTGCCACATAACATACTGCGTTTAACTTGATCTATCCAGTAAGTAAATAGTTTTTTCAGAAAAAACAAAACAAAGGCATAGGCAGGTTAGTCATGTTTATTTATATCTATAGCATTACACAGAAGTAATGATGTAAAGTTAACCAAAACATGAATAATTGAGTTATAATAAAGTTATTTAAATTGTGTAAATGTCTTTAAAGTCAATTTATAATTTTTTGGAGGTGTTTCATATCTAGACATTACACACGTGTATTAATTTGATAGGACCAGCATATTCATGAACATCTGTTATCCAGTGCCACATTATCAAAATTATGAAAAATAGTGGAGCAGCTGTGTGTAAAACAATATGCACTTGAGCGTCTGAAAGTCAGAATGCATAGTGCAATCATATTGTGCTGTGCATCATGTTTTATTGCACATTGTAGATTGTGCTTCTGCCCGGGTGGCGCGCCTGGGGCGTGCGCGCTCACTCCAGTTGAAGGGCTTTTATAGAGAGGCTTGTTTATCGAGCTGATAAAGTCAGATAAGTTTGTGTTCATAGACTCAGGAGCTGCGCCTGTCCTCAGCAATCACAGCTCAGTTTACCCACACGTCTACTGCCAACAGGTTTATTGTCATGGGTTGGTGTATTTTGCATCCACCCTGGTTATATTTGCCTATCAGCCATTTGATTTGTATTATGCAACTTATCTGGGAGTGACTTGTGTTTAATGTATTGCTTATAAAAATGTCTTTGACAAGTGGTAAATAGTTTTTTTTTTTTTCAATAGACACGTCTATCCGTACAGCCTAAATACGATTAAAAGTTGAAACGTGGAAGTATAAGTAACGAAGTAAATATGTAAATCCAAGACTAGGGTATTCAATAATGTAAATAACTCATAACGAATAGCCTTAACTTTTTAATGTAGTTATTGTCATTGGCTTGAACATTGTAATAACTGAATGATGTCAAATAAAATGGGAAAACGTGACTGCATTGAAAACTTGGTCCAGATGGCGATTGAAACTTGGATTGAGTGATTACACCGTTGAGTAACAAAATGAGTTAAGGCGCCACCTGGTGGCTTCCCTGTGTACAGAAGGAAACGAGAAACAAAACGGGCAATTATCACCTTGCCTCATTGGAGGAAGGTTGAATATTTTTTTGAATATTTGCTGGAAATAAATGACATCTAATCACAAGCCCCATAATGGAAAACTGGGGAACAGGTCAGTCTCTGTTTTGTCTTTGGGAACGTCGATACTTGCTTCAAAGTGATTCATGACACAGTAATTTGTCTGAAATGTCAACATTAATTATTAAAAAGAAAAAAAAAAAACAGAAAACAAAGTCCAGTGCATATTGCTTCAACCAAACAAAACACATGAATGCTTTTCATAAGACAAAATACAAAGATAATGTCAGCTACAACAATGAACAGACTTTATGGCACTGAATGGTAATAATAACACTGTGATACTAAAAGAAATGTACAGAAAATACAACCCCAAAGTGGAACAATTTCACTCAACAGGAGTGAAAGAAATCTTTTGTACAAATAGTGAACAATTACAACGTCATAACCAAAGAGACAGCTGCTGTTTATAGTCACATTTTTATGTTTCTCATAAAACCTGATGAAATCTTTAATGAAGTAAATGTGCCGAGTTTAAACATGTAATCTCACAAACTGACAAAGAGTGTAGCTGTATTTTATGCCAACATTGTCCTATATTGCAAGTTTCTGATCTCAGCTGCAGAGATTTGTTTCCCTCAAGGTCTTCTCCACTTGTTCTTAGGCTTCTCTTCACAGCTGGGTCCATCACACGTCCCGGGGAAAGGTGGCGGTGGTGGGGTGTTCTTTGGGGGAGATGGGGAATCAGGGGTGGTATTCACGCTGCTGAGCAGAGCTGGAAGATCCTGGCAGATGGCCTTCTCCAGTTTGTCCAGAAGACACCCTCCACTCCAGCTGCAGTGGTATGTCAGCTGCTTGAAGTTGGCTACTGGGTTTACACCAAAGAAGTCCTCGTAGGCCTCCTTATCAGGCAAGTCAAACTTACTGATATTGGTTTTGGCCAAAATAGACTTGAAAATGTAATATTTGTCAGGATCACTGACAATGTCATGTAAAACCTCATACGGGTCACTGAACCAGCCCAGTTTGTCATAGTAGGTCTGGAGGTAGCGGTCCACAAGCAGAGCATGGATTCGTACTCTGATCCCATGTTGACGGATGAAGGCAATTTTGTTTTCCAGCTGATTTTCAATTACCTGTAAGCAAAAGTGAAAGTCACGTAAATATGAAGACTACATTTTGTAAAAAGGTGGCATTCCAGTACCCAGCTCTTTCAGTTAGCAGTCACATATTTGGAGTTGAATAATTACCAACATGTTAGCCATAGATACATGAACCATAGACTGGTACAAGTGGCTGTTGGCCCTATAACAAATCTACTTATTTCACAGTTAAACAGCCCATCATAGACTTTGAGTTCATGACTGTGATATCACACAGACGGTGCACAAGCTATATGAAACAAATAAGATTTCCATTTGCATTATGATCTGATTCTGAGACCAAATGATTTTTGCGAGTCGTGGCCCTGATCAGTTCATCAGGTTTTCTAGGGTATTTCACAGCACTTTGTTCAGCTTTATGATGTTGACTGCTACAGTGGTGTTACACCTCACAGCAGTTTTGATTGTTTGATTGTATTATTATTGACCTTTATTTAACCAAGAAAGTTAAAGATTAAAGAAGTTAGAGATTTCAAAATCCATTTCAGAGGAGTCCTGGCCCCAGAGTGGTGTGACAGGGGAATATTTACATGTTTTTAGTGGTAACCTACGCAGACACATGAAGAACATGCAAACTCCACACAGAAAGGTCTGGCGGTGGAAATGAACCCAGGGCCTTCTTGCTGTGAAGCACAAGCATGGACCACAGTGCTGCCTGATAATGGTTGCACATGTAGTGCATCATGGCTCTAAAAGGCTCCTGATGCTGCACCTGATTGAGGTCGTCCAGTAGCGAGATCTCCTCCTTCATGAACAGCTCTCGACTGGTGTCTCCGGTGTAGTCCAGGGGCCAGAAGGAGCTGACGTAGACCCGTGGAGGTTCAGTCACATTGACCAGAGGCGCCATGCTCCAGAACAGAGCCCCGTAGACCCTCATCAGGTCCTGGGTGGACACAGTGTCGGCCTTGTTCAGAATCAGTCTCAGCTGGGACTCTCTGCCCTTCATCTGCCTGAAGAGCATCTCCAGCTCTCCGCCCACGTCCAGCTTTGTGGGGTCAAAGACCAGGAAGATCAGGTCGGCACGGTCTATGAACCACTGGCACACCTCATTGTAAGGATAACCTGGGCACAGGTGGGAAAAACATATTGTAACAATACACCAGACAAATATTTATAATATTTATATACGAATATTTTTAAATCTCAGTAACTTATTTTCATAATAAAAGAATCCCCATATGTATAATTTAGTTAATTTAATTAAAGGAAAAGACCAAACCATTTGAAAGATTACTGGCAAAATTAGAGACTCATGTGTTGCTTGGATGAAAATTCAGAAAGCAACATCACCTCTCTCTTGCTGTTTCCGGTTTTCAATGATTCCCGGAGTGTCCACCAGAGTGACCCGTTCCAGAAGCTTGTGGGGCATCTCGATTCCCACCAGTCGTTCCAAAAAGCCCTGTCCAAACTTCTCCAGAGGTGAGAAGGCCCGGGAGCTGTCTGCAGCCATCACTATCCCCTCAACACTGCGGAACTTTTCCCCGTGCATGATCACTGTGTACTCTGATGTGGTCGGCTCAGCTCCTGCAAAAATGACCGACAAAACCATAAGACATCGGTAAACTAAACATGCGTGTGTGTCTTGTTCACCTGTATAGAGCTCCTGGGAGGTGCCATGGAGACCAAGCAGGTAGTTGATCATTGAGGATTTTCCCACACTCCATGGTCCCAGGAATAGAATCATGGGTTTCGAGGTAATTTCACCATCTTTAGTGTAAAAACACAAATGTTATAATGATTTGTAGATACAAGAAAGGCTGTGTGTAGACCTGGTCAAAGGATTTTACAGGAGCTATGTTGAAAGTGTTGAAAGCTGAGATAGATACAAAACAAAATCTATGAGCTAAGTAAGAGAGTAACATTTATTTATACCGCCTTTCTCAGACCAGAGTCACAAAGCGGTTTACAATTGTTATTTTTTGACATTTGTCTCTCACTCCACACAGAGATGGGAGCGCGGTCGCCAGTACAGGAGGCGCATGCCAGACCCATTGTACATGTTTTTAGTGGTAGGGGAAACCGGAGTACCCAGAGGAAACCTACGCAGACACGGGGAGAACATGCAAAGTCATCAATCATGTGCCCAAACATTAGATTGGGTCTTCCGTTATTGAATTAGTAGAGAAAATAAACTGCATTTTTTATTGTGGAATTATCATAGTCATGAAAACTCTGCCTTTAAGTGATTTCTAATGTATGTTGTATTCTATTGTTCAATTCAATTCGATTCAAATTATTCTTGTATAGCCCTAAATAACAACTAATAACATCTCTGAGGACATCACACAACTTTTGAATTTGCAAACACAGATCAGAGAATAAAACAAAAGAAATAAAACAGAAACCACATTGGTATTGGTCCATAAGGGGCGGATGACCAACCTCCATAATTGTTTATAAATGTCCATTAATATTGTAGAATGTTGAATTGAGAATGTTGAGCTTTTTTTTTGGCTGGCTGACCTCATTCATGATCACTATTTATTTCCATATTTTTCCAGCACTTTTGAAACAGTATGTATATGAAATGTGGTTTATAAATAAAGATTGGACTGGACAATCTATACAAATGTCACTCTCACAAGTTAATGCTATTTCATTTTTTACCAGCAGAGGTCCCTGAAACTCGTGGGTAAGATCTTCCTCCTGCTTTAAAATGCAAATAACTTCACAGCACATTTAAAACTCATGATTCATTTCTTTAACCTATTTCAAATACTTCAACCCTATGAACTGGGTCATATCGTGATAAGACACTGATTTACCTGTAACTTCATATTGCCTGAGCTCATTGTACTTAAAAGCGTCCTCCATTGGCTTGATGGCGTTGTGGTAGATGTCCAGCAATTTCTTCTGAGCAGCTAAAAAAATAAACATAAACAGAATAATTGAGTATTTTGTCAAGCAATGGGGATAAAATACAGCAAACACATTTAGGGCAGGGATGATGTTAAAGCCCTGTTATTCCCTCTCATTACGTTTGATTAATTTATTAGGGTTCTGGCATTTCTGCAGTGTTTAGTCATAGTATCAAAACAAAGTATTCCACTTGAAGAGAACAGAGGGAAACAGTGCTGCTGATTAATCACCTGTCAAAAGACGCACATACACCATCCCCACATCAGGAAGCAATTTTGTGAGTACGGCACACAGTGTACAATGAGAACTCCTGAACCCTTTTCCTTGTGTGGTTTCTTTCAATTAATACCACTTTCCCATGGTAACTGTTAGCAGTCCGAAAGAATATATGTGCAGTTTTAGTATTTTAGTATCCATTCTTACATTCACTTTTTAATACAGTTAAATAGGTCTTATAAGATCTAATACAATAAGAATAAGAGAACCTTTATTCAACCCACATTGGGGAAATTTCAATGTTGCAGCGCATACACAGGACAGTATAGTAAGAGAACACAAGGAGCACACAAAATATACAATATAAATAGCTGTTATGTTTCTCAGCTAGCTGTAAATTCTTCAATATCAATGTACTGAATCTATCTATGTATGTATATAGTGGAAGTCATAAACATATAGGGCAGAATATGTAGATAAGTGACATTCAGTGGACATTCTGAATAGCAGAATTGCACATGATTACAGTATTGACTACAGATGAATGTACAGACTCAGAAGTTCTCATTGTACAGTCTGACAGCAGCAGGAAGGAAAGACCTATGGAACCTCTCCTACACACAGCCAGGGTGGATATATGCACTTGAGCAAGAAAATATGTATGGTTTCTGAATATTTGCTTCCACCCTGATGTGTCATTTGCCCCAATAAGATTTCAAGACTTTTACTAGAACACTGTGATATCATTTGTAAGAGTCTCACCTGTGAACTCAGAGGACAGTTCAGCAGTACTCAGGTGCAGTGTCTCCTCGATGTGGGTTCTGTCCCTCATTACTGGACCTGCTGGTTTGGTACTACCTGAGTGTGTAAAGAAGAAATATATTGAATCCAGTTGAGAAGGTGTCTATGGAGGTGCTTGAGTGAACGCTCCGTTAAACTTAAAAAAATTCCCAGACCATTTGTGAGGTCCTTTATAGCGACAAAAATGCCCACGATTGTAAAGTGCTTTGTGAATGAAATAAGGATCACTTACATTTTTCTTTCTTACTTATTTTTACATTCAAATCTGAACACTATTATTGCATGTTATTTAATCAGGATAGTCCCACTAAGATTTGTTCATTCAAGAAAACTGCTCAATCTGCATTCATTTTTTATTTCTTATTAAATAAACTGGTCAAACTGGTTTAGGTCAGATATATATTGTTTCATCAATGTTATATTTATTTGCTCAATGCCACTATATCCAGAGAGGTAACATTTCAGTTTGATTTCTCCTGATGCAAAAGCACTGTTCCCCTCACATGTGCAGAGAACCATCTGTGCTTCTGCTTCACCCTCTGGTGTCATCTGGCATTCATAGAACCACAGTCATACACATGACAAAAATATTCTATGAAGATTTGATTTGATTAGATGTCTTTAAATAATGTGGGGAAGCCCAACAATTATACCATGGCCTTAAAATCTTCTGACCTCATTTGAGATAATAAGATACACAAATGTAGATGTACAGTATTTCAAGGCTTCATCAAAAAGAAAGGAAAAACACTGCTTTCTTATCCAACAACCTGGAAAAATCAGCAATTCAAGATACCAAGTCTTGTTGCTGGCCAGAAAGGAGCATCTAGTTGACAAGTCTGGTTCATCCATCCATAAATATAAAAACCATGGGAATGTCCAGCCCTGGTTCCACTGTGGAGGGAGATGTGTCCCAGAAATGAACATACTGAGGTCTGATTATGCGAATCAAGCATCGGGCAAAGTAGCTATAAAATGGTTTTTGGACAAGTCACTGTTTTGCAGTGGCCATCACAAAGTCCTCATCTCAATCCCACAGAAGATGGGATTGACGGGATATGTGTGAGTGAGGTGGCCTACAAACCTGACTTAGATCAATTCTGTTTATTTATATTTATATTTTTTTGGTTGGGACTATGAATGTTAATGAACACGTCACTCCAGATTCTAGCCATGGGCTAATTTGCATTGGACTCACAAACACACACTCATTCACCCTGATGTGAATGAGTGTTTTTAGTGGTAGGGGAAACCGGAGCACCCGGAGGAAACCTACGCAGACACGAGGAGAACATGTAAACTCCACTCAGAAAGGCCCTGTTCTGACTGGGATTAAAACCCAAAACCTTCTTGCTGAGAAGCGAGAGTGCTATCCACTCAGCCACAGTGGTCTCCTGAGTATGTGGTCCAGAATTTGTGCAAACTATTGTGAGGAGCTTGTGGAAGGCTTCTTGAGATGTATAATTCCAGTCGTACTAAAGACAATTGTACAAAGTAAAAGATAAGTTCATGTGTCTTGGTGCACATTCTTCTGATATAGAAACAAATGCACTGCATCATTCCATAAGCAGCACATATTTAAGCTTGTTTGATTGATGTTTCAGTTTATAAAAAGCTACATACTAAAATATAATTAGTTTTATATCACACACAAGAGCACAAATACAGAAGTGTTGAAGGGTCATCTGCTTCTACCCTCCCCCAGCAAAGGGTGAAGTTACTCTTGTTCATTTGGTCCAACTGTTATATCATGCTACTGCCCATCTCTATCCTGTTCCTCCGCTATTTCAGGCCTTTTATTTTCGGACTACACTCTTTCTAATTCGGCTCTAACTACACAAATGCCTACCTTGTAATATAGGGTTTTAAAGTCTTCATTTCTTTTAGTAAATCTTTGTTTCAAGATAGTTTTTTGTCCATGTTTTTTATGGACTTTTACACTGCAGGTTTTACATCCACAATTTTTCATCCCAACTGAACCAATATTGGCCCAGTTAAGTGAACCGGATTAAAAAGTGAAAACGCATTGAAACAATTAGAGAGTGCATTTTTGATTAATACATTGTATGTGCTGGAGTACCAGATACCAGAACATTAACCAGTAAACCAACAAGAACTAACCAGTCCTATAATATTTCCTGGACAGTGGGGTCAGGCCTTTGTCTGTATTCTGTCACTATTACTTATAAATTATACTAGAGCATAAAGGAAAGCACATTCCAAGAAATTTACCTACGTTGCCAAGAACAATAGCCTTGCACCAATCTGTTCTGCCTTGTTTGGTGTTTGTTAAAGCTGGGGCACCTGACTTTTAAACCACAGAAAATGTAATTATGTCATGAAATAACCAACAAGTTCCTCGCTTTTCACATGCATGAATGTTTGGCCTCAGTCACATCTTTAGACTACACATTTCAGACAGAAAAGTGAACAGAAGACCACCCTCTCTTAGTCAGTCAGCTCTCTGCCAAAAGCTTCATTGGGCTCTAACTTACAAGTATGCAAAATATAACATGTTTCCTAATAGGATGAAGACAGCATGATGTGGTCTGATATGTTCATAACTTTTTTACAGGGCTCTTTCTGTTGGGACAAACTAATTGTGTTATTCTTTAAACATACCTTTCCAATTGCCTTGTAACTGCATTTGTGACGTGCTATATTTGACTTGCAGCACATGATTGTAGAAGCCATGTTGCAGGATCAGAGGAGACTTGAGAAACTTTTGGCCTCAGTCTATTATAGCCCATGTCAAGACCTGACAGCGCATAATGGCATGCCTTCTTAATCACAGAAGCAGCAAGGGCATCAGGGTAGATTGAGTGTAACACGAGATTGGTAACATATAAGCCCACAGTGTAAGAGTGGAGACTCAAGTTACTTGGATCATGCATTTTTGCTGCTCGAAGCCAACAGAAGATAAAGGTTAAACTCTGAAAAAGTTTATTATTTACCTTTTGCTTTAGGCTGTGCCGGCTTTTCTTCAATCACTTCCTCAACAATAGCGTCTGCAATGGTTTCCTCATGTTGGGAGTCTGTGGTGACCTCAACCACAGGCTCTGGTTCTGCCTCTGGACTGGCAGATTCAAGCTCAGGCTGGATCTCGTCTTCTCTTTCAGTCGATTGGTCATCTAATGCAGGAGAATCAACAGTTGGCTCAGATTCAAGAATGGCTACCTCCTCAGTAGCTCCTTCTTCAACAGTGCTCTCTTCCTGGGGCATCTGTTCCTCTGTGTCAGAGCTCTCTTCGTTAGCATTTTCTAAAGCAGCAACAGAATCAGTAGAGGCCTCATCGGCTTCACTTTCCTCTTCAGTTTCGATTTCAGCCTGTCCTTCATTAAATACTTCCTCAGCTTTTGCCTCTTCTGTTGGTGCAATGGCTTCCTCTTCGGTTATCTAAAACATCATGTATATATATATTAAATTGTTTATCTGGCAGTATTCATATGGTGCCATTTGCTTAAATGGATGGTGACAGATAATGTGAAGTGCTTTTCAGTTTTGGGTTGGTGCAATACAAAAAACGCTTTTTATACTATATGTTTGAACTTTTCTGATTTGATTTTATCCTATGTGGAGTAGACACCAAGGCAATGAGAGAGCACTTGTGGAAACTAATGGGGATCCAAATAAGCACATAAATAACACAAATTCATCCATATGCATTTATCATACACATAGGTTTTGAAGCCACAGCTGCCCTGGGGTACCCGCATGGTCACAAGAGGCTGCCAATCTGTCTTTAGCTCCTCATACACACTCACCAGAATCATGCACTACACTAAGAACTGTTTGAGCATCCGGGAGAGTGCACATCACTGGCAATGAACCTTAACAATTGCAACTAAAAGTATAGAATGCCATTAGTGGAAACTAAGAGTGAGCTGGTTTTAGCTTATCCTGGCAATCTATCAATAATTAGTTTCTGTTTATTGAACACACATTTTAATTCAGACATATTCCTTAATTCCTTGGGTATACGTGACCCTGCATGTGTGAAGTGTCCTCTGATTGACTCCAGGCGGGAGTTGGATTAATATAAGCTTTTTTCTTCATCCAATCCCAATTCAAACCATGTACAGGTCTCTTTGTATATGCCAATTGACCACTGTTGTATTTTTCATGTATTTAATCATTATAATTTAGTATCAATTCTTTGTTTTTAAAAAGCATCAACCTGTCCAGAAAGGCCTGGTGTGGCTGCAGGTTTTCATTCCAACCAAGCAGGAGCACCCCAGATTCCAGCCATTTAACCAAGTGAGTCCAGTCTTAGCCTTGACTGAACAAGCTGGTCAGGAGGGCCAGCTCCACTCTGGGCTGCCCCCTGGACTCTGTGGAGGAGGTCAGGGACAGGAGGGTGCTAGTCAAAGTCACCTCCATCATGGACAACACCTCCCACCCACTGCACAGGACTGTAGAGGAGCTGAGGAGTTCCTTCAGTGGAAGACTGAGACACCCTCAGTGTAGGAAGGAGCGCTACCGCAGGGCCTTTATCCCCACCGCTGTCAGACTGTACAATAAGTCACTTTAAATGATCACTGTGTGAAAACCTGCACTACTATTGACACTGTTTCCAATTGACACTTGTCACTTTTGTTGTACATAATTATTGTCACTTTTATTGTACATATATATCCTGCATGTAACATGTTTGCACATTTCCTCCTTTTGCACAATCTGAGTGTTCTATCCATGCCGAATGTGACATGTAAATTTCTCCTATGTGAGATAAATAAAGCACATCTTATCTTATCTTAATAGTCTGTCCTGTGGTCCTCAAACCTGTCCAGAAAGGCCTGGTGTGGCTGCAGGTTTTCATTCCAACCAAGCAGGAGCACACCAGATTCCACCCATTTAACCAAGTGAGTCCAGTCTTAGCCTTGAGACTCGATGATGACTGTTCTATGTAGAATCTGTATATAGTTGATCCTGACTCGTAGCCTAAACATGTGGAATGAGTTGGCTGTAGAGTTAAAAGACTGCAAAAGTAAACAACACTTCAAGACCTTGCAGAAGAAGAATATTATTCAAACATATTGATTGTGAATGCTGAGCAGAAATTAATACGATTATGGAGTAAATGTCTTATTTTGATATGTCTGTAGCAGCAGCTATTTAAGTTTAATTAATATTAAAAGGTCTTTAAGCTCCAGACCTTATTTGGACCTTTTTTTCCAAGTGCATGAAAGAAACTTCTGATTGTTTCCACTTACTTCTGTTGGCTCTTCCTGGTCCTCCTCCGCTACTTCCTCCTCCGCTACTTCCTCCTCCGCTACTTCCTCCTCCGCTACTTCCTCCTCGTTTTGTTCTTCCCCACCTTCCACAGCCTCCGCCTCCTCTGCAACAACCTCAATGTCTGTGTCTTTTTGTATTTGAGTTTCCTCTTCCTCACTCGTTATCTCCTCATCAATAAAATCTTCTCCTTCGTCTTGCTCTGTTGCATCTCCGACAACCTCCACCTCACCTTGTTCTCCGTCTGCAATGAAAACCTCATCACTGGACTCGTCTTGTAAGTTTTCTATATCTGCTCCTGCCTCTTCCTCTGTTGAATCAGTGAATTCCTCCACATCGCTCTCTTCCTCAGGCTCCTCTTCAGCCTCAGTATCTCCCAGCTCTGTGTTCGTGTCCTCGGTCGGCTCTTCTTCATCACCGTGAACTTCCTCTTCCTCCGCTGGCTCCTCGTCCTCATCAGTGACAGCTGAATCTTGACAATCCTCTTCTTCATTTGTTATCTCTGCCTCTGCGTTGACTTGCTCCTCTGTCTCTTCTTCAACATCTTCTTCAGGGAATGTCACAAATTCGTCTTCTTCATCATTTAATAAGGAGCTGTCCTCTAGGTCTTCATCCGTCGCTTCGTCCTCCATCACTTCTTCCTCCATCACTTCTTTCTCCATCACTTCATCCTCCGTCACTCCGTCCTCCAGAGGGGCCTGAAACATTTCCATCAGAGTATTGAAGAGTTATGGCCCAAACAATAATCACCATGACATGTACAGTAGTAAATAATGAGTAGTGGGGGATGCGCAAATATCAATCAATCAATAAACTTTATAGATATCTAGGGACAATTAACTTAGATGAAGGGCAAAAACTTCGCCAATAATTCAGTCCTAATTTATATCAGGGGTGGGAATTGATATTCTCTGGAGGCCCGGGATTTCGCATGGTTACTTTCCAACATATTTGCTACTTTCTTATAGCAACGTGAAAACTTTACTTTATATAACATGCAATGGTACAGATATGGGAGGGTCCAACGGCCATATGGAAACATGAATCAGTCCGAATGTAGCCCCTGGGCCGCAATTTGCCCAGGTCTGATTTACGTGCTAGTACAGGGTCAAATATGGTCATATACATATTTGGATTTGAACATTACCTTTAAAAAAATGTTTCAACGTACATGTGTGTATGGATCTAAACTTATAAACAAAAAATACAATATTAAGTTTTATTAGCCACAAGATCAAGTCAAATTCCATTCACCACTCAAACTGAGATTGAGGAAAAGATTAAATATAATATTATAAAGAATCAGATTAAAAGCTGAGTTGATGCAGATACTGTATTATTGTCACCTCATTGTGTTCATCATCCAACGCTGTCTCTTCTTCATTCGCTTCATTCTGACTTGATTCGCCTGTGTGTGTTTCTTCCTCGCTCCCTCCGTCAGCCGCCTCCTCGTCTTCAGGGGTCACTGGTGCGGAGCAGGGCGGACAGAGCGGCCGGTCGGGGGCAGGCGTGTCGTTGGATGAACTCTGAGCTGTATGTTCATCTGTGTCACATCCACAGTGGAACATGTCTGTGTCGTCGGGCTGCTGGAGCTGTAGGTGCACATCCTCCGGGACAGAGGGGTCCGGCGACAGCTCTGAGGGAAAGGGGAATTGTTTTACTAAAAATCTTGGAAAATTTGAATATTTTGTAATTGGACTGTCAACCATAATCATCAAAATTATAACAAAAAATTTCTCTTTGCATTAGTAATGAGTCTATATCATATATTAGTTTCATTTTTTGATATTAGTTTCATATTTTGAGTTGAATTACAAAAACCAATTAGCTTTTGAGCAATATTCAAAGTTTGCGAGTTTCACCTGTAATCTGGGAGAACCAAATCAAAGAGGTTATACAAGTATTATGCATTAGATAAACAGAAAATCCAAGGCTCTCTGGTTTCAATATGTCTGTATTGCAATGCTCCAAACCTCCTTATTGTGAAAATATGATTTATTATTTGTGTTTGTTTAGTCCATTAGGTGTGATCTTCAACATACAGTATTTACTTTGGTACTCTCATGGATAATACACAAAATAAATTTTGTGGACAAAACAGAAAGAAGATTTATGTAAAGGATGTCGTGAAATGTATTCAGTGTCTGTAGGAAATAGCTGTTGACAATCCCAACTTGAATGCAATGCGGTAAAGTGAGAGGAGTGTTTATTGCTGAAAAGCCACTGCTGCCGTTCATTTGTACATCTATCTATTTATCTATAACCTGAGCAGATACATAAAGTGACAGGACAGAGCTTGACATTAAACAAATATATATAGAATGTATTGGTAACTGAGTGAAAACAAAAACAAGATGTGTGTGTGTGTGTAAGCGTTGTGGTGTGTCTGTGTGTAGCATGTGTGTGTGTGTGTGTGTGTGTGTGTGTGTGTGTGTGTGTGTGTGTGTGTGTGTGGTAATATGAGGAGGGGATGTACTGATCTGGACATTGCGGTTTGTATGGACAAGTGAATGTCATTAGTAACAGTCTTGTGTGATGCCATGATGTTTGTACGGGACGCTGTTTACTCTTGAGAGGACAATGAAATACTTGTAAACTATAGAATGTAATGGGATATTTAATGAATGTGTAAGACTAATGTCCCTTTCTTGTCTGTGGGTCACTCCTGGGACCTCGCGGTGCACAGTGAGGGGACAGAGAGGGACAGGTGCCTGGTACAGAGTGCCACCTCAAAGAGACAGAAATAGCCCCACAATGAGTCAGAGGGCAAAAAGAAGGAGGGATATTTCCACTCCTATTTTCAGCAATTGTAATGCTCCCTCTTTTATTATTGTCATGGTATCTTTTGTAAATTACGATGCTACTATTGCACTATACTACTGCAACAACATGCTCCATACTGGCATCAGCAAGACGACAGTGGAGACCGTTTACATCTCTAAAATGCATGTCCTTTTCTTTTCTCAGACTGTGTTAGGTCAGTAATCCTCATGAATTCTATATATTAAACTATTAAAAAGTGAGAAAAAAAGCACATATTGTTTTAAACTGTGTAAAATTTCGGTTCCATCTAGTTTAGGCCATATTAAAACATTTGCATGTTAATTAAAAGTTGTTAAACACAGGTTACATTGGGTCCACCAGGTAGTGCATAATGATACTGCAACATGAAGTTTTACATTGTCCTGAAAAATAGAAACCTGGGAAACATACTTTTGTGATAAGAGAATTTATGTTCATCCATGTGTGTTGCCATTTCAGCTCCATGATTCACGTATCAAAGTGTTTAACAGTCCTTGATTATCTGCTTATGTAACCCAGAGTTCAGCTGCTCCGAGGTCCAGTTCTGTCCTCTGCAGCGCTCCCCTGTGCCCGTTATAGTCGGGACACCCCCTCGTCTGAGATCGCACATCAGAGACATTACACCTACTCCAAAAACCTTTAGTTGCTCGTCAAATGCAGCTCAACATAAAAAAATATGTTTTTTTTCTTTCGTATCAAAATCACTCTTGCGCATAACCAGATGGCATTTTCATGAACAATAATACTCAGAGAAGGACACCCAAGGTTAGCTTTCCTGGGAAAAGAAATTAAAGAAAATTTGTGGAAAACAAAAGAACCATGGTCAGTAACTCATAATCACTTTAAACTTCTAAAATATAAATTATCTAACAAAAAAATTTCTAAATATCTAACAACAACCAACAGTTGGTTGTGGATCTGTTTCTGCTGCTGACAGGGGGGTGTGTCGAGACAAGAGCAAGCCGTTCTATCAGCTGCTGTGACGCATCAGCTCGTATGTAGAACTAAACACTAGACACTTACATGCAATTATACCAGCGCTGCAAGAATGAAAGCAGGGGTACTTAAAAGTTTTGGTTTCATTTGTACAATTTGCAGTCTCGTTTAAGTAGAAATTTGTGAGCATATCAGACCACAACATGCTGTCTCATCCTTATTATAAAACATGTTTTACGTATAAGAGCTGAATGGATGGCTTTGTTTGACTTTTTGTCTAAAGCACTGCTGTTGTGATTTAGGGCTGTACAAGAATGAAGTGAATTGAAAGACGCTGATATAAAAACGTGACAGAGGCCAAAAATACAAGAATGTGCCAACAATAGAACCAAACAATGTTGATATCTTGGTGCATGTTAATAAATAGTTCAATAGTTCTTTTGTGTTTTCCAGCTTTAAAGAGAAAAAGAATTGACCAATTTCATACTGTATGTAGAAGCAATCACATTTAATATTTTGTATGGATATTTAGAGTAATCTTTCAATATACAAGAGATAGACATAGGGTTACACAATATTTGACTAAAGTAGTTAAATTAAATAAACAATTACACAGAAAACAAGTTTGTATGAGTTATTGAAGGAGCAGCAGTGATTACAGTATTAACACTGTTTATAATGATTTAAAGTAAAGCTACATTTTGAATGGCATTTTTTTTTTCATGTGTTTTTTTTTTAAATGAAAAGCCCCTCATTGTGTAGTCTTACCTGCTGCAGAAGAGAGCAGCAGACACAGTAGCAGGCAGCACCGCGACGTCGCAGACTCCATGTTTGGTGCCAGGGGCCTTTCTGTCGCTCTGCTCCTCTATATATACAGTGTGGACAGGTGTCATGTGACCCTGGGCGGGACACCACACCAGCCCCCATCTATGTGGACGTCAGCTGCAGGAGACCACCAGAGAGACGATGGCAGAAATATGAAGATCATTTCTACTGCATTAAAGCTGGGGTACCTATTTTTTGGACAATTAAGGAGTGCAATACATTCTAATTCCATGCTCTCACAACAGTTTTATCCCATCACTGGTTTTCAAATGAATGTATTTTTTGGCCTCTGTCACATATTTTCTTTTTAGATCGAGAAGTGAAACAGAGGACCACCCTCTCAGCCCAAAGCGTCAAATAGTGACTCAGAGGGCTTTTTCCCACACCCATGCAAAAGATGTTACGACGGACACTGCATGTTCTGACCTGATTTGTTTACATTTCATTTCACTTTTACAACTCTAAGTTGGGACAAATGGCATGTATTATTTAAGATCAATAGCATTAAGACAATAGCATACAAACTATACTTTTCATATTATCTCCGTGCGACAGAAAGCAAGCGTGTCACAGAATTACACTATTTTACATGTCATGCAAACTGCTACACAGCTGAGAAAAAAACAGACACAAGGTCTAATAAAAAAGTACAAATTTTATTTTCTTTCTTTTTTCAATTTTACAAAAGTGAGTTTACCCAATTTTAATAAACAAAAATATAACTGTTTCTTGTCATCCTGGACAAAATAAAACAAAAATGCTTGTCACCAAAACACAAATTAGACAGATAATGAATAAACACAATAATGGTGTTAAAATGTGTCACAGCAAAAAGCGTACAAAAATACATGGACAAATTCACTTTTGACCGTTGATTCAGGCAGTACAGAACAGCAAGTGCTTTATATCCCAAGTTCATCTATGACAGCAGTTCTGCAAACGTCAAGAATGAAGAAAACACGACATAATAGACTGGCATTGGTCAGTAAACTAGACCTCTTTCTATCAAAGCTCCACAAACATCGGAAAAGAAAAGCCTACAAAACCCAATACAAGTGTCAAAGAATTCACACAAAAGGCCTGGATCACAATGAAAATTAGCAGTAAGACAAAATAACAAAAGGCCGCTTTAGTCGAGATTAACATGCATCAATTAGAAAACATAGAAAAACGAGAGGTCTAGATCCAAATCAATGGAATGTTTACAGCATAAAAAAAACTGAAGGGCGGCGCACGCTTTTCCAGTCAAACTCTTGTGACAAGCAAAAAAACATGAGATGGACAGACTTTCAGAAATAAATCCACAGACGATAATCCATAGTGCAGTGCTTGATGTCAACTTCTCAAATTCATATTGAAGCTTGGCCTGAAGTTACATTACAATGACAAATACAGTTATGGTCCACTTGAAAGTTGGATAGTGATCAAACTTTTCAGATTGTATTTATCACCAATTGGAAGTTAAAAAAGCAATACTAAGCATATGGACTGAAGTGCTGACTTTCAACTGAGCAAGAGCATTTTCACAACAGAATTCTTCTTCAGGAGGGTAAAAGTAAACACTATTAGACCAAGATCTGCAGCAATCATGCCCGAAGTGAATAGTAGAAGTGCAGGACTCCATGTACAGTCTTAATTTTAAAAACACCTGCCAAACCCAGATGCTCGTCAATCATATGTGACATCACCTTTGAGTGTACAAATATAGTTGAGGCTTCATATAAGGAACAATTATTCCCAAAGATATATTTTCTTTTTTTAAGCTGTGGCGTTCATGCATCAACATTTACAATGATGAATAATTTGCAAAACTTAAAAAACAAAAGCTTAGGTCACTATCCAAGTGTTTCAAAGACCAAACTGTAGATGAGGGGTGCAGTCAAAGTGCCAAACACGTGTTGGTAAAAGCAGTGTTTCTGCTGCACTTTCCCCCATTTATATCCCCTACATTCTTCAGCATTATGATGTCAAGTTTCATGAGAACTTTGTAGGTATGCACATCGCCTACTCACGGTGCATAGTTTCTTCAAAACATAAATCACCCAAACAAACAAAATGCAGATCCAAATGCATAAATACAAGACTGTTTAGTGCATAGTCACTAAGAAAATTAAGACCATTTTGTTTGAAAATGAAGCCTCCATGCAAACAATATCTATCAAACATATATAACCTGACAAGTCTGCAACATTGTCTCTCCTTGTAAAACATCACAAAGCTGGTCATCACCAAATGCCAAATTTATAATAATTTAAAGTATTCGGTAAATCAATTAAATTACTGGTAATAGCTTATTTGAAGAGCTTATTTGATTTCACTTTAAAACAAGTATTTATCCTTGGAAATTATTCTGATCGCAATGAGTCTATTCATATCTTAAGTTATGTCAGTTTTAGATGTTGGAGCACCGGACAGTCAGAAAATAAAACAATACCAAAAACAGATGGTTAATGAGATGTGGCCTTCTTCATGGGTAGGTACATTCAAACTATATTTAGTGATGCTGTACAAATAATACTGTCGGTGTGTCAGAGCCAAATGTAACAAATCTGATTGAAGTTAAATGGCATCCACATGATGTTTGTAAGGTTATTGTACATTTATATATTTCACGTTTTTTTTTGCAGAACCGCTTCCGATTGGCCGACTTACTGGAGTTTGGTAAATGTCACAGATATTCGTTTTTTCAAATGTAGTCGAGCTCCAGGGGCCCTCTTGCAGTGAATCAGTATTAAGTGTTTGGTAGTTGAGTTCAGTGGACAAACCGCTCAGTTCATTGAGCAGTCCTCTCCCTCGGTGTCTGTGTCCGTCTCTGAACATGTGACTTCCAAAGCAGCATGACTGGGGCTAACAATAACAGCTCGCCTCTGCTCCTCCTCTGCACTGGCTCTCCTCTCCTGATTGCGTTCAATATGTTGAATAGCCTAAAAACAAAAGAAAAAATAAAACACCATTAAATGTATGTATCAAGTTGTGATGTACTTTAACCTTTTATGGACCCTCAAAGACACTTTACAATATATTATTCATTCAATTGACGATGACTTCAGTGTTGTATAAGGGCACAACAGTTAAGCGCCCATCACTGTACTAGGCAGGGCCCTCACTGCTTAGCTTGCGCGACCTGACAAAGTATGATAGATATGGCCACAATGATAAAGACAACCTATATTTGTCTCAGTGTAGAAATTCCTGTGTTGCACAATCAGTAGGAATAAAATGAAGCACTCAAAACAGCTGGAAATATGTAAAGAATAACACAATTCTTTGGCTAAACTTCAAAACTATATTTACACAAAAAACCCCAGAATCCTAGTGTTACTGAGGAGAAACACAGTAGGTTTTTCTAAAAGGGAAGTTTCAGTCCTATGATACAGTGTGACGTGAGGAGAATCCTACCTGCACTATAGTGTCAAGGTTCTGTCTGGAGGTGGACACGGTGGCGGTCTGGCCTGATGGACTCATGGTCACCACAGTCACATGATGAGGCTGCGGTTGTGTGGGCGCTGGGACGATCACTGTGGGGTGATGTGTGGGGGCGGGAGGTGCCGAAGGTGCACGTACCTGACAGGAGAAGATGCAGCATAAAAATGTTTATTCAGGAAGCTTTTGATACATTCTATAGAAACACAAGTATCATCTGACTTTTATCAGAGTCTGAAGCATTCAAAACCTGTGTGACTTAATCATATACAATGGAAATCTTTTTTTTGTGCTGTCAAAATTAGTTTCTCCAACTTTAAGCAATATTGGATGACTTAAACATCTCAATGTCATATTATCCATGTTACTTGTTCCCCGCTTTCCTTTTTGTCAAAACCCACCTTGCGTTGATGATTTTTTTTAACCGAACTTTGAAACCACAAAAAACCACCAATGTAATAAAATCCGTGTGTTCCTAGGTCTCAAAACTGTTTTCACATACACGTGTTCTGTACAATGAGGGCAGGTGCTCTTTTCCTCACTGAAAAGAGAACCAGCCAATCAGTTGTGATGCTGAGGTCTAATTTGAACACTATGTATAAAACGACTTTATATGAGGACAAACAAATGTATTTCTGAAACAAAAAAAAGCTATTGAGCTCCAATAAGCTTCAAAATGATCACTATCTTTGCGACCAAAAAAGTCTTAAGTACTGAAGTATTTGTTCAATTTAGACTGGAAATAATCTTAAAAGAGAAACCATAAAACATGCTCTGACCTGTGCTGTCTGTTTGTCCAGTGCGTGGATTTGCTTTAGTCGTAAGAGCGTGTGGTTCTGCAGCAGAGTCTGCTCCTCTTCCACCTGCTGAGTGATCACCTTCAGAGACTGTCCGTCCAAGGTACGCACCTGTGTCACATAAATGCAACATTTTATATTTGGTCATCTCTCTAACAACAAACTGTGATGAACAAACTAAACCAAACCTATTCAATTTAAGATGCAGGGGCCTTATCAAGCTTATCTGATTCACCATGCTGCCATCTTCCAACATTTCAAATCGTGTTCATAGTTCCACTTGTTTTATTTTGGTTTATTCCTGGTTGGTGCTAGTCTAGTCCTCGTTTACTGTAATTCTGGATCAGGGCTGCTTTGCAAATTTGCAGAGCAATGTTGATAAAGCATTTTATTTTCACAAAATTATAAAAGTTGTTATAACATCATCAAAAAGCCGAACTCTTAATTGAACATTTTGTGCAACACCAAAATGTATTGAAAGTTGCGGCATGTCCTGCCCATCATTCAATCGTTGTCTAAATTTATAAATATTTGTAGGAAGAAGGTCCGCACAGCTATTATCTCCCAATGTGTCTTTATTGCTTCCACCAAACTGATATTTTGGCCCATTCAGACAAAAGGTCATTCAAATGCACCTGTAGTTAAGTCAGGGTCTATAAATAATCACAGATTTAAATAGAAAAGTCAGACAAATATGTACAATGTTTTCAGAGTATTTACAATTAAATTGTTCAACAATTAACAAGAAAAATAAAAAGCAGAAAATATCACATAGTTGAATGTATGCATCGTGGCTATTCTAAACAGGGTAAAAACAACATAAAAAGAGACAGTACTACTCACAAAAAGACTGCAGTAATATATGAAGTTTGTTAATAAACAGTAGTAATTTAGTAATTATGTCAAAATAAAAACAGATCAGACAGATGTCAGGTTCTTTGGCACTTACATCCAAGCGTGTAAATCCTACGAAGAATAAGTCCTGGGATTATGAATAGCTCTGATCTAGGTGGCACAATCTTTTGTTTTCTTTTGCAGTGATTCTAACTGATAATTCTATAATGAGCTGCACAGGTATTAAGAACTGGAGGCACCCTTTTGTCTGAACCTGTTAGTCAGGTAGATTAGCAGCACTGCGTGTCCTCCAGTCAACAGTCCTCTTTGATTAACACCGGTTTTCTTGTCTAACCTGCTCCTCCAGTTGCATCCGAGCAGAGCGCTCTTTTTCAAGCTGCTGCCGAAGCTCCAGCATCTCTCGCCGCAGCTCGTCCACTTTATCCTCGTCCATCGTGTCCGGAGAACCAATGCCCTCATCTTTCTCCTCTGCCCGCTTCCTCTTTGGGGATGAACCACTGAACTCCTATGTGGACACACATTTGGGACACATCATCATACATGATTTCATTTTTTTAAGGAATTTGATTTGATTGTTTCTTTCCAATTTTAAAATGTCAACAGTGACTTAAAATAAAGAAGTTCAAACTTCATCCTATATAATTTTAGATTTAAATACTGGCGCAATCAATTTGTAAAGACATTTGGATGAAGTTTATTATGATTGTGAAGTATTAATAAAAAAATAACCAGAGAAAAGCCATAGGAGAAATTGTTACCTGAAGAAATCGTTTGAGCTGGTTATTCTGGGCCAAGAGCTGAGTCTTTTCCTGCTCCAGCGCATAAATATAATCTGCTGTCTGCTGCAAGATCGCCGCCTAAAAAAAGATGGGAAAATACACAATTATGGCATTCTGTCTCATTTATTGTAAGTTTATACCATACCTTGCTCAACTTTTCTCCATCTGCATGCGGCAAGAGTGATTTGAGGGAGTGAAATCCAGCATTGATGCTTTGCATTCGGCGTCGCTCATTGCTGTTTGCAATTTCCCGGCGAATCCGTCTTTCTTGGTCCTGTGCAGTCTCTGGACTGAGGGGGATGTTGGCAAGGCTGAAAACAAAGGTGGAATTTAACCCATTATTCGGTGCACAATATGGGAATGTAATATACAACTTAAATCAGGTCAATACAGCACAACTTTTCACATGGATCCTCATTATGTGAGTTACTCGGCAAGTCTTTCATGCTAAATAAGATCCATTGAGTTCACATGAACCCTGGAATCTGTCACATGAAATCACTCACACTCACTCAAGCGGCATGACAGTGCTCTGAATGAAATGGCCCTAAGGATTGTATTGTGCATGCAAAGAACCTATATAAAACTTTAGCTACTTAATGTATGAAGAATATATAGACAAAAAAAAATACAGTCATCAGTTTTAAATTGGTCCATGATTGGTCATGTCAAACCCGAGATATAGTATCAATGATTAACCGTGAAAGCGTCAATTAATAGTGCTAAAATAAGAGGCTGTGATTTTACCCAACTGCCGATAGGGGGCGCCTTGAACGCAGGAGCAGCAGTCAGTGAAATGTGACACCAGCAACAACAGGGCCCTGGCCGAGGGTAGAACAATGCTTTCCTACATTATTACCATTTCTTGACTTCAAAACATAAAAAGCCAACTAATATTCCGCATTTTGGTCAGGTGTGTCGTAAAAAGACGTGTTAAACTCGAAATGGCTAAAGTAATGCTCGAAACAGACGCATATCAAGTCGAACGCCATAAACACGATGTGCGATGGTGGCTAACCCGAGTGCTAACGAAGCTAAGCTAATTCCCGAGCACATGACACGGCAAATCTGCCACTCTGAACCTTGTTTTGACACGTACAGTCAGTGGCGAGCCGTGATTAACGTGAACGCAATGTTTATTCATAAATGGGAACACGGCTGACCCTGAGAAAGGCGTGCAGTTGTGGTTTGTTGCCGTGGTGAGAGGGAGCGCGTTATCTACCACGTGGTTGTGGACCATAATGTATCAGTTTCAGCAGGATCCCTAATATTCAGCAGTAACACACCACACTCCGCGTAGAGACACCACTGCGTGACCAGAGAGCGCGTGGAAGATCGGGAAAACACGACACGCACACATTTAATACATCAAACCAATGCCTTTTTTTGCACACCCCATTTCCGACGCCAGGGTAGCTTCTGTGCTAACATCACAAAACATGCACGCTTCACCCACATGGCGCACCACACGCTTTTCATACAGCCCCACGCACACGATGCACGCACCTGCACAGGCCCCCGATCACGTCCTTCTCCGTTTTCTTGAAGTGTTGCAAGGACGGCATCTTTTCAGTCTGCATCATAAAATATTCCATGCTCCCGAAGCCACCTGGTCAGCGCGGTGTATTTTTCTTTTTGATGTGTCGCGTTGTTGTGGTCGGAATAATATGCAACCTGCTGGCTAGATATCCCACTTCAGCATCACCTCATCCAGGCGAAAGAATGCGTATCTTCAGGTTATATTAAAGTGAATAGAGGCTTTGCGCTGGCTACTACAGCTGATGGGGTTCCCTCCAATGCCTGTGTGTGGTTTGATGCCTCCGCCTACTACGATGTGTGTGCGCAGCTGATCGAGGTGAGGCGGGAAACAGCTGGTTGAAATCAGACCTCTGTGCACTGAAAACAACAAAGGGGCGCTGCACACTGCACAAACAACACCAGAGGCAGTAGTTAAGAACATATATGTCTTTATTTTCTCACCGTGTCTTAAAAGCGTATACAAAAATACAGAACAATGTCATGTTATGTCTGCCTTATTAACACAAAGTAGCCATTGAGATCATAAACAAGTTCATAGTGTCATCCATGCAGCCAACTGCAGCTCCGCCACTATAGGCATGCTGTAGCTTGTTGTCTGGAACCCAATTTGTTTGTATATAGTGACATTGTTTTTTGATTTCTTGAAGTTTTTGATAAAAAAAGACATCTATGGCGCAATTAGCTGGCAAGAAAGTAAACATTTGTCAATCAGCCAACTCCAGCTCAGTCTTTTATAAACAATGTTATCGGCCAACGGGGACAATTCTGGTGAACTTAAGAGAGTATTCATACTGTTTGCCATTAAAATTGCTTTTCAAATTGGAAACTAGCATGAAACTTTACTCGGCTAAGTTATTAGTTACTGTAGGCGAGTCTGTGTGTTCTGTCCTCATCAATAATTGAGGAATATACAGATTTTAAACCAAACTGAGCGACATGTCAAAAAAGTAAATTGCACAAAGCAGATATAGGACCTTTTCACAAAAGCAGGTAACCACGACGACAGTTGATGAGTGCACCTTTTAGTGTTTCGCCATTTCATTGACATATACAAACAATACATAGCCCAGTATTTAGTATTTTGGCTTAAACTGAGTGACCATTAGCAACACTCAAAAGACCTGGCAATGAGAATAAGAGTTTTAGAAAAAGTAATGACAAAAATGTCAATACTGAAGTAAAATAAATTAAATGTTTAGTATGAATATCATGCACTCACTGCTACTACAGTATATATTTGCATCTGATCCTGGGTTGCCAATGTCTTCACCTCCATAACAGAAGACACACTTTGTTACATACTGTCCCTACAACCACAAGTTTATTTTACAACTTCATTACTTTCTGTAGCATAATGGAAACAATTCACCTACAAGAAGCAGCAGGCATAACATTTAAATAAATATGTTGTAACATTGATATTAAGGGTCTCACATTGTACTCCTATGTTTCTTATGACATAGTATTCAGACAGGGACCCCAAAATGAGCACAAATCTGACTCGCAACCCCCACTACATTACAAAAGTGAAAGTGAGCAATAATTAGAAGCATCAAAACATGTTAAATTAATTACAATGTTGGTTGAATAATGAATTGTGTGATCGGACCTGATTTCTCTGACTTAGAATATAGTTTTTGCATTAAAAAAAACCCTGACAATATGAAGTTGTCTCCCTCACTTTGGTAACCACTGACCTATCAAAATCAACATACAAACCCTAAAAGGCACTTATTGCAAAAACAACAATGACAATACAAAAGTATTTAAATATGGAGTCAGGTTTTTCAAAAGTACCTGAGCGTGTGGATGTATGGAAAGGACGTGTGCAAAGGAGACTAAGAGGCAGAGGGCTTGCTTCTCTTCGTAGCATTTTCTTCTACTGCAAAGGTGTAGTTATACTAAAACAAAACCTTACAGTCAGAGAGGAAGAGTTCAACCGACTCAAATGTATCGGGCAATTTAATTTACCTCATTCTCAATGTCTTGAATGGACTTTATGCGAATGTTGTTTAATTGAGAACTCAGTGGGGATCCCTGTAAAAACATTGTTTGAAATACTCAGTTAATAATCAGAAGCTACAGGTTAAAAGGTGAAAAATCTAAATTATAATGAGCAAAATATAGCACCAGATAATTATACATCTTTTACAGTTTTATATTTGAGGAGAACAATTACTATTACAAAACTAGAAAACTCAACATGTGACCACTAAAAAGCACATTATCACAGAAAATATGATAGAGTAATTAAAGGAATAGAAGTTATAACACATACGTTGCCATTGGCTGGAACATCAAACTTTGGATGTAGGCTGAAGGGAACTCCGTCCAGTGCTACAAAGACAGAACAAGTAATAGCTCATATGGTTACTACGTATCCAGAGAAAGCATCAGAGGGAAAGAGTTGGAAGCAACAATACCTGTCATTCCCTGGAGGCTGCTCTCAGCTGGCTTGTTGTCAATATCATCTGTGACAACAAGGTCACGTCGTCTATGACTCAGTCTTCCAGGTGGCACTGGAGGGAGGTTACTTTGAGAGAGGAGAAGTGCCATTTATAAGAAATTGACATACTTATACATGTTAAGTTTTCTCACCTATTTTTAACATCATACCTGGGCTTCAGAGGAAAAAGAGGAGTTGAATGGTCCAGAGAGAGTTTTTGAATGTCAAGGCTAACTCTTCTGGGTTTGGCTTGGGGCTCTGGGCATGAAAAAGCCCCTTTTCTGCACCACAAAACATAGCCATGGACATCTCTGTAGAAAATAAAAAAAAAGGTGTCATCCAGGTTAATGGCATTAAATAAAAAACAAAAAGTATAACAGATGGCGGGTTTGTAAAAAGCTAATATACCTACCCCACATATGTGTAGTGCTGTAACATCATTTTGCTTTTGCCAGTGAGTTTAATATCCAACACAGCTGTATCCACACTGCCGATGGGGACGAGACGCACACAAACCCGCTTCTTTTTGGACACAGTGGCCCCTAACCACAGAAGCATCACCGTAGAGTTATTCAACATTACATATGTTTATTTGTATGATCAAAAAAGGACAAGAATTAAAAAATGTCATATAAATCCATTTTTAATGTTGTACCCACTTGGTTCAAGATGCTCTGCAATGTAACAGTACCCATGAGGAATTGAGTCTTTTTCTGAAATTAGTTGAACGTCTGACACCACCATACCACCAGTCAAATCCTATAAAAAAATCAAGTCAAATTTCAAACAGGATCTGCAGACGTAATTTGATCACATTGTTTCCAATCAGGCATTTTGCCACTGACCTTGCTGTAACACAGATAGTAGCCAGATCTCATTGCAAAGCTACGGGTAAAGTTAGCAGCAGCTCCATCTTCTGTTATGCTTATCTGGAAAAAGCAAAACAAAAATGCATAAAACAAATCAACACCATGACATGTTATAAAATCATAATAGGAAAGTCCAGCCAACCTGTCCCTAAGGTAAATATCTCGTGGGTTACATAGTTAGACTGTTCCCTTGAAAGGAATGTTTATAATTTGATCATACATAATTCAAAAAGTTCTTACCAATGTGAAATCTTTGGGACAAGTGCTGGTGTTAGAAGTCCAGGCTACAGCAGTGATTGGTCGCACTTCTCTATGTGGAAGAACAAGGGACATCTAGGAAAAACAATAAAAAGAAACATAATACGTGGAATAATAGAAATCCTGTCACGAGAGTCAAACCGAGTAAAACAGTTCGACAAAGTAGGGAATATTCGATTATTATCTACAAAACGACTCATGACATAGCACATTCAAGTCTTATTATTCAAACTAAAACACGAAAGCTTTTATTTAAAAAAACACTTTAACAATAACACAGACAGGAGTTTTCAATAATGTTAGCGTTACATACAAGCTTGTGTGGTTTCTAAATACAAGATCAACTCACACATTGTCAAATTAAAGCTGCGATGACAGGGCGACTACACCTCGGTGACTACATTACAATACATTTTCCACGTAAAAAAACCTCGACTTCTTTTTCTGCCTTTCAAATTATGTTTATTCTTTCTTCCTCCCGTAGATAATACAACAAAACTCACCTTTGTTTCGCCTTCACGTCTTTATCTGAGGAAAGACTCGATTTTCGGAGCACAGAAACTTTAGTACTTCTCGATCAAATAAATAGGTGGCTTTTTAGGTCGCCTTTTCAGCAGGAAGTATCCGAGCAGTGAGAACTACAAATCCCAGCGTAGCACACGTAATTACATTTACATTTTCAACCACACGAGGGAGACATTTCACTGTGATCCCTTCAAAATAAATTGGCCAAAATAGAAAATAAATAATAAAAACGAAGGCTTAAATAAACAGACTAAATCATAAACAAGGGTTCACCACAAATTGAGTAAGTAAATAAACTAAGGTAAAAAATAATAATAATCCAAAGTTAGCGAAAAAGTTGAAGTTGTTTTGTTGTTGTAGACGATGCGGAAGTTCTTTTTGTTTAGCGTTAGCATGTTCAACTTAGCATTTTTTTTCCCCTTCAGCATCAGCAATCTACGAAAAACAGCGGATAATAAAAACGTTTACGATCACGTCCTATGGGAGAAAGACATATATACATACTGTTTGGACATAATTCTACAATAATCGCGTTTTTACACGTTTTACGGTGAAATACGCGCTGGCCGTCGGACAACTAGACAACCAGAAGAAAAAAGGATCACGGAGGCGACATTATTGTCAAAACATACCGCATTTATGACCTATTAAAGAAAGTTACAGCGCTTCTGTATTACAATCACATCCGAGCTATGCGTTTTTTATGCCATATCCTTTTCAAACATTATTTATAATTTGTATTTTATAGGATTATTTTTCTGCAAAGTTTTTTATGTTACAAATATTGGAACGCAGTTATTTTTTTCTTGATCTTGTGGGACAGGTTTTTGTGTCAAAAATATACCGCTTTTGATTTTACGAAGGCGTTTATTAAAAGCGTGCTACCTTTGACACATTCTGAACATTGATTTTGGCATTCTATTATTTTTGCTTCATATTGTCAGAATGTGGAGTACAACGAAACTTTAATTTTTCTCGTGATAAGTGCCATATTAATGATCAGGATGTCTGGTCATAATGGGCAGTCCCATGAAGGCGTGAGGGACCACCACAACCAGGACCAGCATCAGCAGGATATAGGCCAGCTCCTCCAGCAGATAATGGTCATCACAGAGGACAGCTTAGACGAGGCTCAAGCCAGGTACAAGCCTGAACTACCAAATGTTCTCAAGCTACAAATGTGTGTTATACTGTAGTCATCATGTCACTACACTGATCAAAGTAGATGAAGTATGCTCTCTCCTTGCAAACTGCGAGTGCCAACCATTCACACATTCTCTGGCACTTCTTACTGTCATCATGTGTGTGTGTGAGATCAATAAAGTCCTATCTTATCTTATCTTATGTTTATGTTTCATCTGACTTTTTCGGCTGGAATTTAAAATTAGTGAAAATAGTTCGAAGAATAATATTATGGTTCTGACTCTTTCCATTGTTCTCTACAGGAAACATGCATTAAACTGCCATAAACTGAAACCTGCCTTGTTCAGCGTCCTCTGTGAAATCAAAGAGAAGTCAGGTACATTCTAGTTTTTATGGTGGGGTTAAACTTTTCAGATTTGGGTAAAATTCTATGGTTATAAAATTGTAGTATTTTGGGGTGTTTTTTAGTTGTTATTTTAGATATTATCATATGCTTAAAAAGAAGACACTGCTGCAGCAGAGATTGAGAGAGCGATGAGAGACAGATGAAACGTTTGGCCCTGATCTGACAGCCGCCAAGCTGCCTTTTGTTATTAACATCTTGTCCCTTTCTCCCACTCTTGCTCTTGTGCTCAGTGTGTCGCATTCTCTTGGATTTTATTCTTGATGATATTTTCTAAAAGTCTACTGGGTGCCATGATGATTTTGATGATGAAGGCCTTGAAAGGAGGCTACTACTGGAGAGGCGTCAAAGCAGCAGACGCTTTTGACGGAATAAATCATGGAAGCAACAGGATCCACTAATCTGGGTGATTAACATTAGGAACATGACAAAATGTGGTGCTCCTGTCGAAGTTGTACATTATTAAACCGCTGGGATTATTGTACGATAGGTTTCAATGAGTTTATCTTTTTCAACGTTAAGTGGGCCAGCACAACTTAACGTTGCTACCGTTTGAACACATTTCTTGTTAAAATGTGTTCTGATTGATTTGAACACATTTCTTGTTAAAATGTGTTCTGATTGATTTCTCCCAATGAATGCACAAGTATCCATTATAGTTTATTTCAATTTATACAAATAATGCCCTTTCCATTTTATCCAAATATCTTTGAAAACAAATAATATGAACATAATAATTGTGATAACTGATAAAAGGTCAGTTCTGGTTAATTTGTCTCTTTAAAGCTTTGTGGAAATTAATCAATTGCTGCTTGTGCAGTTATGGACAGGAGATGGTCGTAATTGCACCTAATTTGCATATGTGCTCAAATTAATGTCTCTCAAATGACTGTTCATTCATCACTGGCTCTTTTGTGGGTTCTTTAATGAGCTGCTGTGTGGGCGCTTTGGCATCGCCTGTTTTTTTAGATTTGCTGATAAATGGTGACTGGCAACATAATAGTTTTCAGTGCGAGTTGTTTTCCTCTTTTTTGAGGAATACTTAGTGGATCTGTGTATTCACTGTTTTTGTAATCCCATAGCCCTGAGCGTCCGCAGTGTGCCAGAGGAAGAGCCCCCGGACCCCCAGGAGCTGAGGTTGGACAACATGCTGTTAGCAGAGGGAGTGTCTGGTCCAGAGAAGAGCGCAGCGGCTGCAGCGGCAGCTCTAGCCGCGGCCACCGGGGGGTCGTCCAGCGATGACAGTTGTGAATACGCAGACTACAGGGAGAAGCTGGCCCAGATACGGATGATTTACCACACTGAGCTGGACAAATATGAACAGGTGAGGCCCACGAGCTTCTTTGACCCCCTGACTTATACTGTGCTTGTCAGGGGGTCCCAAGGTGATGTCCATGGCTTAACCTGTACTGTAAATCAGTGGTTCTCAACTGTGTCTAAATAATCTTGTAACCCTTTTTTCATCAAAAGAATTTCCCTGGATTTCAGAACATTAAGAAAAGTTTTGGTAATTAGAAAAACAATCCAGGTAAAAATTAGAGGTACATAGGAGGTTTTTCCTGAATTTTAGGAAAGACCTCCACTTTTTGAAAAAATGCACATGTGCTACGCTCTACCTGCTCCCGAGAGGGAACGCCTTCTAAAACGTGTGCAAGACAGTACAGCCGAGTAGAAACGTCACGACTGAATTATCAGTGAGAAGCCCAACCTGGGCTCGCAGCGCACGCCATCATGTGCAGAATGATGAATCTCCCAAAAACTTTCTGGTCTGAGAATATCCTTCTATATATCTTTAATTTACTTGACATAAAATGTAAAAAGAAATCTATTTTTTGCGTACAAAACAATACTAAATTCCTACTAATTCTGGCTGTGGCTTGATGTTGATTTGTTGATGATAAGTCCAAATACTGTTCCAGTTGTGATCCACTGTTGTTATATTGTTCATTATACATCCCAGGTTTATTAGATCACTGAGCTTTGTTTTATTACTGAGTTGCGTTAAACCCACTGAGCACATTTGCATAAAGACAAAAAAAACCCATTTGAATATGTTTTTTGTTTAAGCTGTTTTGCATTTTATCCTCTGGACTTCTTTTCTACGTAGGCTTGTAGCGAGTTCACAGGGCATGTGATGAACTTGTTGAGGGAGCAGTCCCGGACGCGCCCGATCTCCCCCAAAGAAATTGAATCCATGGTGTCGATTATCCAACGCAAGTTCAGTGCCATTCAGATGCAGCTCAAACAAAGCACCTGTGAGGCGGTGATGATCCTGCGCTCCAGATTTCTAGACGCACGGTCAGTTTATTATCTTTGATCTGCTGTAGTTATTGGTTTGTCATTCACTACACATTTACTGCACAACAATCATGATATGTAGTAAACTAAGCAAGCTAAAGAAACACACAAAGTGAACATTTATGGATCCACAAGTAAAAATATTTAGTCATGAAGCTAAAATATTTGCTCGGGTTCGGGAGATGGTGTCTGTCATCCTGTTGGAGCTGGGGCCCTGCTCTCTCCTGGTCCTTCTTCTAAATGACTTCTCTCAGATAAAACAGAATGCCAAATCCCCCTCACTCGCTTTCAGTGACAATGCCTATTTGGAATACCTTTCCACATGCACGCAAGTTTTTTGTTTTGTTTTTTTTTGCAGATGATGCACTGAACAAATGATTTGCTCACTGAAACAATATCTGATGCTTCTGCAAAATTACAAAAGGAGCAAGTGCTTACGGGGATAAAAAAAAAAAAGGACAGACGTGAGAGATCAGGTGCTCTTCGAGGATCCGTGGGAAAAAAAAATGTGCAGAAACATAAAAAATATATTCATTTAGGGACATAGCGACATGTTTCGACCCCTCTCGTTCTTTTGTGTCCTGGACCTGTGTGTGTGTGTGTTCACATTTGTGTTCTGGTTTTGAAAAATAAAAAACATAACTAAAAAGGGAACAGAAATATAATACAAAAGGTAAAATGTTGGGTAGTATTTCATTGCCATACACATTTGTGATCTCTTTCAGGAGGAAGCGCCGTAACTTCAGTAAACAGGCTACCGAATTGTTGAATGAATATTTTTACTCCCACCTCGAAAACCCGTATCCCACCGAAGAAACCAAAGAGGAGCTGGCGAAGAAGTGCTCCATCACAGCTGCACAGGTCAGCCCTCAACCAAACCTCACCAGAACAGGAACAGGCATAAAATACAAAATAAACTTAAGTATGGTGTTACTTAGGTGTCCAACTGGTTTGGAAACAAGAGGATTCGATACAAGAAAAACATTGCCAAATATCAAGAGGAAGCAAATATGTATGCCATGAGAACCGCTCTGGACGCCTCACAGTCCAGCTCTCCGGCCACTTCAAACACAGGTAAGATCAAGAACATTGTGCTCAAGATCCTGCCACTTTAAAATGAGTCACATTTGTGTGTAAACCCAACAGGAGGGTATCCAGACTCGTGTTACACTCCTGATGGAATGCTTTAATATTTTCAAGTGAGTATTCTTGTTCCTGTTTCTGACACAGGTGCAGAATGTAAACAGTTTTATACATGATGACAAACTCATCTATATATTCTCAGCTATCATGCAATTGCTGAGGTTTAGGTAGAAACCAAACACACTGGATTTCTACAAACTGTACGTGTAAACATCATTGTAGTTCATTTTATATAGAACACATTTAGAAAATATATAAAGAGATATTTGATTTGAACATGTTTTCCTTGTTCATGTACAGTATGCTTTTGTGATAAAATTCCAAAGAAGGTTATGAAATTATAGGAGGAGTTGCAATTTAGCAAAAAGTTGCGTTCATTTTCTAAATTTCTATTTCAGCTGTTGGACAAAAAAGAAAATATCCATATAATATCTGAATTTTAACTATTACCTGGGTTACCAGTTTTTTCAGCTGCATGTCCTCCACCATAAACCTAAGTAAAAATTATAGGCTCTTTAGAGTATTTTGGTGTAACCTATTTAAAGCAGCATATGTCATATTTTCATTTGTAATATAATACAGTGTGTGCGGTTTCTTGCTGAACCCCAACAAGTGGTTTGCATTTGTGATCAGAGCTACATTTGTGTGAAAGACCTTTGAACTGTTCCCAGATCAATACCACAGAATACAGAGCTCATGAATGCAGTAATACAACCAATTTTAGATTATTAATTTATTACAACTATTGGTTTATGTCTTTCTAGGTTTAAGATGAAGTCTTCATGTCCTCTTCATTAATCCACTCATTCACTCAATTTGGAAACAAACTACCTGTAACACTTTTGTATTTTGTATTTCTGTTAAGCCATGACATTAAGTGATGTATCTTTAATGTTGGGGGGTGGAGGGGGTCACTGTTATGGGGAAAAAATAGAATGATGATGAATGTCTTCCATGCATGAACACTCTTTTTTTGTACACATTTTCATGTTTTAGATAAATAAGTACAAATAAACCATGACTTGGTAAAATGTTTGTAAACCCTGACCTGTTGATTGTAATTCAATGAGAACATCACTAATGGTATCAGATCATGAAGTGGGAAGTCACTATAGGCAACATAACAGCTATAGCACTACAATTAGATACATGTATATTGTCGTCTGCTGTGGTGCTGTGAAGGATCAGGCCTTTCCACAGTCAGCACATGTGGAATGGGGTAGGAGGTGGGGCGGTGAGTGAGGGGTAAAAGGTTGAAAATGATGATTGAAAAAAGACAAACTCCGGGAACGATTTCACACTGGATGGACCTGAGCTGTGGTTCAAAATGTTTTTTCTACCAAAAGCTTTGATTGTCCTTCTGTCATCTGCAGGTAATGTTACTCTCTTCTTACACATTTAGTAAATAACAACACATTTGTGTGGTCATGTGTTTATGTTTGTCTGCCTTTTAGAAATTTGCTTTATATAGTTTTCTCTAACTCTAACCCTTTGTTAAATGTTGTAATTGTTACTATAATGTCTTTTGAAGCATGACACATAACTTGTCTTTTAATTCGATTTGCTTTGAGAAATTAGATTTTCACATTTTAATGAAAGCATCCTGTTGAAGGAAATAGTTTGTCTTTTGACAGTTGATTAGAATTAGTTTTATGGTTGTTGTTGATTACACCCAAATGGATTCTTAATGCACAGATACATGAGTTACAAGATCATGATTTAGTCACTTTTCCATTGAGTGGTGGTACAGTGCCCCTTTGGTCATCTCACATTGTTTGTTCAGGATATTTGCTTTGAGGAGGTGTCTGTGTTTTTGAGCTGGTTCACAGAGTTGAATACGTGCGTGTGTGCAGTGTGCAGTCAGGCCCTTGTTGTCACAGTGGAGCCAAAAGTCATCACTGTCCGCCAGGGGGAGCCCGTGAGCTTCAGGTGCCAAGTGGGCAGCGCTTCACCATCAAATGTAGTGTGGAAAAAAACCAATAGTCAGCGGCTCCCAGGTCAGAATAATAGAGTTCACTGATAACATCATTTTTATACTTTATTCGAACAATGTTTTTATTGTTTTTTCAGACAATGTCCAGATCAGCGCTGATAACCTCCTGATGACCATTGTCAACGCTCGCCCTGAGAACCAGGGCCAGTACCGCTGTGTGGCAGGGCCCCCCGCGGGCAGAGCCTTTGGCACAGCTGTCCTAAATATCAAGTGTGAGTGTTTTTGTTGCACCAAATGCCACAAATGAACTGGTTTCATTTGAATAAACTAAGAATTTAAAAGCCCTTATTTCAATAATGAGGGTTTACTAACTATCATTACATTATTGATATGTTGTTTCAGTTCCACCTAAAGTCCGCCTGAACCATGTCGGACCCCTCAGAGTCCGAATCGGGGATCCAGTGACAGTCGAGTGCAGCACCACAGGTCGACCAAGGCCAAAGTTGACCTGGAAACGTCAGGGGTCCACACTGCAGCTGGTGACCACCACGACAAGTGACGTCAACACAATCCAGGTACCAGCATTACATTATTGTAGTTATTTGAGTTGAGAGGTTTCATGCACAAACGTGCCCAGAAAATCAGAGGACCATAGTCATTCAATATAGACATTATTTTCAGGAACACCTCCCATAAGTAAAATAAGTAATTTAGTATACAGGCTTTCCCCAGCCTTTCACAACACAGGAAGCCAAGGCATTTTTATAGATCTTATTCATAATTGCACGGTCCTCCGGCAACTAGAAGTCATCTTGATTTACAACGATTTACTTGATCAGATACAACATTTCTATTTTAAAATAAATACTAAACTAAATGATCTTATCTGACTTGATGTGTCTCTGCAGTGGCCGGCTGTTCGCCCGGAGGACTCAGGAGTGTACCTGTGCCAGGCTGAAAACACAGAGGGCATGAGCGAGAGCAAACTGGAGATCATTGTGGAGGGAGGTCTGGGGGCCCCTGTGGCCTCAGTCAGCACCTCTCAGATGACTGCCATCGAGGGCCACTCTGTCACAATGCAGTGTCAAGCCACCGGTCAGACAACCATCTGTAAATGTTTAGTTCATACATACTTACTCCTCTTTCATTTTCTGATCTGAAGGCTCACCAACTCCAGAGATCTCCTGGTCCAAACTTAGAGCCCCGTTGCCGTGGAAACACTCAGTGGCGGGCGGAGTCTTGACTTTAAACAGCGTGGGTCGGCAGGACTCTGGACAATACATCTGTAATGCCACAAACGTACACGGCTACAGCGAGGCCTACACAGAAATGGAGGTAGAATGTGAGTGATAACTTATCTCATGCAATCTGCAAAAACCTGTATTTTACCCCTGAAACTCCTGCATAACCCAGCAGCTTTCTATTCAGTATTCAATGTCATGCAGCAAAAGCTCTTTGATATTTACAATATAAAAATACCATTTTGGGATTAATCACCACAAGCTTGTACACTTTAAAAAACAACAAAAGCATTTTAAAGGCACTTCCCACTTAGGGAAGCACTGTACTAACAAGACAATCTGGACACAACAGCCTGAAGCTTTTTTATAATTACAAAATACATTGCAGGAAGGATTTCTCATGAGATGTTTTGTCCTGCAGAGCTTGTTATAACAGCTGTGGTACTCAAACTGGGGGGTACAAGACACTAATGTAGGGGGTCATGAGATGAATTAAAGATTACATTCCAACTAAACTTTCTTTGTTTTTCACCAATTATTTGATATAATTTGACCAAGAAATTTGCATAAATAACACAATCAATGACCCCATTAAAAACAACAACAACTATTGAATCATCAAACAATTACTGCCCTAAATTTTATTCAGCACGGGAGTCACAAGTTGATTGTATCCATATTTGTTGGGGAGCCCAGAGAAATGTGAGAACAGCTGAACTAACGTATGTCAGACGAGCAAACGAGCAAAACTCCTGAGAGACAGCTACAGAAATCCCAATAGTAAAAAGCTTTCGCAAACTATAAGAGCTATATTGTGGTGAGTTAGCTGTCTTTTTTTCCCCTCTCCACAGCGCCCCCTTATGCCACCTGTTTGCCCGACCAGCTGAGGCTCCGGGCTGGGGACGCCCTTCACCTCCAGTGTCTTGCTCATGGCACTCATCCCATTACTTTCCAGTGGAGCATTTCAGGCCGCTCTGTACTGCCACCAGGCTCAGAAACGGCCAGAGACGGAAAACTGTTCATCCCTCACATCAGGGCGTCTGACGGAGGAACGTACACATGTGCAGCCACTAACCACATCGGCACCAGCTCGGCCAGCGCCAGAGTCACTGTGAAAGGTGAGCCGTGGGAACACCCGCTGATTAGAATTCCTGATGTGTGATTCTTCTAACTTTACAGGTTGATCCAACATGGCATTCGTGAGACTGTCTGGCTGAAGGTGGACTATTCAGGATTTCGGTCACGTTCAAGCTTACAAATGTTAGTCTTTATGAGCCCATAAAAAGCCCGACTTCACCAACCTGTTCTGTGCAAAACCCTCCAGCAGGAATTAGGGCTGCAAGATTTGTTGCAATAAAATCTATTGCACATTTTGACCAATCGCAAAGGCTAATAATTTAAATCCAAATCAACCTCTCTTTGTAAAAAGCCTGGTTAAGATGTAGAACATCAGCATGCCAAAAAGCTGAGGTTACCAACTCAGCTTTTTCAGTATTAAACTAATGCAATATGTCACCATTTTGTAGATTATTAATCACATTTCAGAACCTACCGCAGAATTTGATGGTATTATGTACAATACTAATTGTGGTTGGAACTTTGTTGTCTGCTCATGTTTCAATCATCTTTCAAAAAAGCTAATAAAACAGATTCCAATCATCAAAACAAAAAAATTGCGAATCTAATTGTCATTGGAAAGTCTGTCGGAAGAATTGTGCAGCCCTAGCATTGATCTTAATTCATCCTATTTATAATGCACTTTGTCAATCTTTTCACAATAAAATAACCCTCTGTGAAAACAGAAAGGATTTTCACCATTTTTACACAGACTAAAAATATTAATAATAATAATAATGCACCAAATATATATAAAAATCCTAAAAATGATAAACCACAGTTGCCCTGCTGGAAAAACAGACGTGAGACAACCAGTATGTGCCATCTGCCTAAGGACACAATGACAGTTTGGCACTTTACAGCTGCCCCACTGTGGCACCTGGTGTTCCCAGAGGTTCCCCATCACAGTACAAACCGGGCCCCGCTCTGCTTAGGTTCTGATGTTTTCATGTGCAGGTGGTGCTACTTTAGTTTGCACTTTATTTAGATAAAAGTAAAACATAATAAAGTATCTAAGATGACAATTTCTGGAGTCAAAATATATACAACACTAACCCCAACCCAGGATATAAACAAATAATAGGCCTTATTTATTTATTTACAAGCGCTCGTCCATGTAGAGAAACAGGAACTGCACCAATGGGGACCAAAAGCTGACACAATAGACATTTGCAGCTAGTTTTGTTTTTGTGTCCAGGCAAGGTTAGCTTTCAACAATCTATCCATTTTCTACCCTTTAATCCATTTCTGGGTCAGGGGGGTGACAGTCAGAGATGCCACCCAAGTCTCATAGCACCAGCCCCTCACTGACCCTCTGCAGGTGGTGAGTGTGAGCATAGCCTTGATCTTTCAGTGGGGGCTTTGGGCAAAGTGGGGTTAAGTGTCTTGCCCAAGGACACAACGACAGCAGTCATCAGTGGGAGTCGGTGGAGAAGGTGCAGAGGTGGGAATTGAACCCACGACCTTCTGGCCTTAAGGCCAATGCTCTACCAACTGAGCTACTGTCGCCCCTGCTTTCAACAATCTAAGATCAACAAATAGCCTGCCAAGTGCTCTTTAGGGCTACTGGCTAAAGATAGTAACTATAGAGAAAGAATATACTGCCCTTAGGATGACACAAAACACATTTTGGAACATATTTGGAGTCTACAGCAAAAACACCTTCCTTCAACAATAACTACTAATTAAATAGTATTGCATTTGAGTATTGCATCATGAATATACTGATTTTATTTACACAAACAAACAAATATTTCCATAGCCATGTGGTAATATGGCTATGATAATATGATACCATAGCCATATGTGGGTGGTTTGCTTAAATTATATGAAAATAGATGTTAATTGCTTTGTCTAAAACATGGATAAAGTGAGCCTGGTCTGCATTCTGTATGTAAGAGAGGTGAAAACGCGACATTTAAAGATGACTGAAACCAGGTCTTGCATGGAGCCACTGCTTCTTCAGCTGCTCCCAGCCCAACGCCCGTATCTGAACTGTGACTGCAGCCTCCACAGAGAAAACAACACGAGCCATTTGCCCGTTTGCTTGCACAGCCTTCTTTACTAGCATCTTCAAAGCCATAAGCAGGAAGTATCTGCCCTATGTCACCTATGTCCACCCCCTCACTTCACAAGCACCGAGCCAGACTAAATAAAGGGACCCCAGTGAGAAGAGGAGCAACTACAAATATGTTTAATTAAAGACAGGCACAAAGGTTAAACGAAACATTTAAACATCTTGACAAGATTTGTATTTATCTAAACTTTTTTATTTAATGCTGCAGTACTGTGCATTCAAATCACACAACTATGATTATGTAATATGATAGTTCTAATCTAACTATTAGATTTTGTTAGATCACTAGTTTTTACATGCAGATATTTTTAGGGCTTGAGCTTTTTCAGAGAGAGTGACAGAGAGAGGACCACCCACTCCTGCCCAAAGCCTCAAATAGTGACTTACAGGGCTCAGTCTTATACGTATGCAACAGGTTTTCTAAATTGATAAAGACAGTATGTCGTGGATAGCTTTGACTCATTTATTTTGTGGGGAACAACAAATATTTTAATTTAACCCAAATGATGATACCTCAGTTTTAAGTGGACCTCTCTTTCAGGAATTCCTTTCTCTGTGTTTATTTTACATCAGACATCTGAATAAAATAGTGTATCCATAGAACATTCAGATCCGTAGAAGACCAGAACAGAGGAGAATATTTGGTTTGAGGATTTTTGTTTGTTTATCTTTTAATTTTAAATGTCAAGAAGTTCTGGGTTAGAAATGGCAGAATTGGCCTGTCAACTATTCAAACAAAATAAATCTATCCAACTCTTCCTGCTAAAACATCCATGATGAATTAAGAAGGTCAGACGAGGACCAAAGCCATAAAGAATAGTCTTTCATTCTGACATGTGTTTACAGTTACGATTGGAGTTGACGTATTTGTGACTATACAGAATTCTCCCAAACGGAGGAACACATAAACATTGGAGTTCTTGGGACACCTGGGATTAGGAGGCACAGCTCTACAAATGGGTTAAGAATCCCTGCATTTGTTTAGATTAGGCTATACTCTCGACCACGCACTGCTTACTCCAAAGAGGGGAACGGAAAATATATCAAATGGAAAAGGACATTTGTCTTGCTCCTGCTGGCGGCATATAGAAGCAGAGCAAATATTTAGGGTAATCTCTGGTTAAAATAAGTAGATTTTGAAAATGTATTCAGGAAGGAAGATACAAGTTAAATCTGCCGCATACAGGAAGTGTAAAAGGGGTTTCCATGGAGACGGAGTTAATAGTTCTGATGGTACAAAGCAATGTGCAAACTTTTTACTGCTGAAAGGAAGCAGTGATAATTTAAGTAGATGATCATTATTCTCTCAAAACAATGTTGGTAGGATGTTAACAAACAGAAATAAGCATAATTCCAAACTACTTTCTATTTTGCAGCAGATTAAGCAAAGTGTTTCAGATTTCTTTCGACAACAAAGTGATTTCCTGTTATTTTTGTTTCTATGGTGCTGCTGAAGTAATCTTTCAGTATCGAAACCACAAACTGTGTCTATGGGTGCACAGTGAAACCGCTTGAGGTTTTGAAAAAAACAGAAGCAGCACTTCTGGGTAAAAATACGCTGTATAAAAGTAAGCGGCTGCACAGCACATGCCACTCAGTGAACCACACACAATCTTTCTTTCTCGGCGGTCTTGTGTGCATTCAGTGGGATCAGACTATTATGTGAAAGGAGGATGTTTCGTGAAACAAATACATTGGATTCTGAAGGTCTGTGTTTGTTTGTGCAAAGATCAAGGATAAATATTTGGGAAACATTTCCAGAGAAATGTCATGATGCTTTTTACTGAGACGGTTGATTCATTTTTTGATAATTTGTAACTCCTGTGGGAACAAATCTCAATCTCTCCCACGCTCATAATCAAGATTATTATGTGAGCATTAGTGCAAGGCACATAACACATATTATATCAAGCATAAAGTGCTTACATAAAGAACATCAGAACATTACACAACAATATATCTACACACTCTACACACATTATATTGTTAATATGCTGCACTGTACACACACATTAAATGTTATTCTGTATGGCCTTCAACACATTTTTACCTTAATTTAACTAAAGGGATCTTTAATTAAATAAATACAAGGGATTTATTTATTTGTTTTTTAATGGGTACAATAACATTATTATTAAGTTAACTTAATATGTTTTATAACTTTTATAACATATTTTACATGCAACTAACAACTTTATTTTTTATTTCTACATGTTGGGGCTTTCAGGAATGAAGCCCCAACATCCCCAACATCAATTTCTGCAGATCGGGTGTGTTGGAGGAGAATTATTCCCGCACATGTCTTACATGAGTCCGACATTTCAGCATTATGCCTTCACCAAGCAAATATGAGAAGAGCACCAGGAAGTAATCTTAAATAGGGTGGAGCAGGCACCCAAGGGTGTACAGTGCCTTGCGAAAGTATTCGGCTCCCTTGAACCTTTCAACATTTTGCCACATTTCAGGCTTCAAACATAAAGATATAACATTTTTATTTTTTGTCATGAATCAACAACAAGTAGGACACAATCGTGAAGTGGAACGAAATTTATTGGATAATTTAAACTTTTTTAACAAATAAAAAACTGAAAAGTGGGGCGTGCAATATTGTTCGGCCCCCTTAATTTCAGTGCAGCAAACTCAGTCCAGAAGTTCAGTGAGGATCTTTGAATGATCCAATGTTGTCCTAAATGACTGATGATGATAAATAGAATGCACCTGTGTGTAATCAAGTCTCCGTATAAATGCACTTGCTCTTTGATAGTCTCAGGGTTCTGTTTAAAGCGCAGAGAGAACCATGAAGACAAAGGAACACACCAGGCAGGTCCGAGATACTGTTGTGGAGAAGTTTAAAGCCGGATTTGGATACAAAAAGATTTCCCAAGCTTTAAACATCTCAAGGAGCACTGTGCAAGCAATTATATTGAAATGGAAGGAGTATCAGACCACTGCAAATCTACCAAGACCCGGCCGTCCCTCCAAACTTTCATCTCAAACAAGGAGAAGACTGATCAGAGATGCAGACAAGAGGCCCATGATCACTCTGGATGAACTGCAGATAACTACAGCTGAGGTGGGAGAGTCTGTTCATAGGACAACAATCAGTCGTGCACTGCACAAAGCTGGCCTTTATGGAAGAGTGGCAAGAAGAAAGCCATTTCTCAAAGATATCCATAAAAAGTCTCGTTTGGAGATACATTCAAATAAGTCAGCAGGTGCCAGACCCTAAACCAAAAGTGACCAAGTGCCCCTTTTTGAGTGATATAGGACATACAGGGACGAAGTCACAGGCAGTTGACACAATCAAATATCCAAATGAAAACATACAGCTGCTTATTTGACTTAACTCAAGTTGACTTGAGAATCTGGTGGAAGATTTCAACTGCATCCGTCTTAGTGCCTTCCTGTCACTATGACTGTGACGTGTGTGTCTCTCTTGTGTGTCTTTTTTCCCATCTGGGTCACGGCTTACGCTTATGTGAAAATCATGAAAAATGAACCCATCTCAAGATGATACTTGAAAAGTCAACGAGAGCCAAAAGACATTGAAAGGGGAAGCAGGTCACCGCTGCTTGCTTTTCTCTCACTGTGACAGAATTGAGAAAGTACCATTTGTTGTGTGTCTTTCTTAATCTTCTTTCAAACATGTGTACAAAGTCTACTGGCGACACCAAACCAACAATTATTAACTAGGATCAATCTACAATACAATGTTACGGGGAAAGTTCAACACAGATAAACTTTCAGCTCCATTTTCTATCTCCAAAGGGAAAAAAGAAAAACAAAAGCATTGCAACAGAATGAGCTGCAATAATGGAGATAAATCATCGAGTGTTTCAGCACGATGCAAAAGGGACTACGACTGTGTACAGAGGTCTCCATTCTATCTGTGATTATGGTTCAATATAGCAACATACCACCATTAAAATCCTGATAAAAACGATACGAAAACCCTTATTTGTCTCACGGTGTAAAACATCAGTGTTTGAAATACATAATGTCAGAACCACAGGGGAAGAAATTGGTCAGAAATAAAGACAAGCTTTTTGTAACCAATACTGATTTTGATTACCTAATTATCGGCTGATATTTTCCACAACAAATATTTTCACGGTTTCACAAAAGCCAATTGTAAAACAGACAAAAAATCTTGATTTACCTTTGGTGGTGCAGAAGTTGCCTGAATGATAATTGCTTATGTTCTAGAGGTTATTATCATATGCTTTAAAATGGTCTATGGCATGCATTAACAGAGATGAAGGTGGCTCTGGAGTGTGAACTTGTGTTTCTAATCTCTACTTTGGGCTAACATTAGACCAATTGTTTCACAACAAATGCATTCTGTATATTCAGAGCTTTAAAATTAAGTATAACATGTCCCTGTTGGCCGAGTTGGTGTCTGAGTAGTGGTAGTAACTTTCAATGAAAAAGATAATAAAAAATCTATCAAATTTCCGCAAATTATGATGACTTTTAAATTGTCCTGTTGAATTAACAAATGCATAATCAGTCTTTGGCTAATAAGCTTGTACTAGCTTCCTGTCTCCTAAAGTGTAACAAAAGTCTCTGCCTCATGACCTGCTGTGAGGTCCCAATAAAGTCAATCAACCCGCAAATTATCTTCAGACCTTTCCAAACTAAAGAGGTCAAAAACTACTAATGAGCACAGAACAATCAGGGGAACTCTCAGGGAAAGAGTAGACACTCACTCCCTTGGACCTTGACTAAGAACTGGATCCAGCAGCTAGTTAAAAATATGTCTAGTGAAAACTAATGGGCTAGACACACGGGAGGCGACAAATGAGAGCGATCAGCGAAACTCAACGCTGTCGCTCAGATAACATGACAGACGGGGCGCGATGCGGCTTGACGACAGCGTCGAAAAGTTGAGCCGATTTCAACTTTCTGGGATCGCGTCGCTGACCTGCGCGTGCACGATACATGCACGAGCAGGAGGATTTCACACGCACGTTTTTCGCCCGTCGCTGAGCAGGAGGCTCGCTAGCGATTGACGCTATGTCGCGCACGTCCCATTGAAATGAATGGAGGCGATGCGATGTCGCCTCCCGTGTGTCTAGCCCAAAATGAATGGAGGCGATGCGATGTCGCCTCCCGTGTGTCTAGCCCATTAGACTAAAAAAACCAAATCAACAGAAGGAAGTGAGACAGTGAAGTGGTTAGATGGGCAAATTAAAACATAAGTAACAACATTTGTGCATGATCTTATTTAAAGACACTTTTGCTCTTGGTTTCCTTTTGGGCGTTAAGTAATTGAACTTGAATCTGCGGGTGAAGGGGCAGAAGTATGAGAAGGACTTAATATTACGTATTTGCGTTGGTGGAGACTTGGAGCGGATATACGGTTACTTACTGGCAAAGCTCAAGCGACCCGGCAGCTGTTTATATGATCTGTTCGTCATCAGGACCCCCCCTTTTCTCTCTCTCTCTCCCCCCTCCCAAAAGCCCGCTCCCCTCCAGAGTCTCATGAGAGTGTGGTGAATAGCTCCTGAAATAGAGCCCACTGAAGCGAGGAGGGAAATCTCCACTGAAAGGAGGCTGACAGAGAGACAGAGACCCCAGCCAGCAAAGTGTAACTCCAGAGGGGGAAAGGGGGGGACTGAACGAACTGCAGAAAGACAAGGCCATCGCGATAAGTGAGAGAGAAGACAGAAAGAGTGTGTGTTAGTGGGACGAGCGAGGGGGGGGGAGGAGAGAAGCCCTATGAGAAGCAGAGAAGTGCTTTGGCTTAAGGAAAGTTCAGTCTACATTTACCGGCTCATGCTATAGGAGGAGGAGATCTCTTTTTGATACTTTCCACTCACCAATTTTGAAAAACATTGGGTGGAATTACTCTTATACTGGGAAAAATACTCTTACCAAGGATTACAGGCAGGGGTCTTCATTCATAGCACATTCCTGGACATGGAGTGTGGAAAGGAGCTGCTTCTACTTGGTGAGTTTGCTTTAACATCTGCTTGTGAGAATCTAGAGAACATATAGGCACAACGAATTGAGGTTTGGACGTTTGTGGACAACTGTATTCAGTCAAAGGCTCCTGGACAAGATTAAATAATGAGAATAAATGGTGTTGTGACGTTTAGGTGATGACATCTCTGTATGATGATTAGTTGCGTTGTATTCTGTGTATTATTGCGTTGAATTGTGAGACCGGGTTGGGAAAGAAATTATAATCTGCTTCATCCAACCCCTTTTCAAACCTGTATTAGTGTAAAGATATGTGAAATTGTGTTCTTCATGTTTGAAATAAATCAAACTAATGAATCTTCGCACAGAAAACAGACAGACCACAGTGTTGGTTAAAAGTGAAATCTGTTAAAAGTGTGTTAAAAGTGAAACTGAAGTTGGGTGAGCTTTCGTAATGACAGTATTCAGTGAATCAGTCATTCAGAGATGATATTCAGTCATCAAAAATCATCTTGACTGCTAGAATCATTCTGACAATATTTATTCAGTCACCAAGTAGTGTATCATGTTGTTGCATGGAATGTTTGTGGGACGTTTCATTGGAAAGCAGCTTAAAGTAAAGAAAATATTAGTTTAATTTTGTTTTTGTTTTCTTAAAACTGGAGCTGTACAGGTACACTGGCTTGCAAAAGTACCAATAATACTAATTGTCATTTATAAAGTTCCCCTTTTCAATTTTGTATATAAAATATCAAATTTAGACTTTTGTATAACAATGTATTTATGTCAAACAACTGAATCCTGTATGAACCTGAAAAAATGAAAATGATATTAAATGAAATTGTTAGTTCAATAAGACATTCATTCATCACCAAATCTCCCTCAATATCAATGTATTATGTAACCATGGAAATATCAGATAAAATAGATATCAGGCAGATCCACAGTTGTTGGTGTTGTTAACGCTATATAAGTGTGATAGTGATGTTATGGGGTAGCTTAAACATAATAATTATAATCTCACAAAAGAGACTAATTCATGGACACTTAAATAGACAGATATATAAGAGTCTGTATCAATCAGAAACAAATGTATTTAATCAGAGAATGATAAATAGCACTGGATTATGAAACTACTAAACCATTTCAAGATGACGCCAACGTTTTCTGATAGACCCAAAATTTGATTCAATTATTTGTGTATAGCCCTAAATCCCAACTGCAATCTTCTTGGGGGGCCTTTACACAGTTTTCGATTCATCAACAACAGATCAGAGAATGAATGATGAATGGAAATGCAAAAATAACGAACGCAGGAGCCATTTGTTCATAGAGAGCAGATAACCAATGTTCCCAAATGTAAATAAATGTCCTTAAATAAAAACAGTGGAAATAAAGTGAGACACCTTGGTGATATCAATCCAGTCAATGTTGCGTTGAGATTTTATTTTGAGGTAAAGAGACTAATTCACTAAATGTCAACATTACACAATCTATTGCATGTGATTAAAACTTCTCCATTTCTCTTTCGACCAATAATTTGCAAGAGGAAATGGATAGAGCAAAGATACGCACAAATTTGGTTCTTGGTTGGTCAATGAAAGTCAGCTGAGCCCGGAACAAAGTCATCTTGTCTGTATTTTGAGGTTTTTAGTCATAAAGTCACTGCTGGTCACACTGTGCCACTGCTGTCTGTGGTCATAATAAGGAAGATGGCAACACAGGCTCTATTGTGACTAAAGCAGGGAAACACTCAGACATGAAAACGGTTTATCTCACACTATATGGGGCTCTGGCTGTGTGTATGTTTGCTCCTTATATAGCACAATTCATACACAAGGCAATTCAAAGGGCTGAACAAAACAAGAAAGCATTAAAATCATAAATAATCACAGAACATTAAAAAGAAAGATAAAAATATAAAATCCCTCAGTTGTATGCACAGCTAAACAGAACTGTCTTTAACCTGGTTTTAAACATTGTCAGAGAGGAGGCCTGTCTCACATCTTCAGGAAGACTGTTCCAGATTTTAGCAGCATGAATCTGAAAAGCAGCCTCCCCATGTTTAGTTCTGACTCTGGGCACTAACAGGAGTCCAGTCCCTGTGCTCCTCAGAGTCCGGGCTGGTTCATATGGGACTAACATGTCACTAATATATTTTGGATCCATGGCCTCGCACCATCCATGGCCATAGGCTTTTAGGGGTCAGAGACAGGAATTTAGGGTGAAAGGATAAACAAAATATCTGTACAACATGTTTAATGTTTATGATTTGTATAACTGAGAGAAAAGCATTAATCTTCTTTCGAACTGTTTTTCCATTAAAAATATATGGTTCCTATCCTGCGGTGGACCAGTCATTGGGGAGTGAGGTGTTCCAGGGTCCTCAAAGGGCCTGATGGAGGGTGTGCAATGGCTCACACAGATATCTGTATAGAAGTATTAAATAGTTAACCACACACTGGATTTCTTAAAAATATTCAAAAAAAGAGCAAAATAATGACTGTAAATATTAAATAAATAAACAAATGAAATACAATCTTACAAGCCCTGACTTATGCAACGTTACATGTCTATACCATCTTAAAAAATATGTATATCGGGATAACAGCCAACAACTCACAATTACCTGTTATAATCAATAACTAAGGTTTTTGTTAGCTAAAGATCGGTCCTTCCAGTGGCCTGCATTGTGGCTTTTTGACGGTGGCTTTTTTGTATACTGCTTTAGACGATTTTGGATAGTTCTGTATTTTTCAGTAAGGTTTTCCTGCATGAATACATACATTGTACTTAAACCGTAGATTTATAGCTTACGTCTAGCGTACATCTATGACATTCTAATAACTGTTATAAAGAAACTTGTTGCTTGCTAACTGCTAGTCAGTTGACTTAACTGCTAGATAGCCGTTAGCCGTAACGCAAAAATAACACAACATGCCATTATTCAACGTAAAATCTACATTTGTAACATTATTTACTAGTTTGTTTAAAGTAAAATCCCTTTCTGTCAGAAATATCTATTGAAGTAGCTAACCTAACAAGAGGCTGTTGTTTTTAGCTTTCTAGCCCTGCTTCATGTCAGTGCTATGGTATATACACACGTTATGTTTTTTAATTATGTTAATTTCATATTTTGTTTCGAGCATTAGCAACACAATCTCCATCGCCACCTACATTGTGGTAAAGCTGGGGTACAATTTGCTATGGTATAAACACACGGGTGTATTGAGAAGTGTGTGTTGTTTTTAGTGTCTTTCCCAACTTTAGTTAACTGCACTTGTTGGTATCATGTTGGTATGAAGAAGATGTCTTCTTTAAGTGACTGCCTCATTTGCTTTCTCTCAAACTCAAACATTTAGTAGGACAGTGCTGGGTTATAATGCCGTGTTGAGAAATTGTGTTTTTTTTTTATTGAACTACAGATTCTCATTCTGACGGGGTTTGACAGGAAACCTTTGCATTAAAATATATTCCTTCTGTGTTTTCTAGGTTTTATGATTGTGGTGGCAAAGTGCAGTTCTTCATGCCCAATAGGGTTCATTCCACAACAACAACAACAACAACGTGACTGCATTGGTAATAAACACACTTTATCTCTGCTTGAACAAGAATAATTAGTGTAATTTCCTGTAACACCTGGATCATAATCAGCCTTGTGCTTACTGTTTAATGGCTCTTAATGTGTTTGTTTTAATTTATATTAGACATCAATGAATGTGATACTGAAGATCCATGTCCAAAGGATTCAATATGCTTCAACACAAACGGGAGTTACTATTGCCAGTGCCTGAGTGGCCACCGAAATATCAGAGGGAGCGTGAATTTCACCTTTGATGGGCACTGTGAAGGTGTGTAGCAGTCAGACATTACGATTGTTGGATTTGTCTTCTTCCATCTCACTAAAGTGGCTTGTTCTTGGTCAGACATCAATGAGTGCAGAGAGCAGTCCAACGCCTGTGGACCAGCCGCCAATTGTTTGAACGTTATTGGGAGCTACAGCTGCCCCTGCATTTCTGGATACTTTAATATGAGTGGACAGTGTGAAGGTGAGACAAACAAACGGACCATGAATGTTCACTTATAATTGTTTCAACCCATTTTTGTCCATTTCGAAATATATATACATACTAATAAAGCCTTTGAATTGACAATGTGAAAAAATTCAGCAGCTCTGGAGGGACCCATGTGTGTTCACAGTAAAGTGTCAATTAAAGTGATTGTCTGGAGTTTGTCAGAAAGAGAGACAGAGAGGTACTTTCTGATTGGTCTACGCCTACGTTTTCGCAACACTTTTAAATGTTAATCAGAGAACACATTATACATATACATTATTAATACACATGCCCGGAGGTTTTCAGGATTATTTGTTAACGTTTTAATGAAAAAAATAATGTTTTTTGCACAAAAAAAGCGATCGCGGCAAACCCGGAACAAGCTATTATCATGAACTGCACATAATAGGACACATCTGCAGAGGATCTGATTATGGATATAGGTTCAGTATATAAATGGTTATGGATATAGGTTCATTATATAAATGATTATGGATATAGATTCAGTATATACATTATTATGGATATAGGTTCATTATATAAATGATTATGGATATAGGTTCAGTATATACATAAGTACCTCAGCGTGGATGTTCAGAATTCTTTGTTCAGTTTTCAAATAGTTCCAGAGCCTAATAGAGGCTTGATTCGGAGGCTCCGTGAAAACAAACAACTGAGCATGAGCAGCTACGAGCATCAGCGCTGATGATTGACAGCCCTTGTCAATCATTTGACAAGGGCATTTTAAACGACCAAATCAGCCTCTGATTTGACCATTCTACTGTGACGGCAGTGACATAGAAAATAAAATGTCCTCAGTCTGACAAAGTGGCTGATGAAATCCCACAATATTTACATGGTTAACACAACATAAGTAAATCACTTGATATAAAAAGGAATCGTAAAAAAATAAATATAAATACATTAATTAAATGACCCTTTAAAAATGTGTAACGGACGTGATGGTTTCCGTCCTCTTCTATAAAAATTAAACTTGAAAAAAATAATAATTCTGGTCTGGTTTTACAATTAATTTGTTGACTATATGATAGTATCACTTTGTTTCTACTTTGTGTAAAAAAATAGAATCTCTAAATCAAATGTGGACATCTGAAAATACCAATCAAACTTCCGCAAAGCTCATTCCGTCAAATCATCATCGTCCGTTACATAAAATAAACAGGGCCGCTATAGGAAACTTGTCTAATGTATAAAACAGTTAAGTTCTAGAAACTTCTAATGAACAGAGGAGGTGTTTGGAAACATGAAAAACATAAAATATCTTCTGGATATTAAAATATAATTTTTGGCCTTTTGTAACACTTTTGTGCCCTTTAGTGTGAACAAGTGTATTAGTTTTACCTTGGTCCCTCCAGATCTGTTTCACATTGTCAATTCAAAAGCTTTTTTAAGTTGTAACAGAGACCATCATTCACAGTCCACCACGACTTCCCTTTTTTCAGTGTACAATAATAGCTACCGGCCACAGCTAATTTCTTCAGTAAAGTGGGTAATAAAACTTTCTGAACAAAGATCTTTTCTTTGGAAATTACAGACTGACATTTAGCCTCTCTCATAAAACATGACGTAGATATTTGTGTTGAGAGCCCAAACATGACTTCAACTGAGCTTAAGTATCAAAAACAAACCAGATTGAAAAACAAATGAGAACAAACTTTCTTTTCATTTTCAATCACCCCCAGGAGAGCAGAACCAAAGAAAACACATTTCCTCTGACACAACTCATAACTTTGTAAGAAATGTCTTCACAATAGTTTTTTGTATTTTTAAATTACAGATATTGATGAATGTAAAGATGCTGAATTAAGCCAAGAGGAGATCTGCGGAGAAGGCACTTGTAAGAATGTGGATGGGAGCTATTGGTGCAAGTGTCCAAAAGGCTACACAAACTATGGGAACACGAGGACTCCATGCTCAGGTGAACTTCTTCTAAACACAAAAAAAAAAAAAATGGACCGAGTCATAGAATAAGATTGTGGTTTGGTAGAGATCCAAGAGTGTTTTGCGGTAATCTGATCGTTCTTAATCAATTTCCAACCTCACATGGACATGGTTAGTTTTGGTTTTATCTTTGCCGTGAGATTTGTGATTGTGTGAGTGCGTGTGTAAGAATTATTTTCCCCAGAACAACATTGTGTTAGATTCTAGATTCAATAAAGTTATGGAAACAAACTTTATTTCAGAAATTTGTTTGCAATTTTGCACAATGTTTTGTTGATATCAGTCTCATTCATCTTGCTTTGAGCCTGAGAACTAACATGTCCTGCTGTGTCTGCTATAAGTTATATAAATAATCTGTCATCTCTCTGTTCCACATTTATGTTTTCTGCTGCATCTGCTTGTGCCAGTTTCCAGCGAACTCTAATGCAATCTCAAAGGTGCTTTATTGTTTTTACAGAATTGGACTGTGACAGCTTTATTGCACCAGAAGCGGTAAGTTGTACGCATAATTTACAACAGACCACTGTAATCAGTAAAGACCCTTGTATAATAGTGTTAAATCAAATAAAGAAAATACTAATTTAGGCCTATACAAGAATATATTGAATTGAATTGAATATATTTATATCTTCGTCCACCTGACCATAGCAACACTTCCCCTTTTGATTTCACTGTATATTTCCTGTGACTGTTTTATATGCATTCTTTTATAGTTGATATTTTTAATCCTGTAAAGTGTTCCTAAAGGTAGGGTGCCCAACTTCACAAAATCACGACAATGTTACAATATTATAAAAAAAAATCCTTGTAAGCAGTTCAAAACAATTTGGCTCTCCCACTAGTTTTCACACGCATTTATTTTTGGCCTCTGTCACGGCTTTAGATAAGATTTTTTAGACCCGAAAGTAAGAAAGGGGACCACCTTCATCCAGCCAATCAGCTCTCAGCCTAAAGCATGAAATAGTCCCCTGCAAAAACGTACATACATCAACCTTTAACCATAGTGCAGGGTTTAGTGACTCACGAGGCTCTTTTGTACGTCTTAAGAAGAGAAGATGTTGAAAAGATAAGATATTTTTTGGTTCAGGAAAATTGTTACCCAGCTTTGAATATTGTGTTGCTTTCAATTGGAGAGCAGAAATAATTAGAGTTTCCAAAGTGTGTTTGATGTAAAAGCTATAATAACATCTTGTCTTTGCTGTAAGTGCAGTTTCTCAGAACCAATGACGCACTAAACCAACTCTACCTATTTAGGGTTCGTATAATTGAGCGTTATTCTATGTTGCTTCTCGCAGTCCGCCTCTCCGTCACTTAGCGGCCTGGCAACCATTTTCTCCATGATGAAGAACAGCTGCTTGACTCTGTCCAGCCCCACGGCGCCTGATGAGGGGAAGGGGAAAGGAGAGGCGCTACTGGAGGTTAGGAAAACACTTTGGGAACAGATGCGCAAAGCAAATGGACTTCAGGTGTTTTAATGTTCGTCTCGTTTCAAAACAGAATCTGTTCACGGCCACAGAGAGCGTCTTGTCTCCCATTCAGCAGCTGGAGCTGACGGACGTGACGGACCTTCTGCTCACCGTGGAGGACTCCATCAGGTTCATCGGACCACAGCTCAAACACAACAGCACCAGGATCGAGACCACTGAGACTGGTGCGGAAACGAAACAATGACAAATACTTAGTGTAAATAGCTTGTATCATGGAAGTTATATTTTGATCTTGAGATTGAGAATGATATTTGACAAAGGAACAAGCAGCTTTCGCCTTGTTGAGTGGAGTAGATTTTTTGTCATTCCAAGTTGGATAGTTTATGCCTATTCTATTGGCAAATACCTGTATTTGTTTTTAATAAATTGATGATGCACTAAAATAAAAGGAAAAACAAGGAAATTAATTCAAGCATTTATGGATTCATGTTTGATAATTTCTTACTTCAGTCTTCAACTTGTGTGGACAAATACAACACGCAACTTTTTGTGCAGATGCTGAGATTGTGGTTCAGAAGAGCGAAACCAGGCCGTCTGGAGCAGTAAGTCTGACCAATGAAAACGCTCAACTGGATATAGACTGGGCTACAGCTTCCGGGACAGGCCCTTACCCTGGTATTCTCTACTACAAGATTTTCAATACATTTGCATATATATATAATAAGTAATTCTTAATAACCTTTTGTTTCTGTTCAGGGTTTGCCATGTTAGCACTGTTGAGTTATAAAAACCTGGACCAATATGTGAAACAGTCCTTTGATGAGCTGAAGGAACAGGGAGGAAAAAGCAGCACTGATCCATCGTTTCAGATCAACTCTAAAGTGGCTTCTGTGATCGTGTCCAACCCTTCCACCCAGAATCTGAGTCACCCAGTTTACATTACCCTCAGACATCTCCAGGTAATCTATTTTTCCCCTCATACCCTTTGGAAAACATAATCTTTAAATGCAAACATCCGATGCATGTTGAATGGTCACTAAGCACGTCTTCTGGTGGGTTGCTATAAACATATTTTTCTATGTGAAGATGTTTTACAAGATTGCAAAACTTACTGGAAAGCAATACGTGTCTGTAATATGTGTGTCCAGTCATAAAATTGGAACCTTGCGGAATCAGTCGACAAAAAATCTTTGGCAAAACCTGTGTGAAACGGGATTAATGCAACGTTAGATTCTGTAAAATAATCCTTAATGTCTTGTAAAACATTTCTATCCATTTGTGGGAACCTTGTTAAAGTTGGGCCTGTTCCACCAAATGGCATAAAACAGTGGTTCTCAAACAAGTAACACCTAAGAAAATACTTGGCCTCCCGCAAACCACTGTATGTTAATATTTATACATGAGGTTTGACTCTAGGATGTTTAGCAAATGTTTGAACTGCATCAGACACATATAATCTAATGGAAACAGAACATGACACCACCAAAGTCAGTTGTTCAGTGTGACCATTTTGTTTACAGTTTTGTTCAAATAAAGCAAGAATCTCAAAAAAACATACACAAATGTGGATTTAATCACTGATTTATTTAAATATTTGAATTGATAAGGGAAGCTAACGCTGCTAGCTCATGTTATGTTTAAGTCAGCCCTATTCAATTCAATTTCAATTCATTCTTTATTAAGAACACAGATAGAACTGGTTCATAGATTAAAAAAATAAAAAAAATAAAAAATAATAATTATTATTATTATAACATAATATTATACAGTATGTTGTTGTTTTCTGTTAACTCCACTATCTGCAAACTGTTGTTTTGTTGAAACTCCATCTTTCCCACGTTCGGCTGCCATTATCCGTTATATTATGTTTCAAGATATGTGTAATATGTTGCAAGATATGTAATATTTGCATGCAATATTTGAATGTGTGCAATAATAGTGGGGTGTGTGCCATAGAATTGTTGTGTGCAAAAGTGTGGCGAGTGCAATTTATGTAGATTATGAATTGTTTGCAACTGTTGTCTATGCTGTAATGCTGTGTGTGTGGACTGTCTAGCAATGTGTTTTCCTGTGTTTGGTTGTATGTTTTATCAACTGTACTTGGAACCACAGATGGAAATTATCCTTTGGCTGCAATCGTGTGTGTTTATCTATGTGTCTGATCATGTTTGTTCATGAATATGTCAAATTTCAGTAAAAATGCTCAATTTTGGCTGAAATTTTAATAGTTATTTTTTCTAGAGAAACAGATTTGGGAATCATTTTTTAATTATATGTTTATAGCTCTATATCTGGTGACAAAGCCTCCCTCCCAAAAATGTTAAGAATAGATAGAGTAAAAGAAAAAAGAAAAAAACCCCACAATAAATATATCAGTCATAAAAAAGAATAGATAGAGTGGAGAAGTCTAACCCTGACCTTTGGGTGTGATGTTTTCTCTAGGCCAATGAGGAGTCGGACGAGCTGAAGTACCTCTGTGTGTTCTGGAGTAATGCAAGCGCCTGGTCCACAGACGGCTGCCGTCAGCACCGCTCTAATGCCACACACACGGTCTGTCGCTCTGAGCATCTCAGCAGCTTTGCTGTGCTTATGGCTCTGTATCCTATGGAGGTAAGGGCCCCAGTCTACAAACTTAATACATGTCATAGATTTTGATTACTGTACTTGATCACTGAGCGTTAACAAAGATGCTATCAAAGAGAAAATGTACGACTAAAATAAGTAAGTAAGTAATCTTATTCATACAGTGCCTTTCACAGGCCAGACATTGTTGTGGTTTTTTTTGGGGGGCATTTGTCACTCATTCCAAACAGAGATTGGAGCGAGGTCGCCATACAGGAGGTGCTAGCCAGACCTATTGTACATGTTTTTAGTGGCAGGGGAAACCGGAGCACCCGGAGGAAACCCACTCACGGGGAGAACATGCAAACGCCACACAGAACAGGCCCTGTTCCGACTGGGATATCAAGATAAATTGAATCTATTTTAGAGTAACTATTCAGTTTAACACAGCTGGTTATGACTAATGTACAGTATCATTCAAAATGCTCTTATTCATTCGTCAATTTTGCGTCTAAAAAGGCTTTTCCTGATCATCCATTTAGGTTTTGTGGTCTGAAACTGTCACTGCTGATGCTGCTCCAAGCCGAAACTATTTTCCAACAGCAGCAGGCGTCTGTTCTGCATGAAGCAGTGCTCATAAATCCATTAGTCATCACTGCGTTTGTGACCAAACAGTAAACAGACAAGCACAGAAACTAACAAAGCAAACCAGCGAGTGGAGAGGCCGCGGCTGCTTCATTTATGACCAGACCCTAACCAACTACAGCATATTTTGGTCTTTTAAAACAAAATATGTATATCTTTTAAAAATGAATTTTGCATTTTTTTTTGAAATTTGAAACTGATTATAAACTGGATGGATTGCTAACTTGAGCTGAGATCATCATTGACGTTTCTATAGCGATATCCACTTACAGTATACACCTAAAGAGGGCATGAAATGAGTGCGCTGGCTGAGTGGGTGGTGCCCATGCCTCACAACAGGAAGGTTGCAGCTTCAATTCCTGTGCTAACTTGGGGCTTTTTGTGTGACCTCTTGTGTCTGGGTGGGTTTTCCCGGGGCACTCACAGAATGTTCTTCTGGGCTATATCATTTCACCATTGTCAGAATAAACTGAATTTAGTAATGAAATGTCATGTTTCTGTGATTTTTCCTAGCACACATTTGGACTGCAGCTGGTGACAAAGATTGGTCTGATCCTCTCGCTGTTGTGTCTGGTGATGTGCATATTTACATTCTCGTGCTGCCACTCGATAAAGGGGACACGCACCACCATCCACCTGCACCTCTGCCTCTGCCTGTTCGTGGCCGACCTGGTCTTCCTCGCTGGCATCTCACAGACTAAACCAGTGGTATGTTTGGACAAGAGCCAACGTCTCCCTTTTCACTGCTAAAATAAACACAACGGACTACACACTGACCAGCCGCAAAACATATGTGGTATTTGACAAAGACAACACACACTCGGACCTCCTCACTGCGGGACAAAGGACAAACACCGCAAAGCATGACAAAAAATACCATTATAGTTGCGACACCTAACTTTTATTTTTTCACAAACCGTACATGTTGTTTGTCCCAGCAGAAAGAGTCTTGGTAAAGGGAGCTCTTGGAACAAATAATAAGAAGACATATTATTTTTGCATACTTTGGGCTCTGATGAGATCTGATTGCCTGAGCATGAGTGATCCTCAATTTTTCACTTTTCTATCTGAAAAAGCTGATCGAAAGAAGTGGGGAAATGAAAAATACATGTATTGATAACTAGTGATAAAGTCAAATTGTTCAATCACTAGAACTTGATTCTGTGGGGCTGAAACCTTTCCCTTTGACAAAACCTAGGCTTTTATTGTTTGTTCTAGCATTTTAACTTAAAGTCAAATCACGCTTTCTGTTTGAACAAGAATCCAGTTCACACTTAAAACTAAAGATAAAACTCCTTAGAAAATATGTTTAATGCCAAATAATTATTGTTTTTCTCTTTTCTTGGATCAGAGGTTTTGGCAGGACTCGCTATTCAACCAAATCCAAGCAGGATACCTTGAAATTGGTTCCATTAGCTACCTGTCAGTGTTCTGGACGTATTATATATATGCCCAACTTTATCCTCTTTATGAACTCTGCATTGGGTTCTTTGTAGTTCCTCTTCCGTTTCCTTTTCCTCTTAAATGCGTCTCCTTTGTTTCCGTTTCCGTGAAGTTGCCAAAACAAAACTCCTGCTATAGTCCCTATTATAGTCAACATGCCAGAGACGGCTGAATGTCAGATGAAAATGAACTGCCACAAACTTAAAGTCTTTGATTATCTATATTTAAAGGAACAATATGTAAACATCTGGCCAAAAGTGGTACTGCAGTCACAGTCAATATTTTGTAGTCCTCTCCCACTCTCCCTGACTCAGGTTGCCAGATACACACCAAATCCAGAACAAACACAGGGAAATATTTTATCAGATGTTTGTCTGTCTCCATTCACATTGCCATGAGGCATGCTAATGTTGAATGAATGTTGATTTTTTATTTTTTTATTTGGACATTTGAGATAAAAAACAAGAAACAAAATAAAAGCAATGTAATTATAGATTATCCAAATAAGCAATTGATGTCCAAAATAGGAGTGGGAAGAATGGATGTTGGAACGTATTTCTTCAGCGTATCAACATCAGGGTTTGCTCAAGAGGATATCACCTTTCAATTTTATTTATTCCCTATGTTTTAGTCAAACATGTATAAGTCCCACATCAAAAAGAGACTAACATTTTATTTGGGGTACATGTGGTCTTAAATTATTCTTTTTAGAATTAAGCTATAATCTGCAACAAAAAAAACGTCTTGAACTTAGTCTTTTACCGTTTTTAGAGCAATCTGTCATAGAATGGGATAACATGCAATTAAATACAAAAAGACAATATCCGGAATCGAACCCGGGTTACTGCGTCGTGATAGCACAGTTTTAATCACTAGATCACCGATTCGCGCAGACAGAATTGCTCTGGAGTACGGAGTCAAAGCAGCAAATTTTGCATCACACATAAACTTTTATCAGCTGTCTGAATTGTTCAATAAATCCTCGTTTCAGTCTTTGTTTTGTCATTAATGATTTGAGAGTCATAACAAGACCTTTTTTAGTTCTGTGTGTTATTTCACGAACTTACATGACACTTCCTGATTGGCGAAACGGCGGAGGGTAGGACATCAAAATCAAAACAATAACAACTTTTACGGGTCGTAAAACTAATTTTGATAATCAAATATCTCGGCTGAACTACTGTTATCAGTTAAAGTTGTATTCGAAAAGAGCATGATTTAATAACGCCTTTTGAAATATGGGGGCCATTTAATGATGACTTGACATGCAAATGTTACATACTGCTACTTTAAATATATTTGATAAGGAATTGTTCATTTGTACAAAATATAAATGCAAATGTTTTTATCATCTAGATTTCTAGAACAGCAGTGCTTAATGGGAGCTCGACAGGCATAGTGATCTTGTACAAACGTGTTGTTACATAATTAATTTTCTATCTATCTAAGATGATTTTGTGCAAAAGTACAGACTGAAGGGAAGTTACAGCTTCTGGCTGTTCAGCGACCTCTAGACAAACAAGCCTTTGAAATACAAGGGAAAATAAATCAAGTAAATTTCCATTGCTTATCTTATTTTAAATGAGATAAGATAAAGAGAGCTTTTATTCGTCTCACAGTGGGAAAGTTTTGAAGTTGCAGTGCACATACATGATGAAGCATACTGAGATAAGTAGCTGTAAAAATGCTTCATAACAGCAGCAAGTAAATATCATATATATCTATATATATTTAGTGTAAATTATCTACATATATGGCATGATAAAGTAGATAAAGTGACATTCAATGAACATTCTGAAATTGCAGTATTGTACATTGCACATGATTGCAGTAGTTACTATTCACAGGTGAATGACAATAGGACAAATCATTATAAATCAATACAAAAAAACATATTACTACTACCACATTTTCAAATACTTACGATACTATTAACCCTTTTCACTAACAAGGATAATTTTATAACATCTTCAACCAACTCTTGTTTCTTGTTTTCATTCTTCAGGGTGGCTGCCGGTTTGTGGCTGCACTGCTCCATTACTTCTTCTTGGGGGTCTTCACGTGGATGCTGCTGGAGGGCGTGCAGCTGTACCGGATGGTGGTCCTTGTGTTTAACGCCACCATGCGACCTCTTTACCTCTACGTCTTTGGTTACGGAGCGCCCCTCGTTGTGGTCATCCTCTCTGCCATCATCCGCCCCTCAGGATACGGCACAGACCAGTAGTGAGTACACAAAGTTCATGTTCTTTGATAAACACAATACTTAAGATTTCCTGATACACAGAATTAAGTAACTTTAGAGTAAGTAAAATTAGATTGACAGGTTTTGAGTTATTATGACATGTGATATTTCAATTTCACTTGTTTTTGCCATTATGTTCCAATAATAATAGTAGTAGTAGTAGTAAGTAGTAAGTAATCTTTATTTATATACCGCCTTTCACAGACCAGAGTCACAAAGCGGTTTACAATTGTTATTTTTTTTTATATATACTGAGAAGCAGTATTAGAAGTATTAGCAGTACGTTTATTTAGTTAAAGATCATTCTTATTAAATTGTATTCTACACTGTTGGTTAGCAAATATTGGCTTTCAATCTTAACTTCTTCCCATCCGGCCGATATGCTGCCATGGCATGTTATACCTAATTTCAATGGTCATTTTCACAGGAATTACCAACATGTAATTAATAATAAATCATTAAATTACTGACTCTGTTGGCCAAAGCTTCTCACTCTACAGTTTTAGTTTGTTTGAATGGAAAGCGCTCTCGCTTCTCAGCAAGAGAATCCTGGGCGGAGCAAGGCCTTTCTGAGTTTGCATGTTCTCCCTGTTTCTGCGTAGGTTTTCTCCGGGTGCTCCAGTTTCCCCTAAAAATGCACAATAGGTATTGAATGTAATGAATGAGTTGGTGCTGGTTGGAGGCTTTTATGCACCAGTGTGTTCGGCTTCTCGCTTCTATCATCATCGTGTGGGGAGAGAATGGAACAATATCTGAACTCTGAACATTGTAAAGCGCTTTGGGCGACCTTGGTCTGTGAAAATGCGCTATATACATAAAGCAGTTTGCTCCAATGTAATGAGGACTAATCCTGTTTGCACTTACACCAACCCTTGATAGATGCTCCTAAGGGTGCACTAAATAGCCAAAAGGACCGAGACAGCCAAAGTGAACTAAATAATAACTACCTGCAGTAGACGGCGGCCTCTCTAGAAGCTGTAGGTAGTTGTGTAAGTGGTGAGTGTAGGGTTTCATTACTCCATTAATCACAAAAGCCTCCAATTATCCCAGAGATGAAGTAAAGCATGTGTTTCTACTTTCTAGCTGCTGGTTGTCTCTGAAAGACGGCCTCATTTGGAGCTTCTTTGGCCCGGTCTGTGCCGTAATCATCTTGAACGTCTTATTCTTCATCATCACTGTGTGGAAATTGGCTCAGAAGTTCGCCAGTCTCAACCCAGACCTGTCTAAACTGCACAAAATTAGGTGAGTTTGTGTGTTTTTTATGAAGACTTGCTATAGCGTTTAATCACTCTTGTCACTCTCAAAGTAAGAGAGCAGTGACAGCTCAGGGAATTGGAAAACACTCACATGGAAACAAACCGGACTAAAATGTGAGGAATGTTCTTTTTCCAAGGACTCATTTTTCCCAAATGCCACTCCTCTATGTATCTAGGTTTTATAGATACGGCTGCATTCATTTCAGATTGGAGCTCCTTTGGCTGCACACAACAGTGACATCCATTTGAAAGATCAGCATAATGAATTTCGTAATCATTGCATCAGATAAGTTTACTCAGAACTAAGAGAATTATAAATGACAGAAATAGCTCTTTTGTGATGCATTGTAACCATTCTTTTTTGTTTTCTTTACAAATAATCATTGTTTGAAAAAATTATCATTTTATAATTAGAATTTTCTTCTGTGTTATTCTATGCCATATAACGAGTAATAATCAAATGCTGTTTTCTGTAAAGTATTTTAGTTCCTTGACCAGAATAATAGTATTGATTAAAGTAAAGTACACTTTTTGATCAATGAAATGCTTGGATAAAAGTGCATTAGATCTAGTGGTGCTACTAGCTTATAATGGTTCAATGCCAGACTGTAGAAACATATTTCCTAATCATTTCAAATGACATTTAAATGTATTCAGAATGAATACATGTGTAGATTATGTGCTTATATTTGTGACAATAATGTACACCCAAGGAAGTTATGTAAAGCTTATAAATTTGGCTCAACATTGGTCCCTCCTGCCAGATTGGTCACTATGGGGAGTAGAGCCTTCAGCTGCTCTGCTCCCAGCTCTGGATCACCCTCCCCCTGACCTCCGTAACACACACTCACTCTCACGCTCAAAACTCATCTGTTTAGACAACCATACTCACTAACATCATAAACACACAATCTTGCTGCTTTTAACTTTGTATTTTATCAATCCATCCATCCACTTTCTTCCCCTTAATCCATTTCTGGGTCAGGGGGGTGGCAGTCAGCGCTGCACCCAGTACACAGAGCACCAGACCCTCACTGATCCTCCTGCAGGTGGTGAGTCCACAGGAGCCTTGATTATTCAGCAGGGGCTTCAGGCAAAGTGGGGTTAAGTGTCTTGCCCAAGGACACAACAATAGCAGTCATCAGTGGGACTTTGTGTTTGAACTGTTTACACATGTGCATCTAAAGCGACCCCGACTGTCAAGAAAGGGCCTTAAGAAATGAAATGTATTAATATTATATATATTATTATTATTGTACGACAGCAGGTGGATTGAAAAGACACGGTGCACCTTTGCCTCTCAAATGCTGTGACGTCAGTAAACGCTCACTTGTTTGTCAGGGAGTTTCATCTGCTTTTTGTGAGAAAAAGACTGGAAACAGGGAGGAAACAAAGTGTTGCATTATGCACTATCCCCTGAAATATAAATCAGACAAGAGCCACTGATGCATCTCTCTGATCCCCAGCCCTCGCGTTACAAACGTTTCTCAGCCTTATCTTTATTTACGGTGAACGTTTTCAGGGGGAGTTTCCAGGCGCTGACTCATGCAAACGTCTGGAGTCTTGTTAACATTTGTGTTTTCTTATCTTTTTTCCCTTTGCCTCCTCCATCTGCAGAGCGTTCACAGTGACAGCCATAGCCCAGATGTGCATCCTCGGCCTCATGTGGGTGTTTGGGGCTTTCCTGTTTGAAGGAGCGGCAAACTCAGCAGTGGCTTATATCTTCACCATCCTGAACAGCCTCCAGGGGGCGCTGTTGTTCATCATGCACTGCGCACTGTCTAAACAGGTGAGAGATTGTGACTGGGCTTGACTGAATAGAAGAACAGCGAATGTACCTGTTTTAGTAGTGTCTGGGGCATTACTTTATAGGATGAGAGATTCAAAAATATGTCAAACTTATTAAGGGTCAATAAAAATAAGAAATCTTTCTCTTTTATTTGAGGTATTTTGAGACTTCTTTAAGGTAAATTATAAATAGAACACATCCTGTATTTTTGGACATAAAACTAAAATTTTTCATTACTGTACAAGTCTGACTGAAATAGAGTTATAGAGTTAAAGCAAAATCAATCAGTGTCAGTGTCAGTATTAGCTGTTAGCTAATACTGACACATTTACAGCAATGTTGATTAATGTGTAACGTCCCTATTCAAATAAACTATTAAAAAAAAAAAAATTGTGTTGATTCTGTTGAACAAAATAATCAGCATTATTTATAATCAGGATCAGGAATCATGAACCTCTTTTTCTACATAAATAATACGTTTACTTGACAGAAATAGTTAAGTAAATGTAAAAATCTACAAATTGCAAACCATCCATCCATCCATTTTCTTCCCCATCCATTTCTGGGTTGGGGGGGTGACAGTCAGAGCTGCACCCAGTCCAAATAGCACCAGCCCCTCAATGATCCTCCTGCAGGTGGTGAGTCCACAGGAGCTGAGATCTTTCAGTGGGAGCTTCAGGCAAAGTGGGGTTAAGGACACAACAACAGCAGTCATCAGTGGGAGTCGTGAAGTAGGTCTTATGGTGGGCTCGAACCCACAACCTTCAGGCCTAATGCACACATAAGTCATTATTTGACACTTTGGGCTGAGAGAAGGCAGTCTTCTCTTTTCACCTTTTGTGTCTGAAAAATCTGGTTTAATATGTGACAGAAGCCCTGTAAAAAGTAGTAACCAAACTGTTTAGAGACTGAGAAACCTATTAAATTACAGAGTTCCTTTGTATGGTTTGAAATCTAAGAATCCCCGCTTTAATGTGACCATTTTCATTTTACTTGAGTATTTTTTGCTCCTATTAATCTTTAAAATATAAATGTAGTACTTCTTCCACAACTCCTCATTAGAAGTACAACAATAAGCAGTTTTGTAGATTAAGATTAGATGTTTGCAGTGTGCAGATTCATTGGGAGCTGAAATAAACATAAAGTATATGGTTTAAACATAGACCAAGATTTGAAGAGCTCTGATAGTGGAGTTGTTGGATCTAAATTACTTTCAGAAGACCTTAAAAATAGCTCGATGTCACAGTGATTTAGCCTCTTGTCCCGTGTCCCCTCTGAATGTTGCTCTGTGACGCCCTCTGCAGGTACGAGATGAGTATGCACGCATCTTCTCCTGCGTCTGCACACCAGAGAAGAAGAGATACTCAGACTTACTCAGCAGCACAAACCCCTCCAGCAGCCAGTCACAATCACAGGTTTGGACTCATTTTTTTATCCTTATCTTTTGTAATCATTATTCCATTGACGTCGTTTATGTCCATGCAGGGGTCTCGGAGTGGACAGAACACAGGAGAATCACAAATATGAAGAGTGGGACTCCGCTGGTGCCAAAAGAAAACCTCTTCTGTCTTTACTTTATCTATTCTTACTGTACATTGTGTCCTGAACTGGATTTGGGAGCCCACAAAGGTTAATATTGTACAAAACCATGACTTCTGTGCGTAACAAGAGACAAAAAATTTCAGTAATACTTACCTTTAGCTGAGACTTGGGAGTTGCTTTTCTCAATAGGTTGTGTTTATTTTTACTGAATTTTTTTTTTTTTTTTTTAACACAATTTGCAAATGGGAAGTCAAAAGGTATCGACTGCAGGATGTCCCAGGTGTGGTATATGTTCATACTGGACATTCAGCACAAACATAAGCTGTATTGGTCTTAGAGGGAGAACATTCTGCTATTTATTGTTTCAATGTATGGAAAATAATGACTTTATTGTTGTTCTTGCTGTTTGTATTATGGACTAGTGCCTCTGAAACTTGGGAAATTATTCGCAGAGGTCTTATCAACAAAATAAGTGTTTCTTCGTCACTTATGGCTGCCTATGTTTCGTAACTTCGGGGTGTTGCAGCTTTGGTATATTCAAGAATTTGTGATATTCGAATGACCACAAACACAAATAAACCCGATGTGGATGAATTACTGGGGAGTGGTCTTAGCTTCCTGTTGATCCCACACTGTTTACTTTGTTAAATTACTTTCTTATCACATTCTTTTTGCTCTACACACACTGTCTGTCTGTCGAAACTATATCAGAGCGTCTAAATGTTTTTGGGAGCTTTTGATTAACTTTGCTGCACTTTTTCTGTCAGAAAACTTGACACCAGCCTTACTGTTACAATTTAATAGTAGTTTACACATTGTACAAAGTTAGACCTGTAATATATTTTATTCAACATCTTTATTGTTTATTTTTTTCTCCAACTGTTCTTTCTGGATGAGTGTGCCACTTTTTATGATATTGTATTGCTATGGCAAAAGCTAAATGCCTAGAAGCATCTTGTGAATGTAAAAACTTCTACAAAGGTATATGAGCCTATATTTTTGTACTTTTTGTTATATGTTTGGTACAATTCTCCCTCAGAGAGCGATTCCACAGATTTTTAATAAAGCTTTCTTTTTCTTAACTATCATACTGTGTGTTATTTGTTAAACAAGATAACCTTCTTCCCAACATAAGTCTAAAATACATTTTAGGTCAGCTGTGTCCAAATGTAGACTTTGTTTTGATGACTAGTCTGAGGTAAATTCTCAATTTAGTTAGTTCATCTATGAATTAGTCACATTCAGAATGAATCTGAGCTTATAAAGCTACATACACTTTGTTTCAATAACATGTTCCCCCAATGGATTCATTTATTCCTGCCTTTCAAACGTGGTTCAGATTTGGGTTCCAAACTTTGACCAACTTCCTGTTTTGGGAACTTTCCATAAAAGTCCTTTTAAAAGAACCAGCATTGCAAGTGTGACTCAGTGACTATGAAATATGAAATCATCACATCAATAAATTCTTGCGAACGAGTCTTTCTCTATCTCCAGGGCAGACATGACTACACACATGTGCATCAAGCCACAGCCTGCTCCACAGCCCTCCTCCTCTGCTCCCTGGGATCATCATTCTTGTGGCGCAGAGCTGAAGTCAAGTGTCCCTCCGGCCGCTCTGCAGGATGGCTCTCCCCGCGGTGGTGCTGGCCTGCCTTGCTGCTCTTGGGGCGGCTGTTGTCTTCGGAGCCCCCGGGTTTTGGAGCGTGTTGCTGGGGCTCGGGGTGTGTCTGGTATCGTGGAGCTTCCAGGGGTTTATCCATGTGGCGCTGAGCACCGTGAGAAGAGACCTCAGGTCAGCAGGCTATAGTCAGACTCTACTTAGAAACATGTGTTTTTATTCTTCAAATGACAGCTGAGGCTTTCTGCGTGAGTGGCTTTATTACATGATTAGTTTGTGGATGCAAGGCTATGGTTACATTTATACAATCAGACGAGGTTATGCTACAAGAAGTAAGCCACAAAATAGAAAAAATACCAATCATTATATTTTGGTTGAAAGTTTTATAACACAACCAAACATGGCTTTGTATTTTCAAATAATTTGTATATTATAGTAAAATGACACTAAATGACCAGGAGACTTGGATCTCACCAGCTGGGGGTGGTTCATGGAAAGTTAACGGGTCATGTTATAAATACATATTTTGTTATCGGCACAGCCCTAAAAGACATCACTTGAGTTCAATTTTCTTGAACTTAAAATGCAAGTCTATTTTCTCTTAATGACTATTTCCGTCATAACAACCTATTTCATTGACACATAGGTCAGCGTAATCACTACTATACCAACTATTACAAAATCCATGTTGTGAAACTAACATTTGATTGAATGTCATTACCTCGAGTGCGCTATTTTCTTTAGATAACTGTTTAAGCCAGTTACAACTTGTTCCAAAACAAACAAACATCTAATACATTCTTCTCTAGGTGTCTGTTTGTTATTTTAAAAGTGAAGAGGTCCATGTACCATCACGTCCGGAGGAAACATACAGTCCCTGAGCTGTTTGTTCAGACCGCCATGAAGCACCCTCACAAAACTGCCCTCATCTATGAACCCACAGGAGAGGTAAAGTAAACATAAATAAATGTAGAGATGAAAACTAGAAAACGTAAATCAGTCTCAGTTGTGATAGTTTGCGCTACTATCCAAGCTGTGTATGACGAGCAGTAAAAGATTTTGAATGATATTTTATGTGTCTGTACTATTATATTCTTTGTATTCTGATAGAGCTGGACTTTCGGGGGGCTGCTGGAGGAGTGCTATTCTGTGGCTCACTGGGCTCTGGGACAGGGCTGGAGGGAGGGGGATATAGTGGCCCTGTTCTTGGAGAGTTGCCCTGCTGTGGTTCCCCTATGGCTGGGTCTGGCCATGGTCGGAGTGGAGGCTGCTTTTATTAACTATAACCTGCGGCTGGATCCTCTGCTGCACTGTGTCAAAGTCTCAAGGGCCAAAGCTCTGGTGTTTGCTACAGAGCTGACTGAAGGTAGACACCTGTTTGGTATAAATATATTGACCTCTAATCCATGTCTATTAAAGCTGGTGTACCTGACTTTCAAACCACAATAAAATCCATGGTTAGTTTATTGCTCTCAAAAGGTTCTCAAGCCAGATCCCATCAGACCTCTGAAGCTGATGAGGGCAGGGCCTGGTTAGTACTGTGATGGGAGACCTCTGGGAACATCAGGAGCCACAGTGGGGCGGCTGCGGCTGTAAAGTGCCAAACTGCTGTTGTGTCCTTAGGCAAGACACTTTACCCACATTTTCTAGAATGAGTCTGGTGTGTGTGTGAAGGGTTGGTGGTGGTCACAGGGGCTGATGGCACATAGTGGTTGCCTCGCTTCTGTCAGTGTGCCCCAGGGCAGCTGTAGTTTATCACCACCGTGTATGAGAGTGAAAGTGCTAAATAAAACTGATGCATTATCATTATTAGACAGTTCAGTTCTAACATGTTTTCTAATAAGATAAAACCAAAGCTGTTCTACGTTTTACTTTTACAAGACTATTTCTGTTAGAGCAAAAAACATGGGTTGATAATAAAAACATTTTTTAGTTACGCCAGCTGTAGCAAGTTAATGAGATAATATGAAAGTAGATTGTGGATTCGGAGACCATCAAACACACACACACACACACACACACACACACACACACACACACACACACACACACACACACACACACACACACACACACACACAGGAGAAGCAGTTCATCATATAAATTCATGAAATACATTATTTTGCAGCTGTGCAGGAAGTGAGCCACTCTTTGGACTCTGGAATGTGTTTATTCATCAGTGGACGAGGACATCAACAGATAGAAGGTCTCCAAACTCTCAGCCTGGACGAGCTGTTGTCCCAATCGCCGAAACACAAGCCCAACTATTCCCTCAAGAAGGATTTCAACGGTAATGTCTTTATTTTGGACTTCAAGAACCACCTTAGTAAACAGTGCTTGGATTTTTACCAAGCAAATCTGGGATGATCTGGCGTAGACCCATCCATCCTTTGTCTTCCCCTTTATCTGTTGCCGGTTGCAGGGGCAGCAGTCTGAGCCGAGACGCTCCCAGATCTTCCCTATCCACACACAGCTCAGAGACAGTCCCATAGTACATAACATCAGCATATTAAGTAGAAGGTACTTGGCAAAAACTAAACTATCAAAACTATAAAATATACTCCACTTCAGAGGTTACCAAAGAAGGGGTCAAGGGACAAACGGTGGGGGGTCACAAGATGATTTCCAAAATAGGTATATTATTTTTTACAAAATGAAACATGGCAGCCTTTATTAACAACGCAAGTCATTCTCATCAAAGTGTTTTACATAAAAAATCCAAGGGCAAAAAACAGTATTTATAATCTTTTTCTCTTTTTTTTCCATAGTATTTTGACCAATTAGGTGATGTTGGATCATATCAAGGCGCAATAACATGCCACAGCACACTTTTTTGTTCGTTTTTTTTTTTTTTTTAAACCATTGGAGTAGAGTAATAGAATATCCAGTTTGATACTAGTTTTAGTATCAATCAATATCTGTTTTTTGATACTTTCAGCATTCCTACTAAGCACTAATGCTACTGCGGTTGCTGCCTGTTGTCGGAGCGTGTGTTGGCCTTTGTATCGTGTCTAAAGCAAGCAGTTACCAACTCAAACTAAATCAGAGCTAGAAAGAATAATACTTCTCTGTACTTGACTTGACTTGATTCTAATAATGAATGTCACCCATGCATCCCACTAACGCCCACTTGGTCCACCCTGTGACATGAACCTAAAAATACTCAGGTCCACAGGCTGATTACAACACAGGTTACAAGTCCTCTCCTGTCAGTCAGTCATGCTACCAGATGTGCACCCATGGATCAGACAATTCCCAACTCTACATCACAACAACATGAACATTCATTTGCAGTGATTTCATTGTTGTACGGCATTATTTTTATCTTCAATCTACAATTTGAGGTCACGTGTGTTCTTTTGTGCATTGTTTTGTGTGAAAGACCTTGCATTCCTGAGTGAAACTTCTCAAGTCTTTGCCTGCAAGAGCTGTCACACGTGCAGGAGTTACGGAGATAGAATTATTTCAGGAATGGTGCGTTTGTAGTGAACTGAGATTTAAAATGATTATTTAACACTGAAGGTTCTTGTTGCAGGTGTGCTGTTTTACATCTACACATCTGGAACAACAGGGATGCCCAAAGCTGCTGTGGTGGTGCACAGTCGGTGGGTGGTACATTGTGTGTTGTAAATGTCATTAAAGCTGGGGTACCCCACTTTTTATGTTTGTCCAGAAAGAGTCTTGTTCAAGTAACATTTGGTGAACAAATTAGACCACAATATGCTTTCTTCATCTTATCTATAATGTTTTTACATACTGAAAGATTGGCCAAGAGAGTGCAGATACTCTTTATCAGTGTGCCGTGGTACGTTGGTGTGCCCTGAGACATTTATTAGTGCGCCTTGGAAATGATCCAAAATCACATGCTTGGTCAAAATCATGTGAAAAGAAAATAATGTGAGATGATTAGAGATACATTTTGTGCTTGTTTGAATGTCTTTATAATACAAATTAATGAGAATCACTTTGCTTTGTTCATAAAATCTGTAGAGTTGAAATGTTGTATTAGTTTCAGCTGGTGGTGTGCCATGTGATTGTTCGCAATGACAAAGGTGTTCCACGACTCAAAAAGGTTGGGGAACACTGCTCTATATCACTGAAAATCTGTAATGTGACAGAGACCAAAAAAACCTCCATGTGAATGCCAGTGATATTATTTATTAATTAAACTTTATTACAGGCACGAGGTCCAGATAAGAATGACATCACACAAAAACAAAAACCATAAGCATTGAACCAAACAGTTTTGAGAGCGAAAAACTAGTTACATTTTTTTTTTGTGGTTAGGTACCCAAGCTCTAATAGCACCACCTTCATTATCTGTTGAAATATATAGATGCTTATGTAGTTCATGTGTTTTTTTTCAGGTATTTTCGAATCGCTGCTTTTGGTTTTCATTCTTTTGGTTTGAAGAGTTCTGACAGACTCTATAATTGCCTTCCGCTCTATCATTCTGCAGGTAATTACGTAACACAATAAAAACCACCGCACATACAACAATGGTTCTATATTGGCTCAGGCCCTGTTTGTGAACAACACATGGAAGCTTGTACTGTGCGTTTGCAGGGACTATAATGGGAATGGGTCAGTGTGTGCTCTTTGGCCTCACTGTTGTCATGAGGAGGAAGTTTTCTGTCAGCCGATTCTGGGACGACTGTGTAAAACACCATTGCACTGTAAGCATCAACAACATCAAAGTCCATATTGTTTTTGCTGTTCGTCATAATCTGTTTTGTGTAGGTAATTCAGTACATCGGAGAAATCTGCCGGTACCTTGTTGCTCAGCCAGTTCGATCGTCAGACTCTCAGCACCAAGTCCGAGTGGCTTTTGGAAACGGCCTCCGACAGTCTGTGTGGGAAGAGTTTGTAGAGAGATTCAAAATCCCTAAAATTGGGGAATTTTATGGTGCAACAGAATGCAATTGTAGCCTCATAAACATAGATGGAAAGGTATGTGTGCAGCTGGTTCAAGAGTCAGAAAGGATTGCATTTGCAGTAAGCCCAGGGGTACCTCTTTGTTTTTGTTTGTCCAGCTCGGCGCCTGTGGGTTCAACAGCCGTATTTTACCCAGTTTTTACCCTGTGAGGTTGATGCGTATTCAGGAGAATGGAGAGATGCTTCGGGATGACCAGGGCCTCTGTGTGCCTTGCCAACCTGGTAACAAAAACATTTCTCCCGAGTTTTAGTGGTTCATTGCCCCATTTAAGTAGTTCAGTAGTGTTCATGTGATAACTGTGGTAACTGTCAAAAGTCAGATTTCTAGGTAAAGGTATATTTTGTATAGTATAGTCCTAAATCACAACAGCAGTCATCTTGTCAATTCCTCTACAGCAGATAAAATAAGCAAACAATTTGAACACTAGAAATGCAATAATAACAAACACATCAGAGCCATTGGTTCATAGGGGGCGAATAACCGTCGTACATAAATGTCCTTAAATGTAAGGATGAAACCTTGGGAAGGCCCATATACAGAGAGGGATCTGCTCTATAGGACTGAGGAGGCTCCCAGGCGGGCGTGGGGTCCAACCTCTGAGTCTGGGTCGGGGCGGGGACTAGACTTATCATCTCATAAAGAAGTCTACAAGTGGTGACAATATAAAAAAACATACTATGCATGATGTTTGTCAATAGATAATACTTGCAGAAATAAAAATAATCTGGCGGGTTTATGCATGGTCGAAAGAATTTGGGAAAAGATCATTCGTACGTTTCTTTTAAAAAAATCTTCTTTCCCATAGACTTGTAAAGGGAACCCGCCCTCCAACTGAATAGAACTCTACAACTTAACACAACCTACTAAGTCTGGATTGACTTTCCCTTCCCCAGGTCAAGCAGGCATGTTGGTCGGACGCATCGACAACACAGACCCATTGAGGAGATTTGATGGATATATTGATCAGGATTCAACCAATAAGAAAATAGCACACAATGTTTTTAAAATGGGAGATGCAGCTTACGTCTCTGGTATGTCTACTTTTCCAAACTGTATTTCAAAATGACGTGTTTATAACTTTTATTTTTGTCTCACAGGTGATGTGATGGTGATGGACGACTACGGCTACATATATTTCATGGACCGTAGTGGAGACACATTCCGTTGGAGAGGGGAGAACGTGTCGAGCACAGAGGTGGAGGGCGTCCTGAGCGCTCTGCTGGGACACGCTGATGTGGCCGTCTACGGAGTCTCTGTTCCAGGTATTACAAACATTCGAACCAGAGTCATGACGCTGTTTCAGCCCTCCAATCTGTTACTTTTGGGAATGTTTAATTAATTTGAGGTGTGTTGTGTAACTCAGGGGTCTCCAAACTGTAGCTCCGGAGCCACCAGTAGCTCGCCCAAGGATTTAGAAGTGAACAAATCAAATAATATACTTCAGATTGTATTATTCATTATCATTGTTCAGCCTTGTAAATGCACTTACTTTGTGAACTAGTAACATACATATAACAGGCTTGTTCACACCAATATATCACCACAAAGGAGTAGCTCTCTGCCTTTATCGTCCAAGGAAAGTAGCTCTCCGGAGGAAAAGGTTTGGAGACACCTGGTGTAACTAGAGTACCAAGTTACCTCAGTATGGTACAGCATGTGTACATATGGGTTAGGGTTCATCAGGGATTTGTGCTGCTCAAAAACATGATTTGTTGAAAAGTTGTGGCTCGTGTCTTGGAGTGTTCTGGCAAAACAACATGATCCCAGTCCATTTTGATGTGAACATGTTCCCAATGAATTTGCCACTATGTCACATTCATTACATTTTAAGCTACCACCAAAACATCCAACATTTTCCTATGTGAAACTGACAAAAGGTGGAGCCCTTTATAAGAGACAGAGGGCAAATGAAATCAATGCCAAAAATAAATATAAAAAAGAAGAAAAGGTTGTGTGAAGCCAGGTCGTTGTATTGAAAGTGTCCTGGATTTACAAACTCATTCAGTAATTTTCATGCACAAATGAGCTAAACTCGTTGCTTTAAATAACGCTCTCATTGTCTCAGTACAAGGAGTGAGTACAAGAGAAAATGATCAGATACATTCCACATGTAGCTAATACTGGCACATTAACAGTTGATTTATGTGTACGGTCCAGGGCTGTCAAACGATTAAAATATCTAATTGTGATTAATCGCATTAATGTTATAGTTAACTTACAATAAATTGCAATCAATCACACACTTTCGAAATATGTTTTTCATGCAAATTGTTTTAAATAACTTTTTGTTGGAAGGTGTTGAAGGAAAGGCGGGCATGGCTGCGATCGGTCACACTGGAGGCTCCCTGGACCTGGACACATTTGTAATAAACATGAAGAAAGCTCTTCCCTCTTACGCTCGACCACTATTTCTACGACTGATGCCGGCCGTCGAAACCACAGGTACTGAACGGACAATACTCCTCTTGTGGCTAATTTCTGTTATAGTTTATTTATTTCTTTAATCTAAGTTTAACAAATGACCACATCCGGCTGTGGGAAAAACTACTCCTGTATAACAAATTGTCTATTTTGCACACCCATAGATTTATTTATATTTATTATTATTGTGACCTTTCTGTTTGAAATATATATTTAGACCAATAAAGTCCAACTTTGTAAACAAAAATAGGAAAATATGTTGAAATTAACAAGAGGTATTGCAGAGTTCTAAAACGTATGACATTGCACTGGGAACAAACCGGACCCATTCTGAGGTTTGGCATTTGCTTAGCTTTAAGTAACTTTACTCAACTTATTCTTATCACACTTGAATGAGTCTATATTAAAAGTTTATGTGTGATTACATTTTAAATATACAAATAATTCTGATACAAAGTGTGAAATTTGTGTTTTGAGAAAAGCATAGTCCAACCTGTCCTCTTCGAGTATGGGCAAAAACTAAAGCAAATATAACTTACAGTGTGAAAGGTTTTGACAACCATCACAATAGATATTTATCACATTTTCTATTTGTTGGTTTGTCTTTCTTCTGTAGGAACCTTCAAAATAACAAAAACAAAACTGCAACGAGAAGGATACAAGCCGCAAAACTCAAGTGAGCGTCTGTACTTCCTGGACATTCGGGTTGATCGTTACGTGGAGCTCACTCATGAAACTTATCAAGATTTAACAGAAGGAAGAATGCGTCTTTAAGTCTTTTTGTTCATGAAAAATACAGTATATGTAAATGTGTTCTGCAACGGGGGTTGAAATTATGGATTAAATCATGCAATGCTTTAATCAACCAAACTATGCAAACATCCCCTATTGTGAAATGAAAATGAGAAGTGTCAAAAAGTGTGTGTGTTGTATAACGGAGTTCCTCAAGAGCAGGTGAAAATGTGTTCGTATGGCACTAAAACAGGGCTTTTCAGCAAAACAACTCATTAAAAGGCAAATTGTAAGAATTTCACATATATTTATGCCACTGTTGTTGTATTGTGTGATGTATGTCTATATGTTTATCTTTAGTGTGAATCCATTGCTGACCAAACTCCCATAGAATACAGCAACATAATAAATGAGGAAGAAGATTGCAATGTATTTTATTTACATATTTACTGAAAATTACACACAATTAAACTAATAGATCAAGAATAAAATAAAACAGGCATCTCAGGCCAAATAAAGCAAAGTCATCCATGTTTTATCTGATTGCAGGAGTCATTGCTCTTTTGTAACCTGAACAGCGACACATGGTACTCCTCACAGAGCTGCACTTTCTGGGCTGTCTTGGCTGGCTGTGTTTTGACAAGGCCAGGTTTTAAAATACGCTTCTTAGTTTTCTTGCTCTTCCCTTGGATTACTGTCTGAGAGCTCACTATTTCACAATTTTCGGAGACCAAATCCTCAGCAATCTCGCCCTCCAAAGCCACGCTGACACTGACTTCTCTCGGCACCACAGAGAGGTCTCCGGTGTTGGACGTTGTCTCAAAATATGGGTAAACCGTCTCCGTGAAGCGATGTGTGAATGTGAAAATTCTCGTGTCTGTTCCTGCGTTGTGGAACTCCAGGCTGCCGCTGTCCCAGTCCAGTGTGACGTGGATCTTCTCCAGTGGGCAGGAGGAGCTGTAGGGCAGAGCGTGGGGGGGCGTGGTGAGGGCAGACAACCGGCCGTCTCTCAAACTGATGCACCACAGTCCGGTTTCAGGGCACGCTTCAGACTGGACTCGCCTCTCTATGTCCTGGGAGGCCACACCCACGGTCCAGTTATTGCAGTTACCCACCTGTTCAAATCAAGCACATGTGGTAAAGAATGAGGGATAATAAGTGATTATAGGACTTTTTACTTTGCCATTTCATATTTTAAAAACTTCTTGGACAAAAAATATGCTAAACATAAAGGCATCTGAATGTAACTTCCTTGGCTACCACTGGAAGGAGGAATTGAATTTGACATTTATAATTCAATTGAAAAGAACGTTACAAAATCACTCTTCTTCTCTGACAATGTTCAAATCCAGGTTAAAAAAAACAGTTCTGTTTAGCTTTGCATACAACTGAGGGATTTCCTCTTCACTATTTTTAATGTACTGTATTAAATATGATTTTAATGTCTTCCCCATGTTGATTTGTTAAGTACTTTGAGCTGCCTTGTTTATGAACTATGCTTTACAAATACCTGCGTTGCCCAATTTAGGTGAAACCCTTTTTTAAGGGTGTCAATTACATCATAATATTACCAGACGGAAACAGGAGCTTATAAATAGAAGGGGCGGAGTTACATGTTTGAGCCATAAGTTCCTGATATTAGCAGGATATAATAAACTCCAGACATGTTTGTGATGAGGGAACAATATTCTCACATGGTTAAATGTTTTCGCATAAGGTGTCTCTCTGAAGCTCAGCAGGGGGTAAAGCCTGGTTAGCCCTTTAAAGTGTAAACGTGTGTGAATGATGGTGGTGGACACCTGGTCAGAAGGTCCAGACCTGAGCATCAGCCATGCTTCTGTTAGTTCAGTACCACCACCATGTTTAATGAATGTATAACGCACAAAACCATAAATCTTCCATGTGACCACTGTCGGTGAATAGCACTGTGTACAAAGATAGAAGTTGACCTGGTTTGGATTATGCTTCTGTCACGTGGGGAGAGAATGTAAATTACCCAGAATTATAAAGGGCATTGTCGTGTGACCATGGTCTTTGAACTGTGCTAAATAAATAACCATTACTTACTCACATATCTACAAATTAGCTCTGATTAACCAACTGCTCCCTATGGACTAATGGCTCATATGTGTGTTTTATTCTCTGATCAGTTAGAGAATCAACTTTTTAAAATCTGAAACGACTGCTGTTGTGATTTAAGGCAATATAAAATGTATTGAATTGAATTGAATTGCCAGTCAGGGTTCAAATATGATTAAAATGGCAACCAGTCAGACTTGTCCGTACCTGAATGTCCCAGCAGTGCAGTCCTGAGCTGAAGCCTTCTCTGGACAGGACAGAGGACTGGGGCTGAAAGCCTTCTGGATGGTCCGGGACACACGGAGGCTTTGGTTCCTTCGCAGCAGGTGAAAAATGTGCCGTGATCAGAGGAAAAGGCAGCGTCAGGTTCTGTCCTGCTGTTCTGGGGTCTAAAGTCACAGGAGCTGCAAAAATATTGTCAGTCCAAGACAAGTTAAGGTAAGGGATAATTCAGATGATAGAGTTGACATTTGAGAGGTCTTACAGTAGAGGGCGCTCTGTTTCATCTTGTGCCATATTGAGAATTTTAGATTTCCCAGATATTTTGCCACATTTATAAGAAAATTCATCTTTGGCTTTTTCTCATCAGCACATTGTCTTTAGAAAAAAAGGGTGAAATACATTTAGCTTAGTCTTAAAATTAAAACATTTCAGACACATTTTTAACAAAAACATACCACACACATGTACATCCAATTTTTGCACGTTTTGTCTATTGTAAACTATTTGATAATTGTTTTGTTTTTTATAATAGAAGTGTTTCCAATGACCCGTCTCCTCAGAGTGGAATTTTATCAAGGAAAATATAATTTACATGTTTTTTTTAATATATATATATATTTTCATGTGATTAAACTCAACTACTAACAACATTTCACAAAACAATAACAAACAAACAACAAAAGTATCAAGAATCAAAGCCACACTGTACATTTTGCTGGGCACTTTATAATCCTGAAAAGAGATTAAAGCTTGTATTAAAACATGGTCAAAGTGACAGAGTTTTATTCAACATTCACCATTAAAAACTGGACCCCATCTCCGCCTGTGCGCAGCTCTCCTTCTGTCAGACGGATCCTCTCCTCCAGCGACATCACCATCTCCTGCCTGAGTTCCATTTGCTCGTGTAATTCTTTCATCTTTTTGTCTTTGTCTTGTTTCAATAGATGCAATTTGTTTTCTTCCTCCTTCTGTAGCCATTGATGGAGCTGCGCAAAATCCTTTTTTATTTGTTCCTCTGCGAGTCCTGCCACAGCCTTTGGATGAAAAACAATTACATGTATGTAAGTGTGTGTGTGTGTGTGTGTGTGTGTGTGTGTGTGTGTGTGTGTGTGTGTGTTAAATGTAGTGTGTGCGTACCTGGTTGTATTTAGAAATGTGTTGATTATTGAGAGACACTTTGTCAATGATGTTGAGCTTCTGCTTCAGCTTGTTTAGTGAAGAACTCAGCTCCCCCTAGTGGACAGAATTACAAGTGCCAGCATGACCATTATCAAAGAGTACAATTACTACATACAAGGATAATTAATGATAGTAAGAGAATTGTTTTATTTATTTGAATAAAAATGATAATATTGTGTCAGGCCAGTTGGACTGTTTAATACTGTTGCCTATCCTTAATGAGTAAAGATGCTGATTCCATTACTGTAACTTAGGTTTCAAGATGACTGCTAATCATAACCATCTGTGCTGCAAATGAACCCCCAGTATTCTAGGAGCACCACAAGCGCACATATACCTAAATATGATGAACTAAAATGTTTAGATTATAGATTATACCACAGAGCAGGATGTGGGGGACTAAAAGGGGCGTGGGAGTTGTGGGTAGTAATTTGAGATCACAAACTTCTGTTTGGACTGAGATTGTGTCAAAGTGATGTTACTTTGTTACTTAGAAAAAGTTGAGTTTGTGCAAAACCGAGCATTGAGAAGCCTCCAGCTCCTCTTAAGCCTGGAGTTATGCAGGCACAGACAGTGGGTGGCAGCAGACAGGGTTCAGACTCGTCAAGGACTTAGTTAAGTGTTTGTTGAGTATTGAGCCTTTTCATATATATTGTGAGGACGTCTGTAAATATAATTATTTTATGGGAGGCTGGGCAAAAATTCAATAGAAGGAGCAGTATTGATAGTTCCATGGTGGAGATGTCATCAATCCCAAATATACATTGGAGTTTTACAAAAATATGCCTGTTCAAAGAGTTGAGGAAAACCAAGAGATTAGGTTTGTAGATCTGTAGCTATGTCAGGGTAGAAAGATTGTAAGATTATCACTTTCTGGTTATTTACATTATAAATTCTATGTTGACCGTATGTGTTCACAGTGGCTCCCAAAGTGAACCAACTATGGTTCCAATGGCAAAAATGCCTTAATTATAGGTGGAGATTTGTAATAACCAAAGGGTGCACAATGGTCCTGTAGTCACAGACTGTTTTAAGACTATTTTACAACAAATCCAGTTAAATATATGAGCTCTATTAACACCGTATTGATTCATGAAACCCATCCTAATGGCCTTGTGGCTTTTTAATATCACACTAATATTATCTCTGCCCCTGTCAGGACCCAGATTTCATGACAACGCTCACTAAACCCATACGCATTGACAAGTACCAAAATAATTGAGACATGATACAGTTATGTTGTTTATAGATGGTAATAGTAATAAAACACCGTTTGTGCTCATGCTCTGATCTCCCACACACTCCATGCCGTGTCAGGACTCAGGAGCGTACCTTGCAGTCTGCAGCAGCTTCGCAGAGCAGATAAACCCTGTGTTGTAAGTGGTCCTCGTCCGCACACTGCTGACACAAAGGCTCTAGGTCGTCCAAGCAGAACAAACACAGGCCCGCATGGTGTGTACGGCACTGGTCAGAGCCTTCTCCAGGAGCCGAGCTGGCCATGCTTCCACCAGGCCTGAGCACAAAGACATGAGCAGGTCATGGCTGTATAGCATGTGTGCAGTCTGGGAGATCTGCTTACCATCTCCATTTCTAACTCGCCTGCCAGAAAGAGCCATACATCACGCACTGTCAAAGTTGACTTTTATGACACCATAATTGTGCGTCCTCGAGGCAAACTCAAGCCCCTGCCTTCACTTGTCACCTACCCGCTACTTCCAAGCAGAAAAGTGTGAATTTGAATTTGTAATAAAAGTCATATTAACTAGATGTAATGGAGAGGTACTTTGGAACGTGTGAATAACATGTACACTATTTCAGATATGTTTGAAGTGTTCGGTTTCAATTGCTTTTAACTTGTCAGATCCCAAACATAAATAGAAAACTATTAAGTCATGTGAGCGATTTAGGGCTACTGTACAGCTTGAAATGTCTCTGTGACACATTCAGGCAACATTTGTGGTATAATTAAACATTTGAACATGGTAACTCATTGAATAAATAAATACATGGATTTGCTTAGTCCACTCATAAAACTGACAGATTTTTAGGTCCAATAACAGTAAAGTTTGTGGTGGAGGATTTAGGAGATGTTTTGCAGGGAGTTATGTAATGTGAGGAGACCTTAAAAACAAATTCTTAACAATAAATCAAAAACTTAAAGCGGTGGTGTAGTACTTTTTAGTTTCTTAAATACAACATGGGATTTTTCCCAGCAGAAAGAGTTTTGTAAAAGTGAAATGTTGTGAACAAATTTGAAAAAGCCCCGTGAAACATTTGGCTGAGAGGTGATTGGTTTGTTTTTAGTTTCCTGTCTAAAAAAAGTTGCCCAAACATGTGACAATGGCCAAAAATACATGTATGTGAAAACTAGTGAAAGAACTGATTAAGAGCCACGTACAAGAACAGTCGATACATAGATATTATTACATAGGTTAGGTGTGGTTTGAAAGTTAAGTACCCCAGCTTTAACTATAGCCACTAAAGCTTGAGTATTTGCACAGTGCAGCAACTTGTATACAGTATTCACTTTTTGGTGGGTGGTCGATCATCTGCATTGTATAACAGTAAACGTATTTGTCCATTTGTATGCTAACTAACCACATTTATGTAAATAATATCTTAAATCCACATTATTAGTTTTTTTTTAAAAACCTATTCAATTGGTGTTCTCTCTTCACAAAGGAATATTCACAAAACGTAGCATTTTTTTTTCTTCTAAGCTAACATGTTTTAACTTTTACTGTTAGCGTTCCAATATCATCACCATGGCGACCAGCAAGTAGAAGAAAAAAAACCCCATCAGTAAAAAATTCACTGCTTTTGTCCCTCTCATCAATAATGTATACAAGTAATTAATCTTATAACATTCAGCCTAAAGCCGCTGAATGTTATAGAATTTGAACAAGTCAGGGGAAAAATAAGGATAGAGTTGCATACAAACCTGGCGCCGCTAACAGAGCACAATAAGACATGAGTTAATCTTAAACTTGCCCTGAGGCTACATGGGTATAATGGCTCCAGTCCAATGTGCAAAGAGGAAGAATACGAGCTAAGACTTGGAGAATACCAAGTTTTACAACAGCGGGTCCTGGGTCAGTCAGTTTACACACATCAGCTGTGGGCCAGCTGAAATACTGGCCTGTCTGTGTGGGATCCCAGCACTTACTTCTACCAGTGACGTAAAAGTGTCAAAAGATAGTACAAAAACAATATAATAGCCATATATCATCATTGCGATTACATACTAAACCTTTATGCTTTTTGGCTCCCACCATAACAAAGATGAATGAAATAGTTCTTGAGCATATTTTGTGTTGATTATTATTGGTTGATTTAAAATACAAGAATTTGTGAAAGCTGCTAAAACAAGAAGATATGGAGCATGGAGCCAAACAGCTTAAAGACATAGGTATTTACTTTGATATTCAAGCTCTATCAAACTCTCCATTCGTCCAATTTTTCTAGGCTGTTTTTCAATAATTTAGTTTTGTGAGTAAAGTTTAGGTCAGGTGTGTAATCGTTTTCAGAGCATTTGCCTTTTCAGTCGACTAGTCAATGAACAGGGCATTTATTTAAGAACATCTGACTGCTCTAAAGCAATTACACATATTTATAGAAGGAGAGGATGAGGCTGAGTGACACTTGATGAGTCAAACTGTGACTGCTGCATGACAAAAGGATATGTCAAATGGAATGACAGATGTGTTTCCATCGCCCCAGGCCTCAAAGTGCTGAGCCATAACTATAACCAGAACGTGCAGACACTTTGTGATAAAGCTGGTGTGTACTTTAACCAATTCTTTATCCTTTCTGATGTTTTGCTCCAACTCCTAACACAGAATTTTCTCACAGATGTGCTCATTCATGCAGAAAGTATTATAAAGCTGGTGTGCTTGACTTTCACACAACAAACTATTTTACCACGTCATATGTGTAACCATTCTCATTTGTCTCAGAACAGTTTGGTTCTATCACTAGTTTTCACATGCATGTATTTTTGACCTTTGTCACATGAGATTTTTTAGAAAGAGAAGTGAAAAAGAGTGGACCACCCTCACTCAGCTCTCAGAAAAAGGTTTCACAGACTCTATATTTTCTGATAAAATAAACATGTGGTGGTCAAATTTGTTTACTTTTCCAAAACTCTTTCTATTAAATGATAGATAAATGTTGATATATTCAAGCACTTACTCTTGGACTTGTGAATATTCAGGTGTGATCCTATCGTACAAGTCTCTGCTATAAGATCAAATGTAACAGTACATTTTTTGGTGTCAGTAAAATATTCCCTGTGGAGATATGTGGAGGCGCAAGAGAGGACTCGCCTGGATCAAAGTGAGGTGTAAAGAGCTTCATAGAGGTGCGGATTAAAGCTCGAAGCTCTTCGTATGAATTAAAGTGATTGCAGGGGAAACGTCAGGGGAAAGTGCCGGTTATTTTGCATGGGTCTCCTCCGCTTCATGTATTCAGTATCTGTTTGTGACACATCCGGTCGCCTTCTGTGGCTTCCTCTGTGTGGACCTCCTTTAGACCTCACACACTGCTCACACTGCTCACTGTCCAGCCTCGCCTCGGACGTGTGCCGTATTCTCCAAGATCCCTGTCTTGTTATGTGCTGTTGTTTTTCTCATTTGGACTTTTGATTGTGATTGTAGGGGTGACAGTGGCTCAGTTGGTAGAGCATTGGCCTTTGAGCCTGAAGGTCATGGGTTCGAGCCCACCATAAGACCTACTTCACGACTCCCACTGATGACTGCTGTTGTTGTGTCCTTGGGCAAGACACTTAACCCGACTTTGCCTGAAGCTCCTACTGAAAGATCTCAGCTCCTGTGGACTCAGCACCTGCAGGAGGATCAGTGAGGGGCTGGTGCTATGTGTACTGGGTGCAGCTCTGACTGCCACCCCTCCGACCCAGCAATGGATTAAGGCGAAGAAACTGGATGGATGGATGGACTTTGGATTGTCACATGCACCACAAGAAACTTTGTATTTGCTGCAACCAATCAGGCGATCTCATATGTTAACTGGTTACATTATGATTATGAGTATTAGATGTTTTCTACAGACAGTGGGATTCACATATCACATACAGTAATCAAAAGAAAACTTGTGATTTGATAATAATAATAACAACAATAAAGCATTAGTTTTATATATCGCTTTTTTGACACTCAAAGATGCTTCACATGTCATTACTCTATCACTCCATACAAGGTGGTGATAAACTACTACTGCAGTCACAGTTGCCCTGGGGCACTCTGACAGAGGCGAGGCAACCATCAACCATCAGCCCCTGACCACCACCAATTATTCACGCACACCAGAATCCTACTATGTGGGTGTCTTTCGGCAAGACACACAGTGCCCAACAGCCCTCCCATCACAGCACTAACAAGCCCTGCCCTGCTTAGCTTCAGAGGTCTGACGGGATCTGGCTTTCACTTAGGTGGTACAAGTGAAGGCAGCATCTTACTAAATTCAACAAAAATAGATGTATTTGTTCCAAGCAGATAATCTGAGACCGATGTGAAGGGCAATTTGAAAACAAGACATAATGACGTGAAATCTTTAGATTGTTGCAAAATGGTATAATTACAGAACATCCAGGGGCTGAGCTGAGTGTAGATCAGGCAAATAAAAGGTTTGCAATCTCAGTGGTTTAGTTCACAGAATGTGCACTGATTATAGATCAATTTACTACAATAATAAAGCCGCCAACCATGATTGCACACATCATGGTTGATGAAAGGAAAAATGGCATGCAAATATTGGTATATTAATTATGGGATTGTAATGGTAGCAGATTGAAGTATAGTGAAAGTATTAGAATGCCACACCATGATTCTCTGTTGAAACAAAGTTAAAATTGTAATGCAACATTTTAGGAGCAGCCTCTGTTTGGATAAAACAGTGGCCTTTGGGTTCCAGGAGCAGTAGGCTCAGTTGGTAGAGCATTGGCCTTTAGGCCTGAAGGTTGTGGATTCGTTTCCCTCCTCGACACCTTCTCCACCGACTCCCACTGATGTCTGGTGTCTTGTCCTTGGGCAAGACACTTAACCCCACTTTGCCCAAAGCCCCCACTGAAAGATCTCACCACCTGCAGGAGGATCAGTGAGGGGCTGGTGCTCTGTGTAATGAGTGCAGCTCTGACTGCTACCCCCCTGACCCAGAAATGGATTAAAGGGAAGAAGATGGATGGATGATACAAACACATCGTTGCTGAATTACTGTTATCAGTTAAATATGTTTTTGAAAAGACCATGATTTATTAACGCCTTTTGACACATTAGGGCCATTCAATGATGACTTCACATAACATTCTTACATATAGCACCTTTAAGCTATAATATAAAGGCCTCGCTCCATTCACTGAGAACACAACACATCCAGGTCAGATCCTCAGGAATGTAAAACAGTGTGCCACATGTTCCCTGATGTGCAGCAGACGAATACACCTCTAATGAGTCAAGAAGGAGCTAATAACCATATTCCCTCAATTACTGGGCTATTACCTTCACACTGTGTGCATTAGTCACTATCATTTTATTGTCACCCAGGAAATCATTAGGACACATTAATTTGCCTCATATGCCGCTTTGTAACATGAAAATAAAGACTGTCATTATACAAGTTAAATACTTCTTTGGTACCTCTTCAATTCACTCACTAGACTTAAATGCAATGAAAATGTGTTAATAAGTTAGGAGTGAGTGGAAAACCTACTGTAGGTGGTATTTGAGAAACTGTATAATTTGCCATCTTGAATTTGATCATGCAAAACATATTATTGAAGTTTAAGTTTTGTGTTACCATCGTTGGTATGAGACATATTGTCACAGTTGTAATGGGGTTAGGCAGTACCTCGACTTCAGCCTAAACCTATAGCCAGGCCTTAGCCATCTGTAAACTCTGGTCAATTATCATAAATGTAATTTGTACAATGGTGTGGTACGACCAAACCCCTTCTGGTAAGGCTTTATTTAGCAATAAAAATCTCAATATACATGATTCAGTTCTATTTTTTTCTTTTCGTAAAATGTATAAGACCTTGAACACATGTGACCTAAAATCTATTGTTCAAAATGACCAAAGAAATAAACAGCTACTCTGAGAAAATGATAAAATATGAGTTAAAATGACCTGCATCGAGTGTTTTATTTTTTTAAATCTTAATTTGAGTATGTTCTGACTGTCAATGGAATAAGCCGTTTAGTCTTATTTCAAGAACTGTTGCTTTATTTTCTCATTTCAAGGGAGAAATTTCTTGTATCATTTTAAAACAAGATAATTTAGCGTGTCCCATTGGCTAATCTGGTTTTGAGGCACTGAATGTGCTCAAAGTAAGCACTTCTTTTTATCAGTTTTTGCAGTGTACTACTATTACTACTACACAGTGCAGACAGTACACTGGTCGACTTCTGGCCTCTGCCGTTTCCCACAGTGGCTCTTTTAAAGGAGAAAGCGCACAGCATTGCCTTTAATGATGTTACTGGCATCTTGGCGAGGTCTATGTTCTTTTACGCGCACTTTCCATACGCAATAGTGCTGCATGCTTATACGGCCTCCGCGACACGCTGCACGTTTCATTCAACACTCATGCGGGAACAGGGGAAGAGAAGAGCAGAAAGATGAAACTCCAGAGGCATAGACATCGACCCGCCCTCTGATCCAGCCCAGTCCTCCGCCATGTAACCACAGTCGCAGGCATAACACACACCAGCGTTTGTGCATGAGCGCTCCCATCCCGTCCGCCGTGTGCCATGCCCCGGGCCGCCTCTCTGCTGCCTGCCCTGCTGTGTGTCCTGCTGCCCGGCCTGAGCTGTGGCTACTTTCCCGAGGAGCGGTGGAGCCCGGAGTCTGCGCTCCTCGCTCCTCGGGTGGTCATCGCGCTGGTCTGCCGTAACTCTGCGCACTCTCTGCCGCTGTTCCTGGGCGCCATAGAGCGACTCAACTACCCCAAGGATCGCATCTCGCTCTGGTGGGTTGCCTTTGATTTGTAATAGCAGTCATAAAGAGTGACTTCTTGTGTCTGACGCCAGTTCAGAGAAGTGATTGCATATGCCGAGGAAAAGCGGACACGTCAAGATCCTTGTGCGCCTGCGCTTTATAGCTTCGGCCAGATGGGAGCGCTGTGTAATAGTTGTTTACCGTAGAGGGAAAACGAATGCGTCCCTTTGTCTTTGCACTGTCTGGAAAGCATCCATGTTCATAATTCATACGATGACTGAAAGCGTTAAAAATATCATGATTATTGTGTTTGACTATAGCAGCGCTGAATACCTTCTTTGACTTTCATCTGTCTCTCCACGCACCCCCCTTCTCCTGCCCCTGTGCCCTCCCTCTTCCCCCTTCTCCACATCTTCCTATTTTTATTGGCTGCAGTGGAACAAACGACCCACATTTTTATAACAGATTTCCCAGTCAACACAGGCCTCCTTCACATGGAGAAATGGGGCTATAGAGGCCGACAGTGCAGGTAAAATGAAAAAAGAAATGCAGTTGTGAATCTATCTATTAAACACCTCTGCAGGACTGTCTGGTTTTCTCACACAGTCACCCAGCCCCCAGCCTTTCCAGATGATTCTAGTCTCAGCTTATCTTTATTTGGGAGTCTGTGCCCAGGCCAAACGAATGCGGCCCAGGTTTTAAATGAAAGTCAATCTTCTAATCACTATCTGTCAGGCTGTCTTGTAATGCCACGTTGAATACACCCACCTTGAGCTATTTTAAAAGTACTGTTTGTATACAGTATTTTCTATCTCACCCTCATCAATATTCAAATGGGAGTAATTTCACCAATCTGCAACTTTCCACAGCCAGTATTATAATTCTGTGCGGATGTTTCTTGCTCCCATCCCCAGTGTGTGAGACTAACTATGCCCATATGGCAGCTGTGGTTGAGTTTTCTGCATAGCTGCTTTCATCTTCAGCGTACAGTATCTGTTACATTCAATGGAAGACACAAAGACTTTCTGAAATGCATGGTGGAACAGTATAGACTTGGCGACTCTAGCCACCTGTCGATACCTGCATTAAGCAGCGTGACAGGTGAAGATGGAGGACTTGGCAAGCTCCAACTCACACACACACACACGCACGCACACAAACACACACAGATACGTGCACACATCCATGCATACACACACAGACACACGCACACACACATCTACCTAATGGTGTGTGCGCTCTGTAGAGACATGCTGCACTGCCTTTTATCAAATCATAAATCTCACTTTTTCATCCGTACACAATTCCCTGAGCTTTCACAATGCCTTTGGGGATTGTAGTCTCACTGGCTGCCAAACAATGCCAAATATTTACTCTTTTGATCCAGCCATTTCGCGTTTGCAGAACGTCTCTTTTGAGGGGACAGAGTAAGATTGATGGAGGAGTTGGTCACACATAGGCGCTGGAATAGCAGCCGTGTAGATCTACAAACACACACGTGAAAACTACCCACACAGCACGTCCACTGCCACTCAGAGCTCTCAGTCCTGGGACAGGGTGAATCTTCTGTAATATTGACACATTTCTTTGGCTCCTATCCTGCTCTTTCGCCCTACTCTGACACTCGGATTTGTTATGATAACACAGACCCGGCTGGATGCCACACCTCCACATGTCAGCCTCTGGCAGCAGTGGCTCCAGAGTAATGGACCCTCCAAACATCTTGTTGCCCCAGGCTAAGCCACACTGTACACTCACAAGCTTCTGGTTTGTTGAAAAAAAAAACCCCAGAAACAATAATTTTGTTCTCAAGGTTGATTATGGTCCAAGAAACTGTGATTATATGTTTGTACAGCGTGTGCATTTAATCCACTATCCTAGAGGGGAACTTTGTATTGGAAGCACCCACACTTTCCTCCTTTGAGATGTTTGTCCTTTGCCTGAGACCTAAATCATAATGCTAATTGTAAAAAAACAAGCAAGGGACTCTCCAGTCAAGTGGCAATAAAATGTCTGTAAATACAGGGGTACTATATTTTAAGACCATCTCCTCTCATGATGTTTTTTTTACCTGGAACCTGCACGTATTGATAAGAGTAGTAATGCATCGGTTTGCATAACACTTTTTGGGATACTGGTTTTATGTATGCAGTCCGGAGTTATAATGAAAATAATACTATTGAATCACTCCATTAAAGTGAAGAAATGGTTAAACCCATGCAATTTTCTGAATACCATTGACATTGATATTCTATTGTTATGTGTGAGCTTCTATGTCCATGTAATGTTTCATAGTGGATTAATGAAGTTGGTCTTACATTTGCGACGGTGGCTTTCAAACGTAATATTTGTGCTGACAGGGTGGCGACAGATCACAACATCGACAATACAACAGCCCTCCTGAGAGACTGGCTCATAAAGGTGCAGAGTGACTACCATTATGTGGAGTGGAGGCCTGACGAGGGACACAGGTTCGTAGTGCCGTGTTTGAACAAGAACATGATGTGCTAGAAAGACAAATAAGTATTTCTCAAGCTCTGATTCATGCCGTCTTTTGGTCTTATTCTGAATAGATTTGATATAGAATACGCAAGGCTAAACTCAGCTCAGTTTAGATCCCTTACTTGTTGGTCTGGTTCACTTTAACTGGAACTTGTCTGGCTTTGTTTGTGAATGTAAAACCACCAAACAAGTGAAAATGTGTCCACTAGTCATTCACGTCAGTTTCCATGTTTTGAACCAGAGTTGGTCCATTTAAAGTGTGAACATGCCCTAAAAAGTACTATTACCTAAGACCATTTTTAACTCCCATCCAGTACCACCAGGTCTAAATATTCTGCTTTCCATTAACTAGAAAAACTGAATTGTGCTCAGATAAAACTCAATCTTCAAACAGGTCTTGGAAAAAATATACAAAATACTATATAATAATGAGTACAAATACTTGAACAGAATTCATATACCACAATAAGTAGCCGAAGTACCACAATTTATAAATTCAAAATCTTACGTTGGCCTTTTTAAATGGATTTTGTAGGTATATTATTATATTGCTCTACAATAACAAATACTCCATTAGTCACTTTCTCTTTGGGAGTTGAAATTCGCGGTGTATTGTCACTGTTTTTGTGTTGCAGCGCTTTTGAAGATGAGTCGGGGCCGAAGCACTGGAATTATCTGCGCTATGAACATGTTATGAAGCTCCGACAGGCAGCTCTGGACACGGCCCGCGAGATTTGGGCTGATTATCTCCTGGTATGTCGTCTACAAAAAACACAAACGGGTCCCTGTTATGTCTGTGTGAAGAGCTGCATACCCAAATTTAGTGTCAGTAGCTGCTCAGAAATACTGTATGAATTATATTAGGCAGGAGCAAAAAGGAAAATAGACAATATCCCTCAGAAAATTAATTCTCAAATATTGTAAATACTCAATAACAATCTACAACACAATAGCAGGACAATTGGTTCCTCCAAGACGCAAAATCTGCCACACAACAATGTCTTGGACTTATAAATCGCACAGCCCAACACGGAACTCAAAGAATAGCGAAAAATGGCCATCTAGATTCTACCAAATTCATGCTTTACGGAGACTCACTTCATTATCAGTCATTTTCAAAGGATTCACAATATGACAATTCACTTACTTTTCATGTTAATAATTCATTCTGCTAATTCATAACAGTTGACATCTCTGTATGAATCTGCAACTTCTTAATTCTAATTCCTCCCTCGACTTTTTCCTAAATGCCTTCTAGTTTTTTACTAAACTATTTAGATTTTTTCTAATACAGGGGTGTCCATACTTTTTACAAACAGGGCCACTTTAGTTCACTAGTCATGTACAAGAGATCACAGATTGTAAAACTGCTTTGAAATAGTATGTCTGTATATATTCATGCCACATCTACATTACTAGATGCAATTTTGTGGCTCAATCAAAAAAAAAATGTCCGTACATCAACTGGATTCCAAAGGTTCTGAGCTTTACAATGAGGTACAGCAGGACTATATTGTGCTGACTGTGTCGATGCTTGGACATTTCTGTTGAAGCGTGTATCGATCAATACATGTGGTTGTTTCATTGAGGCGCTTCAATGGATTGCTTGGATGTGTTGCTTTGTGATCCTCAGTTGTGCCTGTCTGTCTTTGTGTTTATGTGTGTGTGTGTGTGTGTGTGTGTGTGTGTGTGCCTGTCCGGAATTATAGCTAATCTTCTGCACATGAAAAACAATTCAAAATCCTACTTAGACAAAACCCCAGTTTCATTTATCCAGGTTGGCCGTAGTCCCAACAATTTGTGTTTCTTTTAAGGTAGAATTGGAACTATAATAGAGATCTGTGGCAGAGTCCGTAAGCGTTGGACTACGTTGGACTTTGGACTACGTTGGACTACGTTGGACTACTTTGCACAAGTTCGCAGGATAGACCATCCTTTTTCCTCAATAAAACACAATTTTTTATTATTGTTGTATTGGCACAATTAATAATAATAATTAGGAGCCTCAAAAAGTTCATGAAGCATCAGTCGGCCATCACTCCCGTGTTCAGACCCCACAGTTTACTGAATTTCTCCATCTGTGAGTCAATAAAGGATTGATTGATTTATGTATGTATTTAACATGTTTTGTTCAGTGGGGGCGGGTCCCAGCTCAAAAGTGGCCAAAATGACGTGCGCTGACATGCTTGCAATACCACCCCGGGCCGTTGGGGGTGGACCCAGAAGAAGAATTAGCCAATGCAAACATATAGCATTGGCAGACCTCTCGAAAACGTGTTTACAGGATGGACCAAAAGTTGGCTCTTGGCCCAAAGCTCCGTTCCACATGTGTGTCAATGCTGAGGGGGGTGAATTTTTTTGGACCACTCTAGTTTACTCGCTGTGAATTTTTGAAGTCTCTCGTTCAAATGAATGGAGCTGCGCCGGCTGACGCATGCGCAGATGCGTTTTTTCACAATTTTCTTGTGGGCGGGACCAAAAATGTGCTCCAGTAGAGCACATTTTTTGGCCCATAAGTTAGAACGGTGGAGATAGGCGTGACTGTCCGTTTATATATACGGTCTATGGTTTTGTCTAAGAAAACATATTTACATTGACCTTGAAGCTGTGAACCTGATTTCCAGCAGTTGGTTGCGATGCATCACTGCTTCATGAGGCTTCATCTTGGCCTCACTGCTATATTGATGGAGCTGAAGTTGGCTGGATGACACTGTGAAAGTATCTCAATAGCTACTCTGTGTTAACGGTAGAGGGCCACATAAAATGACTCAGCGGGCTGCATTTGGCCCACAGGCCTTAATTTCAATCTGCTCTAATATTTAGTGTTTATTTGTTTTTAGTGCACCTTTCTGTAATGTGCACTGCAACACTGACATTTCCCCAGCATAGAGATCCTATCTAATCATTTAATCCTTTCTGTCTATGGCTGCGTTCACACTTGTCAGCTTTAGCCGTAGCTCCCGCCCACTTTCCAATTGCTATTCAGTGAACTATATGCAAACAAAGTGTTCATTCTACACGCGTAGGCTTTTTCTTTCCTCAGACCTGACACGTCACAACCTAATGCACACTTCTGACAGTCGCCATAATGCAGCTGGCTTAAGAGCTATAGACTTTAATTTCACTGTGGACTTGAGTGATACATGGAACCCGGTTGTTGCTATGGTTACCTGCATTTTAATGTACCGATTCAGCTGTTGATTCAACGTTTTAGGTGTGTGACTCAAACCACCCCCATGTGTTAAACCAGTTAGAATATCAATATATTACACATGGTCGGGTGTGTGTCAGTCAAAGAATGCTATGACTGGAGTCTCTCTGTAAATCTATGCTTTTAAAAACGTAATGTTCAATCATTCGCACAAAGCAGTAAGCACAGCAGCCGACAAACCTTCAAACAGCTGAAAGGTTGAACACAGATAAAGAACATTTAAGTCACTTTGAAAACGGCACAGGCTGGTCTTTTTTATAAAATGATGATCTCGGCTGTGTTTTCAATACATCAGCAGCCGCTCAATTCTAGGGGATTTTTATTTTATTCTAATGCGGTGGAAGGATGAGGATTCTGTATAATTACATTCAAGTTTTGAAACTGCCAAACCAATTTAAGCGTTAGAGTAATGTACCAATGATCCACTTTTCTATATCAGACAAAACTACCCATAACGATCTATAATCTGTATAATGTTGTGCAAATAAAACATTACACGAGTCAGTGCTGGGATTGTATTTTCCTGCGGATGTTCGAGAGTGTCAGAGATGTATCTCCGTCATTTCATCTGCAGGTGGTTGACTGTGACAACCTGCTCACCAACCCAGATGTGCTGTGGAAACTCATGAGAGAAAATAAAACCATCGCAGCACCAATGTTGGAGTCCAGAGCGGCCTACTCCAACTTCTGGTGTGGAATGACATCTCAGGTAATGCAGCTGACTTTCTGATGTGCCAAGGCTTTGTAATGAAAGACAGATTACGGATAAAAGGTTGTCCAGTATAGTTGTGTTTATATTTTGGTTACACACCATGCTTTTCCTCCATTTTTTTATGTATTAATCCTTGATCTTTGAGTAACCTTTTTAATAAAATTTTAAGTTTGCAGTAGCTGAGAAACTAAAGTATGAAAATAAGATCTCTTCTTCCCCCTCCCTTTCAGGCAAAAATCTAATGCAAATACGTTAATAGCTAGTAAAATCTTCAAGTGAAAGTTAGCATTCTTTACTTAATGGTAATTTCATAGACACCCACTGTTAATTCAATTACTTTTGTATGACTGAAACTATTATGGTGGAGAAAATAGATTATCTGAAGTATCCAGGTAACAAAGGGTGAAAGTAGTGTGGGCTGGATTCAGCTCACAGCAGAAATATTATGAACAAAGAAAGACATGTCAATATATTTTGAGCTTTTTGTTTGTCTAGTCAAGTGCAGTAAAATTGCTTTTTATTCCAAGTGAGAAATTGCATTGCATTTTTCATCTTTGAAGTAAAAAGAGACATTTTTAGTTTGATCCACTGGAAAATACTTTTGATTATTGACTCAAATCATGATAAAAACAACCTGCTTGTACACATATTGTTTTATATTTTTGATCATTCTCAAGTGTGCTCGTGTCACTTTTTTCCAGGCTTGTCATACATTTTATGCCTCTCTCTACTTCTTATTTTGTTCTGTTAATTATACTAACCTTTTTTGCAGTCATTGGATATTAATCTTGGGTAATATGTTTCATGTTATTGGTAGGGTTACTACAAAAGGACACCAGCATACATGCCCATTCGAAAGCAGGAGCGACGAGGTTGCTTTGCCGTGCCCATGGTGCACTCCACATATCTGCTAGATCTACGAAAAGAAGCCTCTCGACAACTGGCTTTCTACCCTCCCCACACAGAGTACAGCTGGGCCATGGATGACGTTATAGTGTTTGCTTACTCAGCTCGAATGGCAGGTGAGCTACACACCATGGAGGATGTCCGTTCATTCAATTCATTCTCTACACAAATACTAGGACGGCGGCGGGGGGAATAGCACTCACGCTTCTCAGAAAGAAGGTCTTGGGTTCGAATCCCTGTCAGAACGGGGCCTTTCTGAGTGGAGTTTGCATGTTCTCTGTGTGGTTTTCCTCCGGGTGCTCCGTTTTCCCCTACCACTTAAAACATGTGCAATAGCAGACTCTGGCATGCACCTCCTGTAACAATTGTAAAGCGCTTTGTGACACTGGTCTGTGAAAGGCGCTATATAAATAAATATTTATTTAGGAACTTTTATGTCTTTGGCACAGATATCCAGATGTACGTGTGCAACAGGGAAACCTATGGCTTCTTCCCAGTGCCAATGCGTGCCCATGCTACGCTCCAGGATGAGGCAGACAGCTTCCTGCACACACAGCTGGAGATCATGGGTGAGAGGACTATACTGTATATAATGTATCGCAAATCTCTTGGCATTGTCCAGGGTTCAATCTAAAGATTTGCAGATTCAACAGACGTGTGACGCAAATTCACAGAAATCCCAATTTTGTTCAGTACATAAGCCTAATCCTGTCAGATCTTAGAAGCTACGCAGGGCAGGGCCTAGTATTGTGATGGGAGACCACCATGGATCTATAAGGAGACCACTGGGATTACCAGATGCCACTGTGGGGCTGCCAAACTGTCGTTGTATACTTAGACAAGACCATCCACATTGCATTTCTGTCAGTCTGTCAGTCATGTGAAGCGTCTTTGGGTTCATTATAAGCAGTCACATTTCAATGACAGTGAATGGGGGCCAAAGGCAGTAGTTGCTAATGGGTTAGCTCAGTCCATCCCCATACGTTCCATAATATACCTGTAAATCTATTTCTCTCTCTCTTTTTTAAGTGAAGGGCCCTCCACTAGAGCCGTCTAGTGTCCTGTCAGTTCCTCCAAAGCAGCCTAATAAGATGGGGTTTGATGAGGTACAGCCTGCACACTAATACAACACAGTAACATGAACATGTGTCTGAGGCTGCTTTATGCATCCAGGTGTTTGTTATAAATCTGGTGAGAAGATTGGATCGCCGCGAGCGGATGCTGAGAAGCCTCTACGATCAGGAGCTCAGCTGTAAGGTGACGGAGGCTGTGGATGGGAAGTAAGTGTCTCACTCAGTTACTTAAAGAGATACTGTCCTGATGGAAAGTGACAAACAGCATGATACACACAGAGCAGGTTGTGATTGATAAATCTACTGAGCGACTCCAGCTCACATAATCCTCATCTGTGTCATTTGATCCGTTTTCTTGACCTATTATAATTTGCACAACACTCCACATGTACTGTATATCTGAACGTATTGAATTTCTTACATCTTTATATTCCATATCTAATGTCTTGTTTGATCCTTCTGTTCACCTGAGAGCCCTGAACACCACCGATATCGACGCTATGGGGATTAAGATGCTTCCTGGTTACAAAGACCCTTATCATGGCCGAGCACTCACCAAAGGTGAACTGGGATGTTTCCTTTCTCATTTCAACATCTGGAAGGAGGTGAGCTTCTCCAAGTCATACAAGATATCACATACTAACTATGACAACTTTCACTGAATAATATTCTTTTGCGAATATCCATTTATACACAACTGGAAAATACTCCAAACTTGTGAGAGTTGCTTACTTAAAGTGTTTTTGCAGATAGTGGAGCGGGGTTTGCAAACGTCGCTAGTTCTGGAGGACGACCTCCGTTTCGAGGTTTTCTTCAAACGCCGTCTTCAGGCGCTGCTGCAGGAAGTGACAGCGCACAAGTTGGACTGGGATCTCATGTGAGTTGTTGTTGTAGTAAACAGAGGATTATTGTGCCCCACTGTGAAATACATCCATCTGTCATGGAGTCTAAGACAACACTGATCAAGCTTTCTGCTCTCGTGGGAATCATGATTTGAACATTACCTGTGCGACTGCTGCATTTTCACAAGAGGTTTTTCAACCTTTTTCAGTCCCTGGTACTTGTGAGAGCAGAGCTACATGCCCTGAAGCGAACATCATTTTGAATATTCACCTGAATAAAGCAGTTATTTAATTATGTAAATGTAAAAACATGACTATGCACTTTATTAAAGATTGTTAAAGTAATATGTGTTAGATATGTATCTAGCCTTTGTCTAATGGTGATATTTATCTTTGCCCGTGAAGAAGCAGCATTTCACTTAGATACATTTACAATAAATGATTTGGGCATAGCTTGATTACGTTTGTGCATACGTATATCTTGTCTCATTAAGATAAGATAAGAATTCCTTTATTCGTCCCACAGTGGGGAAATTTCGATAATTTAACAATTTAAGTGTCTTGGTAAAAACATCTCATAAAAGTGTTTAAGCAAAGTACAATTAGTTTGTGCCAAGTACAAATGATGATGAACTGTGGTACAAACTTGTTTTTGTGCATCACAGTTTTATTCATCTTATTGGGCATAGAATTAAATGGAACAATCCTTTTGTCCTCCTAACTGGACCTCTCTTAATTGAATATGTTCGACACAATGCCAAACACAGGCATCCTCCCAAAGAACTGGAGCCAAATGTGTTATTCCTGACACACACTGTGCCAAAGCAAACTCTAGTAAAACGGCTCACACTAATCTAACATCAAACTCTGCGGCGGCGTTGTGTCGGGAAAATAAGTTCACAGTGATTGACATGTTGCCATTCAGTCTCCTGACTCTGACAGTTTTCTGCATGTTGTGCCAAGGAATCAAATGTGATCTGATCATTTACAGAAGCGTCTACAATAGACTTCGGAGCTCAGTAAACAGCAAATGGCGAAATAGAAAAAACGTATTTGTATGAACTTAATATAAACCTAGATGAGATAAAGTTCTTTCCTTGTTTAGGAGAAACTGAACAAGGAAGGAACATGTTCAAATTTATCCAGACCAAATATTAATGAAGACATGTGATAAAGCGACGGATTATCTTTCACATCATTTATTAATTTAGTTTATTACTACAGTGAAGTCGGAGTAAATTACATTTTTCCGAATGTTTCATGAACTAAACTGGATGTTTCAGGTGGAATGTTGGAAAGACAGGATGTGGCTGAAGGTGACAAACAGGAAATACAAAACCCACATAAAATATGAATATTTTTAACTTTTTTCTCATCAGTTACATTGGCCGTAAGCGGATGCAGATTGACCATCCAGAGAGGTCCGTTCCAAATATATACAACCTGGTGGAGGCTGACTATTCCTATTGGACTCTGGGATACATGCTGTCACTGCAAGGAGCCCAGAAACTCCTCCGGGCCGAACCTCTGACCAAAATGCTTCCAGTTGATGAGTTTCTCCCAGTCATGTACAACAAACATCCAGTGTAAGTGTTGCACAATTGATAATCATAATTTTGTACTGCCATAAATCTTAACAGCAGCCGTCGCAGTGGACTTTACAAAGTTGTTGATTCACCAACAACAGATTAGATTATCAAACAGAAAATGTAATAATAACAAACCCATAGGAGCAAATAGGGAGCAGGATGGCCAATGTCCATAAAGATACAAACCATCTTGGTGTGAGTAACGGGAAACATTTCAAATAGATAATAAAATGTTGGCAAAAGTTTCATTTTTATAGTTGAGATACAATGATAGTACTTTATTCCATCTTTGTAAATTATCTTTGATTCCTTGTCATAATAGTTATAAAAGACGTAAAAGTTAAGTTTTAGAAGGTCACCCAGATCATTAAACCAAGGTATGTGATTGAGTCTGCAGCATAATATAATTTACCATCTAGCGATCAGACTCCAGGGCATCTAAAGCATTAAAGAAAAGCTATAACTATCTTGTTTACAGCCAAACCCACAAATCTTCACATTTTCCAGGCAAAATAAAGAATCCTACACACCATGTTTTTAATAGTGTAGAAACTTTTTGGACCCACAGCCTTGGGTGCACTGGATTCTTCTTTCCACTTTACTGAGTGGATGGGGCAGATGGGAAATGCAATTTTGTGGGTTCTCATTTATTCAACACAACCGGTTACTCTGATCTGCAAAGTTTGTTGGTTTTCTGATCGACAATACCCATTTTACCACAGGTTTGGAATAGGAATTATCAAGATCATTCATATTAAGGGGAGGTTCAAGCGACAGAGTACCCACAATGCAAACAATTCTGAAAATTCTTTAGATTTATTTGGGAGCAATTTTAGATGTAGGGAAAATCCTTCACGATGATGAGTCAATAGTGCCCTCTTCCCTTTAGATCTGAGTACATGGAGCACTTTGAACCTCGGGACCTGCGTGCATACTCAGCGGAGCCCCTTCTGGTGTATCCAACACACTACACCGGTGATGAGGGCTACATCAGCGACACAGAGACCTCAGTGGTCTGGGACAACGAGGCGGTGAAAACAGACTGGGACAGAGCCAGGTCCAGGAAGACCCAGGAGCAAGAGGAGCTCAGCTTTGAGGCTCAAAACTCTGACGTGCTGCAGTCTGAGCTAGAGAAGTGGAGCAAACGTGACGAACTGTGAACTTTGCGACGACATAAAGAGAAAACATAAATGTGAAGCCTTGACTGTGTAGAGTACAAAGAGAAATGCCTCTGACACATACAAATGTATTTGACTATGCCGCTACAGTATATACAGTAAAAATCCTTTGGGCGCCAGAGTTTGGATGTGCAACAGATAAAAAAAGGCATGCCCTGAAACTTTGTGGAGAGGGTGGACTACTAAAATCAGTAACAGAGATAAATATATGAATAATATGAATGTTGGGAAGCAATTGTGGTAAGCTACTTTGGTGCCAAAAGGGTTAAATAGTCAATACATTATCACTGTCATGTAGTCAATATTTTGCCAAAATGAACAAAATCAGGAAAATGCACATTATTTATTGCACTAAATCTGTTTTTGCTTTACATTGAACTACTGCATTTCATTCAGAAAATGTATAGCAAATTCAATTCATCCTATACAATGAATTGCAAAACATATCAACATTCCAACTTTTACATATTTTTTTGAAAGTTTGTCAAGTCGGCCCTTAGTGTCTCTCATTTATGTTAAGACTGAAGTTAAATACACCGTATGCTCTCAGCTGAAGACCAGTTCGATTTGTCTCCGACACAAAGCTCCCTTCACAGTCTGACTCAAGCACACGTTTATTATTTTCATTATATTTCATCCCAGAATACTTTCCTTTTTCTCCTTTCAGGCTTTTTGGTATACATTTGTGCACAGTCAGAGGTAGAAGTACGTTGCATTCATTGCTCCTATAAAACTCAACGAGCACACTATTTCACATTATCTGTGTAATAGCTGCAATTTGGGGTTTAAAATGGATTCTAAACACGAAGAGAGGCTTTTAAAATTCAGTGGCTCGATTAAGGAGTCTGTGAGGCAGTCAGAATATTGTGTTGGCAAAATGGACTGGGGTAGTAATATTTCTTTGTGTTTTTGAGATAATAAAGGATTGCAATCACCTTTTATGACAGGCCAAACAACGAGAATAACTGCAAATTGTTTGTCTAATCTGCATTTTCTATTAATGAGGTTTTAACTCAACGACGTGTGCGAAACATTTGTGATTGGCACAGCAGCCCTGCATTTGATTGTGTTGGTTGTGCTTTTTTTGTTCTTACATTTGTGTCTTTAATACAAAATAAACAACAATCCTATAATGCATTGTCTCCGGTGGTTTTGAAGACAGGGTTCAATGCAGAGTGAAACATAATTACCATATTATTTTTGTCCTTATCATGACGCATTCTTAGATAACAGTATTTGTCCACTTCTGCATACGTTCTTCGGAGGCGTGGATGCATCACACACGTCGGCACTTCTTTCATTCATGATGAGTTGATATTGGGATTATGCAGCATGTGTCGTGTCTCATACAGTTGGCAACATCCACTAACATGAAAATCACTTTACAAGTATTTTGATGACAATATTCAGATCATAAATGGCAAATTATATGTTGTGGAAATGTTAAGATAGGAGAAAATGTATTTGTTACAGTGTGGAAATGCCACTGTTGCAATATACAGTACAGCACTCAAACCAACAGAAAGCAAAAGAAAGGTCTTTTTTGTAAAAAAAATAAAAAATAAAAAATATCAACAATGCCCACAAATCTTCAAGCTGTTACATAAAAATACATGCACTCCATGAAAAAACATGAGTCCCCGTTAGGAGTGTGTTTACAAGCAATGGAGGGTTGCAAAATAATGCAAAGAGTTGGGGTCCCTTTTTTCATGACTATTAAATTATAGTTGTTCCAAATGAAAGACTCTTGTAAGAGATATTTAAAGGACACATCAGTCTTGATCTTGTTAAAAACATACTAAAAACTACTGTACTCTGGTATTCCTATACTTGTAAGATGAGTCCTGAGAGCGAGGAGGATCCTCTCAATAATACACACATGTGAACACGACTGACTTGTGGTTTGAAAGTTAGGTGCTTTAAAGAGGCACAACTTTAATAGAGCCTCATCAAGGCAAGGCCAGTTTATTTGTATAGCACAATTCATAGATGGCAACTCAAAGTGCTGAACAAACAAGATAGAGAGTCACACAAGGCATTAAAATCATAAATAATCACAGTACATTAAAACGAGTCAAGATCAAATCCCTCAGTTGTATGCACAGCTAAACAGAACTGTTTTTAACCTGGATTTGAACATTGTCAGCAAAATCCTGTCTCAAAGCAAAGAGCCTGTCTCACATTATAAGGAAGACTGTTCCAGATTAGAACTCCGTGAATCTGAAATGCAGACTCCCTATTAAAAGAAAGTCTTGCATTTATGTCTGTAAATCAAATTGAATAATGACATTTTGCATAACTACAGAAACCTTATAGAAGAACACTATTGTGTGTGTGTGTTCCAGTCACTGAACATGCGTATCTTTGCTTTGTTTGGTTGTGTACAGCACGTGCCACTGCACACGTCTATGCCTCAGACTAATCCTGTTAGAGCTCCCTCCTATACTTACCTCCCTCAGCCCTCGCTCAGATTATCTCAGGTATTTTCTGCAAGTGCGTCTCAGATCAATAGCCACTTTCTGCTGTGGCACCTGCTGCAGAATCAGACTCAAACTATTGACCTCCTACTTCATTTCCTTAAAGTCTGCTGCCAGGCTCACACACCTTTATTAGCTGCATGTAAGCATCTATCACTAAAGTCCCAGTAGTAAAAAAATACATTAAGGCCCCACTTCATGAATGAGGATGCGGTTTATAGCGCTACAAGAAAACTGGCCTTGTTTTTACTGTGTGTTCCAAATGTATTCTAGTGATTGTTAAAAATGGCATTAACAGGTAAAAAACTAAAATATACATGTACTTTGACAGGTATTTCTTGCACCATTGATATTTTTTGCGATGAACAAGCCTTTTTGACACTATGGAGTCATGAACAACAAAACAATTAAAATAATGAGTTCGATGTTGAATGTTAAATGTTCAACCGCTTGCTGCAGTGTTGCTCAGCTTACACTGTGCTGCTGAGGTTGCAGTGGGTCAGAAGACCTCATTGTGCACATAAAACACTGTTGTCCGTCTCTTTGGAACCTCTTGACCCACATGTCACTCTCACCTCGCAATCCAATTTGTCCCCTTCCTGATCCCTCGTACTCTTTAAGTAATAAGATTGGCGAGGTTGAGCCTGAGTTTCTTGGCCTTGCACCGTCACATGAACGCTCACACAAGGGACATCTCTGCCCCGGCTACAGCCATCTGTAATCTCCCCAATGACCAGCGCATTACACACACGCTCCAATGGCCGCTGAGAGGTGAACGCGATAGGAGACGTCAGAGATTTTAAGAGAAAAACTGATAAAATCGTGAGCAGAGAGTGGGTCTGAAATCCGAGGCACAATGGATTAAAAGAAGGAACAAGAACCTGACAAACCCAGTGAGACGAGACTTTAAGGTAAACTTCTCTCCACAGACACACAGCAGAACTATTATTATCTTACGATTTTAACTTGATCAAAATTATTCACTTGTTTTATTGATGAGAGAATATAACAATCCATTCCTCCAGCTCATTATTGGATTTGCAAAATGTTGAACAAATACAAATATGGAGTGAAGATACACCAGGTTGTGTTAATAGATGAGCTTCTTCTTATATTTTCCTATAGTAAATATTGTGCTAAACATTTTAAAATACAGCAGAGACCGTTTCAAATTGTAAATCTCAAATGTGCAGTTCATGCAAGGCGGCCCAGATATTTACAGGAACTGAAGGCTTTTTGCCAACCACAAAAACTCCAAGCTGTCACATGTTAAAGAACTGTGGGATGGAAACTTCTGCTCAGGATCTTTTGAGTTTCTATTGTCATTATAAGGGCGACAGTAGCTCAGTTGGTAGAGCATTGGCCTTCAGGCCTGAAGGTCGTGGGTTCATTTCCCACCTCTACACCTTCTCCACCGATTCCCACTGATGACTGCTGTCGTTGTGTCCTTGGGCAAAACACTTAACCCCACTTTGCCCAAAGCCCCCACTGAAAGATCAAGGCTATGCTCACACTCAGAGAGCAGCCGTCCTCCTGTGGACTCACCACCTGCAGAGGGTCAGTGAGGGGCTGGTGCTATGAGACTTGGGTGGCATCTCTGATTGCCACCCCCCTGACCCAGAAATGGATTAAAGGGTAGAAAATGGATGGATGGATGGATGTCATTATAATTGGTAAATAGAAAACAGGGTTAAAAAGGAACCCTTTGCAAGCAATAAAGTTTAGCCCAAAACTATAGTCAATATAGGGGGCAAGGACTCCATAGACGTAATAAGCAATTATAAGGGGACGAGATGTCTGCAGAGCTGTTAAGTGCAAATACATCAAGAAATATCGATGGACATCAGTGCAGATAATTGTGAAATAAATTCTAAAATGTGTGGGGGGTGACCTTTAGCTGGGCTGTAGTAAATCCTCCAGTTAGGCGCCCAAGATGTTGCTCAGTTTCAAACATTTTTCTTGCACAGGCTTCAAGTCCAGCGTCTCAGATAGATCTGGCGCAGCTTAAAGCTACGCGGCCAAATCTCATTTGTGAGGTTATCGCTGTCAATTCTCAGCCCACAGCGTCTGCAGCGAAAGTGAAATACAGGCAGATAAAACCATTTTCAAAGCTGTTGTTATTTCTGCTGCACAAATACAATTCTCCTGTTTGGCCTGTTTAATTGGGATTTTCTTAGGATTGCCAACATAGATGTTCAAACTAACTTTTGGAGCTGAATGTTTGGATGGTCAGGGAATTGATGACCTCTGGAAATAAAAGCCTACGCCTTTACAAAAATCATGCTTTTGCGTAGCAAAGAATGATTTAAAAAAGCAGCTGTTGGTTGTGATGGTAACAGAATTTGTGTTTGTTGGTGAAATCCACAACTCTGAGCTAAAGCATACACAACATATAATAGCCTTTCTTGATTGCAATCAGCTAGGGGATTTATTTATTCAAAAAGCAGACCGCTTAAATGTATTGTACACATTTATTATACAGGATATATAGTGTCTGAGCATAAAACAGAATTTGCTCATGTGTATTTGCAATAATTCTGCCACAATGGGGTTCCATGAGGGAGGGGAAGGGCCATTATGCCACACATGTGTGAGACCATCACAAAATACTATTGCAACAACTAGGGCTGCATGGTATAAAATATTGTTATCGCAATATTGGTGCGTGCGATATCCATATCAAAAAGATATAAAATAAAAATAAAAACGTTTCTCTTTTTTCTTCATCAAAGACAACAAAACAGACAGTCTCATCAACATTCAACAAGAACAACAAACAAACAAAAAATAATATAAATGCATGCATTTGAATGTCATTAAGGTTGTGCTTATTTTTTGTTATTTGTCTCGTTTCAATGCAAATTGTAATTTTAGGTGAAAGACAAAAATATTGCAAAAATATTGTTGTCGGAATACTAAACATTCATATCGAATATCGCTCTAATTTCCAATATCTTGCGGCCCTAGCAACAACACTGTGGGATAAAAAACTAACCTGTAGAACAGTGGCAGAGTGGTTAACACTCTCACTCGTCAGCAACAAGGTTCTTCTGTGTGTGGTTTGCATATTGTCCATGCGCTAGGGTCCCTTACTACTAAAAACATGTACAACAGTCCCCGCTACCCCTGTCCTGGCTAAGCAAAGATCAATTCAAATAAAATCAATATATACATCTGTGGAAGTACTAGATCAATGCAATCTTTACCACAACTACTACTACCACAACTACTATGACACTATTTGCTATTACATGTTTTACAGCATTTTTGGGATCATGGTGGACATGTTTTTGGAACGAGTCTTGGTGGAAAACAATTGGGACCAGGATGAACTGAACACAGAGCGAGAGATCATCGGGATCTTGGAAAATCGCATCCTCATGTTGTTCTTTGCAGCAGCCGACAACACCAAGTGCCAGGAGTTTCTGCCCATCCTTAACGACTTCTTCAAAAGGCTAAAGGATCCAGCTTACATCGAATATCCCAAACTACTTGCCCTCATTTATGTCAGGTATGTTTTTCCTCTATCACAGAATATATCCTTCATATTTGCCTATAAAAGGTTCTTAAGACTATCGATCTATCTTCTTCAGCACAGACCAAACAGAAGAGCAGCAGCAGAAAGTTCTCAAAGAACTTCATAAAAGGACTCTGTTCTTGCCTTTTGAAGATCCATACAAACAGTGAGGATTTTATTGTATTTGTTCTTATTGTTTGATATGATACTGATAATGTTGTTGATGATGATGATGTTGATGTATCCTCCTCTCTCACAGGGAACTACAGGCCATATTTAAGATTACAGAAGTACCTACAGTGGTGGTCCTGCGGCCTGATGGGTCGGTTCTTTCTCCAAACGCAGTAAAAGAGATTTCGCAATACGGCTGTGACTGTTTCAACAACTGGCAGGAATCAGCAGGTTTAGTGGAGAGGAGCTTCATGCTGAATGAGGAGTTTGACAACCTAAATTTACGCACAGCAACAGACCCTGTGAAGCGACTCAAGTACAAGATGGAGGACGACAAGAGAAAGAAACGGTGGTGGAAGCCGTGGACCAAAGGCAGAGCTCAGGAGGAAGAGGAAGAGCCAGGCAGATGCAGAGAGTCAAGAAGAAAAGACGGAGAAATAAAAGGACGATGGAGACTCCTTTAAGGATGATGAATACCTGTGACATCACTACTAGTGGTCGCTGAAGAAGTGTGTCCCATGTTCGGGAGAGTTGGAATGTGCCCTTGTCTCGATTCATAGTGTCTGTGTCAAAATAACATATGCTGCGGCAAAGAGGAGCATTTTCTTTCTTTAGTTATCTGACATAGATGAACCATATACTTTATCTACTAAGACAAAATAAACTGTCCTAACAGCTGGGGATGGAAGTGTTCTATACATCAACCTTTGAGCATCAAACTCGTCCTGCTCCATCCCCACCACTCTAATTGTGCAAAGCATCATGGGGGTGGCAGCTTATTGCAAAAAACTCAAGGGAGTTAGCAATACGCACAAAAATGCACAGACCAGATCAAGAGGAAATGTAGTTCACAGGTTTACGATGGGTTGCTGTGAGCACAGCCCATTGACTTTAAAGGGCCAACATGTTGGATCCTTGGGGCATAGTTACAACTAACCTGAGTGGTTAAGTAAGAGTAGCTAACAGTTTTTTGGTTTGCTATTCACCTGTAGTGGATACAACAATTTGCAAGGTTCACATTTGAATGGGCATTTTAGGTGTAGCAGTTCTTGTGTTTCCCTGTTCATGCTTCGTTATTGCCGTGATAAAACTACAGTTTTTACATTGAAATGAATCATTTCAGTGCTGTAATGGCAGATATTATGATGTCTGTGATGTCATTATGGGTGCAGGCACTCGCTATCTTTAGTATGTTTTATTCTTGGTAATGTCTGATTGAAATATTCTATAATCTTACTGAGATCTTCTTGGTTAAATAAAGATCAATATTCAACACTGTGTAAAGTTTAAATTATTGGTTTGTGTCTATGTTTTTATGTACCATACAATGACATTTTGGGTTAGTGTTTGTTAGTGACTGTCACGACAATCTGTAAGTACGCAGCTGCAGACTTAACAAATGAATAGAGTCACAACAGAAAATCCTCTCAGTGCATTTCTCTGTTCATTGGTGAGTAAAAAATAAAGGTCTCACTGTGAAAGACATCGTTTTGGCCTTTTACGTTGAAATTAGTGAATCCCTCATTTGTGTGGCGCTCATGAGTCTTGATAAGAACAGGATGTGAGTACTGCATGTGCCTATCCCACTGTCACCTTGTCTCTCAATCCCTACTCTCGCGCGCGCACACACACACACACACACACACACACACACACACACACACACACACACACACACACACACACAAGCACACACAAGCACACACATGCGCACACACACAGGGGCAGAAGCTTGCACAGAGAGGAGCTGTGGTCAGTGAACAAAATGTGACATGAAGTGACTGGATAGTTAGTCTTGTGCAATTCACAAACAGTGGCAACAGAAAATCTTGAAGGTTGTTCCTGGTGGATTTGCAGTTGCCACAACGGGAGATAACAATTGTTAGAGGTAAGCACTTGTTAGGATTACAGGATTTGATAGTGAGCTAGGCGTGTCTGTAGAATACTAAAACCAAATGTAAACTTGTTTTTTATATAGAAGCCAAAGTAAGAACAGTACGTTACTAACCAGGAATATGAAATATTCCAATAATTTACTTGTTTTCAATTGGAAGGCTGATGGCTTGTATTTATCCTTACACTCTTACAATACTTTAACTTCCAAACACCATTTTAACTAATTTCATCAAGTCTTCAACAACATAAATCAATATTATTGGGTTACCATTGTTTTGCCCATGCAGAGAATTTCTAACTGTAAATAAACAATACAAATGCGGCTTTGGAGATGCCAGCTTGCTGTATTTGCTCAGATAGTAAAACTCTTTGATCCTAGCTCCAGGGCATACTGTGTTGTCGCATCTTTGGAAATCTCCACAGCTCAGTGAATCTGGTGTGAATGAGTGTTGTGGTGGTAATTATAGTGACAGCCGATTCTTACATGGTGCAACAAACTATAAATACAAATGTATAGATATACTGATATACTTGATGAGTGATGTTTCATTCATATTGTCCCATACCACAGAGCAGATCATGGTGGACCTGTTTGTCGATCGGGTCTTAGTTAAAAACAACAGGGACCAGGACGAACTGGACACAGAGCGAGAGATAGTGAATCGTCTGCAGAATCGCATCTTGATGCTTTTCTTTGGATCAGCAGCGTGTGACAGGTGCCTGGAGTTTGCTCCGGCTCTCTGTGACTTCTACAAACGACTCACTGACGAGTTCTATGTGGACCGCTCCGCTCAACTGGTTCTGCTCTACATCAGGTATAACAGCCACAGAGACGTGGCTTATCTATTATGTATGACTGACTGTACACTGCCCCTGTAACTGGTCGGTGGACATGGGTAATATTGTAGCTACTGCCACTACCTTCTATGACCTCAAATCATGCTTGTCATCAATTTGTATTAAGAATGAATGAATTTGGCCCATACAGGAATACAGTGTATTTTTAATCAATACGTCAACATTTTCCCTAGCAAAAAATAATCAATGTATCAATCAAATTGTATTTTTAGAGCCCTTTACAACACTCAAGGTGACCAAAGTATAAATTCCCAAAATAACATTCATGCAATTAACCAATCAAACAGTAAAAAAAAAGAAAAAAAAAAGAATCAATCAAAAAAAGCCAGAATTAGCCCCTGGCTAATTCTGGCTTTTTTTTACTCATGTTTAATCATGTGTTTTATTAAATTGCATTCTCCCCTTTGAAATAAACTAAAAGGAAACTCCATCCATCCATCCATTTTCTTCCCCTTAATCCATTTCTGGGTCAGGGGGGTGGCAGTCAGCGCTGCACCTTGTACACTCAGCACCAGCCCCTCACTGATCCTTCTGCAGGTGGTGAGTCCACAGGAGCTGAGATTTTTCAGCGGGGCTTCAGGCAAAGTGGGGTTAAGTGTCTTGCCCAAGGACACAACAACAGCAGTCATCAGCGGGAGTTGTGAAGTAGGTCTTACGATGGGCTCGAACCCACGACCTTCAGGCTCAAAGGCCAATGCTCTACCAACTGAGCTACTGAAAATAGTTTCAAAAATATGCTTGTGTGATTTTCACTTTGCTTTCCATGTCATGGGTCATAAATAATTTTAACTTTTTAATTTTGTTCTTAATCATTTTGTCCATATTTCTCCAAGTCAGGATGTAAATTTTTACTGTGAAGCATTCTTTCCTATTCTGTTAAATTTTAAATCGTTCCAAGTACCCCTTTGTAAGTGTTTTTGAACCTCCAGTACTTGACTACTTTTAACTTCTAATTAAACATGAGTGACACATCCTACAAATCCAATCCATATTTTTCAGCATGGATCAGTCAGAGGATGACCAAGAAAGCTTCCTTCAAGAGCTGCCCAAGAAATGTCTGTTTCTGGCCCACGAGGACGCCTACAGGAGGTGAGTGGGAGTGGTCAAACTGTGTGCCCAACCTGCTGGTGGTTGATTCTAGAGCAAACACTTTCAAGTGGAAGGTTAAATTAACTATGTGATAATATGCATGTCCACAGGGAGCTGGAGTCCATGTTTAACATACAGGAGGTGCCCACAGTGGTTGTCCTGCGCCCTGACAGCTCTGTGCTCATCCAAAACGCAGTAGACGAGATAGTTCACTTGGGACCAGATTGCTACAAGAACTGGCAGGAGGCAGTCGAAATCATCGATAGAAACTTTATGATCAGTGACGACATCAGTGATAAGTCAATGAGGAGTCTGACCGACCCTGTGCGGAGACTTAAGTACAAGGTGGAAAACAAGAAGAAGAAGAAGCAGCAGCGAGGAAGATGGGGAAGGAGAACAGATGCAGAGGCAAATGAAGGAGGAGCTGGTGCAGCAGAGTCACCTTGGTGACAGAGGCCAAAAAAATAGCACATTATTAGTGACTGACGAATCCCTATAAAAGCTCCCTATAAGACTCCAGTAATTGGTCTTTAACACATGTGAGAAGGTCACGAAGCTTCTCCAATGGACTCAAAGGCATATGCCATATTTAATGTAGCTAAATTGCTTCATCTGCCATAAAACCATAGTTCTATTGAATAATGAAGCAAGGGAGCAACGTTAGGGAATTTAATTAGTTTGCTTTCTCTTTACCAAGTACATGTATTTGAAGTTGCTTTAACAAACAAAGGCCATCCAATAAATACTATTGCAATATGCCAACATGAAATGTAAATTGTGAACATTTTGTGAGAATTGTGTTCTTTTGTATGCATTGTTTTTTAAAGAGAATAGATGTCAACATGAGATACAGTGACTGTGTTTTAACAGCTCTGCTTCTCACTGTCTGTCTCACTGCTGTAGCCTCAGAAAGAGGATAGATGTGCCAACATCCAATAAAATAATGTAACAGGAACGGTGAAAGCTGCTAACCGTTGCTGACCCCGGTTTATACTTGGCCGTCTTTTAGTCGTTGAACGCTGCCAAGAAAGCTATCATTCCAAAGTTAGGTTTGATCCAAGTTTGCCTATTCTGGCCTGTTTATGGCTTTAATAGCTATAATATATGTTTTATCATTATACTCTCATATGACATGGATACAAACCAAACAATCACAAATGAATACAAAAACACTTGGACTGTAGACAGGTTCATGCAGGTGCAGTTCACTTTACTGCCAAATGGCAAGAATGCATAAGACAAGTGAAATGGAAAAACAGTTTATGCCTCTAAACAACAGTTAATATGAGTCATCTTCCTATGGACACCAAAGATGTGCTTCCTGTGCATATATATCTTTGCTGCTTTTGTGCAGTCAGACTAATTAGTATGCAGCAGGTGACATCTCAGAGAGGGTTTTCGGATCCTTAACAGATGTGTCTATAAACAGGCATAGACGGCTTCCAAAGTAAATGATCAGTTGAGGGAGGGAGAAAGAAAGCCTGATTGACAGCTGAGCTGGGGCATAAACTCTGACAGTGTGACGTAGGCCTACATCATGACCATAAACACCCTCTATGACAATAACCAATAGTGGTCAATTTAAACCAGAAAAGAAAAAAGTTACTCAGGAGATAGAAAGTATATGCCCTCTGTATACAAATAGTACAAAAAAATTGTAGTTTGGGGATTATAAAATATGTATGCTATTATTCTAGCAATTGTGTATGCATTACTCAAAATTCTTGATCTGCACAGGAAAGGACAATAGGCACAACATCCAGGAATCGAATTGGTCATACCAGGAAAAAGATTGCGCTGGAGTAAACACTCACAATGACAGGTGATGGAAGCTCGGAGCGGACACAGCCAAACCAACATTGGCTCAACTTATTCCACCGCTTTCTTGCCAACACAGCAGCTTATTGTTGCTCACTCAGACAAACCCTGATAATATAGACAAGCCTGTGCCTCGTTTTCCTGCCTCCCTCGCTCTACACGCACACGCGTATACGCACACAAGTTGCGCGCTCTCGAGTGCAGTGCGCGCAACAAGCGGAGCCAGCGGATGGAGAGAGACAGAGGGAGAGAGAGAAAGCAGAAAGGGACGGATGCAAGGCGAGGCCAGAAGCAAGACAGCGTATCTTTACACTCCAGCCTGTGCTTTTGTCCTTTATTTATTTTCATTTTTTATCAGTTCTTCCAGCGCCTTTCTCCTTTTTTGGTTGAAAAGCACGCCGCGCATCCTGATGTGCTGCGCCTTATCACGATTCTTCAAGGATATGGTGAACACGTCGACGCTCTTTTTCCATTTAGAGCTTGGATGTAAGACTGGGAGTGCGTAGACCATCACAAAATAGGCGAGTCCAAATGAGAACCAACGATGCACGATACGCACCTTCTACTCTAATTAGCATTGTTCATTGTATTTCCATTTTTTGCCTTATGCACCGGGACTACACCAGGCCCGCATCATCTTTGGGCATGAAACCCGTGGGAATTGTGAAACCAACGTGACGCACGGCCACAGAACGCAGCGGGGAAGATATCGAGCCTCGACAGGACGCGGAGGGAGGGCTACTGTAAACTGGAAAGAGAACGCCCAGTTGTTGTCGCTAATGACCGCCTCATAGTGACTGCCTTGACCGTGCACAGACCCAGGTATACCGAGCCACCACCGTTCGCTATTGAATATTCGATTCATATTTCATGCATCTGGAGGAAAGGGAGGAGGACGGGAGATGAGTGGGTGAGGGCGCGGACGCTGGAGACGGCATGCGGGAGACGCAGTGAGAGAGCAGCACGAGGAAGAGGAGGAGGGAAACCGGAGGACTGAGGGTAAGATATGGATATAGGCTATGAGGATGCACCCCGCCCCTCTGTACGTATCTTTCCCCACTCGTGCACGTACATGATCAATGCTTGAGAAGACAGCTGAGGTGCCCTGCGTCCTTTGCTGCTGCTGCTGCTGCTGTTGCGCAAGGGCCATTTGATCAGTCAGAGGCAAGGAGGTGATGTGCCCCTTTGCATGCCATGGGCCTTATCAAGGGTAGACATGTTCTACATCACTCACCAGCATTGGAGACGATTACAATGTTAAGGATCAAAATAACACCTACTCATTTGTTCAAAGCCGATGAAGCTGGTATACACATTGCAGAGGTGTTCATTATGCTTTTCATGATGAATAAAATATATGTTGACTGATACTATTATGATTAATTCTTAGAGGTTAGGACATTTGCTATGTGTATTTGGCATGGTCAACTCTATAGGCATCTCATCTGAACTCACTTACCCAGAATCTCTTTTTGTATGATTCCAAAAAGCTGGACACTTCATGACACCATATGCAACCAGCCTGGGCAATGTGATCTTAAATCAATACCATTATTAATTTAAGATTTAGCATTCACAAGATACCTTTTTTGCCATCTTGCAAAATGGCAGAATGTTGTAATTGGAATTCTATTTTGATTTTTGGAGAGGCTACTATAATAAAAATCACAAACCTCTGCTACTCGACCTATTGCTATGAAAGCAGTCAGTATAGTGTAAGGTGTATGCAATATTAATGTGCACGTGATAAACCACAGAGGAGTGCGTAGAGAAAAGTGCCCTAATAATCCAGGGTGTCCCTCAACGCCATGTGAGAGCGGATTGTTCCAGGCGGATCGACGTTGATTATTGAGGAGGTTTTTGGTGTAGTGGAATCTGTGTGGCTCCAGCTGTAGACAGTGGACTCACAAATAGAGGCCTCCATCGCTTGCTTTGCTTTGCTGATTCACCGCAGATGGGAACCTGAGCGGAAAGAGAGACTGGAGTGAGAGTCTGCTATCAATATTTTAGAGAGGCGAAGAGAGGACTGGGTCAGTGGAGGAGGCCAGGAGTGAGGCGTGGGACACTGTCTGGAGAGGATGGAGCAGGGACAGGGTGAATGTTTGAGTTAGAGGCAACTGAACGGATACATTACATTTGTGTGCAGGCTATTTTAGTTTGATACATTACATTTGTGTGCATGCTTTTATAGTTTATTATAATGTAAAAAAAAAAAACTTAATCCTCACAGTCTAATGAGCATAAAATTTAGTAATGTGGCATTATGTATAAGAGTTAGCCATGAATGGACTCATTAAAATATTGGTATTTTGCCCTGTGACCAAGAGTCATAATCAGGTTGGTAAGGGTTAGGAATATTTTATTCGGTTATGGTTTGGGTTGAGGTTAGTTATGATAGTCATCTATTGTCCTCTAATGAGAAAAGTAGCAGACGTTACACATGAAAAATTGATACAATTGGTAGAATAGATAAATAAATAAGTACCCATGCATATCCCACTCATGCAATATACAAAAACATGAATACATATAACATTACACTAGGATCTTGACGGTTTCTATATCATTTGTGATAACATATGTTTTAATCAAGGTACAGGCAGTCTTACCTCATGCTATAAAGATGAAGTCTTGTGTGGGGGGATTGGCAGGTTGATAGTAGTAGGCCTACCGCACACTGGGATGTCTGAAAAAGGCAACAGCTGGGTCTTAAAATGTGGTTGTGAGGCTCATATATAATTCATGCATACGGATACGGGCAACGCACTGAGATCATATCGGCCAACGAAAGTGCTCTGACTAATGTTCAGTGCTACACACATACATACACACACACACACACACACACACACACACACGCATACACACACACACACACACACACACACACACACACACACACACACACACACATACAAAACCCTGGATAATGTTGCCTAAATAATTATGTGAGAAAAGATAGTAGTAGCAAATATGATGCTACTAACATCTAAGCTAGCAAACATCAGCCCTTACCTACATTTCATTTTCGGGCGATATCACAATAAAAAAATAACAAGTCAAAGTTGAAAGTAAAATGTAGTTACAATAGTTCGATCGATATGTTTAAAACGTTAAATTAAGTTAAATGAAAGAGAAAATGCACGTGTGTAGCGCGTCTCTCTCTACGCACAACGTGACTCTACCTTTAGATCCATGGACCACACCGGTTCATAACCCATTGCTCTGCTCTTCTATGCCATAAATCTGCCACAGTGAACGAAAAGAAAGTGGTAAGTCATGAGGCAGGGACCAGATTTCAGATTCTGCAGCGTGCTATATGGCTAACTTTAACTTATATCCCATATGCCTTTTGTGTAATAATGTGGGTGTACATTTAACTTATTCAGCACTGTGTCGACAGTTTTGAGCTTCATTAATGTTTCATCATTCTTTCCTGTTAATGAGAGAGAAATAAGCTCACACTACACCAGATAATAAATAAATTATCCTCTTAAATTGGCAGATGGAATATTCAGAGCAGCTCACAAAACATAATTTAGTAGTTTGTGAGTAGTAGTAGTAGTAGTCGTAGTAGTAGTAGTAGTAGTAGTAGCAGTAGTAGAAGTAGTAGTAGTATTTCTAGTAATAGTAGTAGTAATAGTAGTAGTAGTAGTAGTAGTAGTAGTGATAGTAGTAGTAGTAGTAGTAGTAGTAGTAGTAGTAGCAGTAGTAGTAGTAGTAGTAGTAGTAGTAGTAGTAGTAGTAGCAGTAGTAGTAGTAGTAGTAGTAGTTGTAGTAATAGTAGTAGTAGTAGTAGTTAGTAGCAGTAGTAGTAGTGGTAGTAGTATTAGTAGTGGTAGTAATAGTAGTGGTAGTGGTAGTAGTAGTAGTAGTAGTAGTAGTAGTAGTAGTAGTAGTAGTAGTAGTAGTGGTAGTAGTTGTAGTAGTAGTAGTAGTAGTAGTAGTGGTAGTGGTAGTAGTAGTAGTAGTAGTAGTAGTAGTAGTAGTAGTAGTAGTGGTAGTAGTTGTAGTAGTAGTAGTAGTAGTGGTAGTGGTAGTAGTAGTAGTAGTAGTAGTAGTAGTAGTAGTAGTAGTATTAAAAGGCCCTGTACAGTTGAATCAAGTTAAGTCTATAAATAAGTGTAGTTAAAAACATTCTGCTGTCTATGATAACATGCTAAACATAGACAGCACCATGAAGCCAGCACTGAATATGATTAACTTGGGGGAAAACTCATTAATGTTTAATCAGCTTGCTCTTGTATTCTAAGTATTTCAGGAATTCAATTGATTTAATGAAGAACATTTAATTGGTTGAGTAGCTGTGCCTTATACGGGTTAAGTTTTTCACATTTTCAGATCTGCTCCATTCCGTAAACTTGGCCTCACACCTTAATGCCCGCAGTCCCTCTTTGTAACTACTAATTGATTGACAGTGTGTGACACCTCTGTTCCCCAGAGTCAGGAATCGACGAGACAAACACAAGGCTCTAAAACCCCATAAGTGCTTTGACTGCAGCATAGCGTGCTCTGGGGACTTGCTTAAATCATGCACTCCAGCTACAGTCATACCTAGCTCATGTCTGTTATAACTGGGATACAACTCTATATCTATAGCTCTAAGGATACAGACAACAGCAGGACTAAGGTGAATATGTTTGTATGTGCTCTACTTTTACTCCCGTTTTAAAATGGTTACGCAACATATTCTCTAATTCTAATATGTTCTATAAAAAGGAATATGTTTGATAACTGGCAACTTACTAACAATACTGTATTTCATACAGCTAAACCATTACTTTGTGAGTTGAAGATGTGGCTATGCTACACAAAGCCACATCTGCAGTGCAGCCTTCCTAAAACTGTGGAGCAAATGAGGATTCTTCCTTCTGCACTGAGCCATGTTCTGCTCCAGCAAACACAGACAATGCAATGCATTAGTTCTGAATGTTTATTGATTATTGTAGATGTAATACTGCAAGTATTTTATTGTATTTTGTAAAAGCACTGTGTGATTAAATGACCAATGCTCTTGCAGGATAAAGCAACAAAACAAAAATCAATAACATGTGATTAGTTGTAGCAACAGCTTTGAACTGGTTCACTGCTACTGTACACTTTGAATACAGTGACCATTCTGCAGAAAGGATCTTTTATAACGTATGTGGCATGAAACATGGTGAGAAAAACAGCCAAGGTAATCATATGAACATTATTATTGGTATTATTATTATTACAATGCAGTGCATAGGATGGTTGTGTTGTGGGCTGTAATCTCCGTTTTACAGTCACACAAAACAACATTTGATTTGTTCACTGGATGCTCTGATGCTACCAAAATACTGGAGCAACTTCAATAATTATTTTAGCAACTAGCACAGTCTACAGTTGACATTAAACAGCAGCATTCGGAGAAGATGTGTAAAGTGAAAACTAAAATGGAAACAGTACCCAAACAAACCAAACGTCAGCTAAAGTTTTTTACATGTAACATCATTCAGTATGTAACATAGACCCTTTCTCCAGTAGCTAAGTAAGAGTACTATTATCAGTGTTGGATAAAAGCACTTTCCTTAGGTCTCTGTTTGGATCGGCCTGTCGTAGGTGTAGTTATTCTTCTGGGACCCCCTCGGTGCTTCCAGCTTTGGTTCGTTAGCATTACTCATATTGTTTGCCGATTTTCCTTAGACAGTTGGATATGTTGAAAAGCCCTGAATAGTAGCGCTCATTCCCTTTTGTTTGAACATTTCACTTGTAATGCTCAAAGTAATATCTAATTCAAACAACAGGATTTCCTATTGTAATGAATGAGCGGGCCTGGAGCTTGTCGGATTGTGCTCTTGCGATTATGGACTGGGTCAGAGCAACAACCCTGCACGAGTTTTATCTGAAATCTATCACCAATTTTACCTTCGTTAGCCCTT